GAAGGAAAGTGAAACTGCCAAAAAAAAAGAACCCAAATGCAACACACATAAAACCTTGCGATATTGCTTACGTGCATAGCCTTCCGCTCCACTCTCAGGCTTTGTTTTAGCTGGTGATGGAAGCGGCTGCTAAGATTACTGAGTAGCATTGAAGCACCTAGGTATGCAAACTAAGCTAACTTGACTTAACCTGAGCCGCATTTGTCAAACGCCCAGACCAGCTCAATTGCAGCGGGCCGTTTTCGTCTGTTGACTACGGCTGACACGTTTTTCGGCTAGATGTGCAATCGAATTCCGAGACGATTAAAACTTGTGATTAAGCAGCCAAGTCCTTCCCATTATGACAGAGTCGTCACGCAGTACGCTGTATAGGGGCCTCGTTAAGAAATAGACGACCGGAAACAGCTAAGTGTTTTTAAATCTCGCCTTGAAACACGACCACGAAGAATCTAAGCGGTTTCACTGACCCACTGGGTCGACTGGCAAGTTACTAAGCGGGCCCACTAACGCATTGGGTCGACTGCCAGGCATTCTAGCGGTCCGACTGAGCCATGGAGTATGCTGCGGTCGAGATTGGCCCTTCCGGGTCGCTCTTATACCGAAAATTCCTCCTGAACGGGGCGCGACTCGCTGTCCCGCCGCCAAACCCGTCGCCGGGTAACAGCGCTTCGGCAGCGCCGCCATTTGCCGCGCCGCAGACTCCCAAGGGTAGTTCGAAGTCGAAGTTCGGGAGGTTCGCTTCTCCGCTTTCGCCGCGGCCATCGCCGCCACCGGCGGCAGCAGCAGCGGCGCAAGACCTCGTCGTCGTCCCCCTTTCCCCATGGCACCAGGTCCCGCTGCGCCTCTCCTCCTCCGCCGCCGCCGATGCTGCCAATGCCGCCACTTTGACGACGGCGCAAAGAGGGTTCGATAGAAGTCAAGATGGTAAAACGCCGAGAATAGACAAAAGTATCTTGAATTCAGCAAGAGTTACTCTCTTCCCCGCGCTTCGCGCAGCAGCGGACGCAGGCGGCTCCGCGGTTTTGAATAGCTCCTCCGCCGCCTCCTCCGCTGCTTCCGCACCACCCGCGGATGACGGCGGCGATTTTTTCCGCATGGTTTGCGCCGTTCCGCGCGGCACGTGGGCGCAGGTGGAGCTGGCGGTGGCGGAGCCTCCGCATCATCCGCTGCGAATCCGCGGTGTGAACGATCTCCCCTCTCATTATAATCACAACCTTCCATGGAACGTCGGCTTCCTCCCGCAAACCTGCCGCTGCTTCGAAATCGACGAAATCGACGGTGCTTCTAGTACCGCTAGTAGCATCAGAAGCATGAGTGTTGATAGCGACAGCGACGGATGCGGCGGCGGAGGCGGCGGCGGTAACGGCTACTTTACGCCGCGCTCGCTAAGTGCGGGAACGGGGGAAAAGCGCGCTTTTGGCGGAAGCGTTACGGGCGGCGGCTCACACGGCCCCCTGGAGGTGGTGGATATTGGGGGAGCGCGGGCGGAAGTGGGGCAGGTGTATTTGGTGAAGGCTCTTCTGGCGTTTCTGGTGGTTAGTCCGAACCTTCACACGCGCTGGACTGTGATTGTAACGAGCGACTTAAATTCGGAAGGTGGTCTTCGAACGAGTGAAGGTGACAGAAACGAGCGGGTCCCTAGCTCCAAGGTGGGGGGGAGGGAGTGCGACGGTAGCTACAATGGCGACGATCGTATGGCGACGCGTCTGGAGGAGATTCGCGAGTGGCTCAAGTTTCGAGGATGCTTGTCACCGCGTGAGTTGACGAAACTGGCAAGCCCTTTCTAGAAACATGTTACCACTGTACAATGTACAGTGGTATATGATAGGGTAAAGCTGTTTCCCCTTTTATCTTTCAATTTATATTTCTCCACATCATCAGGCAACTTCCTTTGCTCTTTTGCACCCTTTCTGTCCTGCCAACACGGATGCTCTCTTAAAAAATTAATAGAATCTCATTCTGAGCCCCCCTGCTTTCCCTTCCCCCAACCTTTGGCCATTCGGACTCCATACTCCCCTTTCCCCCCCTCCCCATTTTGTTCCCCTCCAGACCCTTCCCCTTCCGTTCTTTTACCCCCCTTCCCCACCCCTCCCCCCCAATTTCCCCATTCGCCCCCACCGGTTCCCCCCTTTCCCCCACTTCCCCCCAGTGGACCTTCCTTGCTCCATTTCCTTTCGGGAGAAACCCGTAACTCTCAGCCGTACGATCTCCATGATCAACGGTGCACATGCAGCCTGGAAAGACGCCCATAGTGCTGCCTTCATGCCACCTCAGCAGCCAGCTCATCAAAATCAGCAAGATGGGATGCTTCTAAGCCAACTGCGTGGGTCAGTGGAGCACACACGTGGCGGCTCTGCGGATTGCCACGTGGCAGGCAGCAGTGTGGTTTGCGTCCCACTTTCTGAACCGCACAGGGCACAAGAGATGGTTAGAAAGGCGGCTGGGACTCTGCTTCCTGGCGCTGCTGCTGCTGCATTGGCTGCTGCTGGTGTGAGTGAGGAGGGAGAAGGGGGAGGAGGAGGGGGAGGAGAAGGAGAAGGAGGAGGAGGAGGAGGAGGAGGAGGAGGAGGAGGAGGAGGAGGAGGAGGAGGAGGAGGAGGAGGAGGAGGAGGAGGAGGAGGAGGAGGAGGAGGAGGAGGAGGAGGGAGGAGAAGGGGAGGAGAGGGGGAGAGGGGTAAGCCTAAGGGAAGCTTACCTTCTCGTGTCTATCACACTCGCTCTTCATCTTCCCCTGTATGGCTTCTAGAGATGGATTTTGACATGCCAGGATCACCACAAAGCGGTAGTGAATCTGCTTATAGCGGATCAGATGCTAGTGAAAGGTATGGGTCGCCACAACCGAGCAAGTCGAGGTTCAAAAAGAGCGGTTTGGGCCGGGGGTTGGGGCTGGTAAGTAAAACACTTAGACGAAAGGAAGAGGAGAGGGAGGAGGATGTGGGAGGAGAAGAGATGAGGAATGGGAAGCCACTTGTTACGGATAGCTCTGGGGTAAAAAAGGGTGGATTTCCTTTTAAATTGCGGGGCAGTGGGAAGGAGGGAAAGGAGGGAAAGGAGGGAAAGGAGGAAACGGAAGAGAAGGAGGAGGAGGAGAGAAAGGGGAACAGGGAGGGGGAGGAGGAGAGGATGGAGGAGGAGCGAGGGAGGAGTGGAAGGAGAGAGGGAGACGAAAAGGTGATGCGGATTGTCAAAAGTAACTCTAGTGGTGAGGAGAAAGCGAAGAAAGGGATGCTACGGAAGCTGTTTAAAAAGGGGACAAAACGATTTGATAAATCCTTTGGTGATAGTGATGGGGATAGTGATAAGGTTGACAGTGGTGAGTATGAGGAGGAGTGCTCATATAGCGAGGAGGAAGTGAGGGAGGAGGGAGTGGGAGCGGAGGGAGTGAGAGGGGAGAAGGATGAGAGGAATATGAACCAGCTGAGTGAGAGCGGGAGTAGCAATGATAGAAGCAGCAGCACTAACAATGCAAACACTAGCAACACTAGCAGCAGCACCACCACTAGCAGCAGCAGCAGCAGCAGCAGCAGAAGCAGCAGCAGCAGCAGCAGCAGTAGCAGCAGCAGCAACACCACCGCCTCTAGCAGCAGTGGCAGAAGCAAGGGCAAGGATTGGCGGCGAGCGCTTCACATTCCCAAGCCTTCATTCTCCAAGAAGACATTCAGCACTTTCCCTACCTCTTCCTCTCTTAACAGTTCCCCCTTATCTCGCCTCTCCTCCCCTCTCTCTTCCCCTCTCGCCTCCCCTCTCGATTCCCCTCTCTCCTCCCCTCTCGGCTCCTCCCTCCTTTCCACTCTTCCCCATTCCACTTGCTTTCGACCGGGTGCTCTCTCCCCTCCATCCCCTCCCGTTGCCAAGGCTGATAGCAGCAGCATTCCCGTTAGTAGCACACTCAATAGCGGCAGTGTAAGCACCCGGATCATGACTTTTAATGGGACATCCCATCTGGAACAGAAACATACTGAAACGCGTATGGGAGGAGGGGGAGAAAGTAAGGAGGGAGGAGGGGGAGAGAGGGGGAGGGGTGGAGGGGGAGAGAGTGGGAGGGTAGGAAGGGGAGAGAGCAGCAAGGGAGAGAGAGAAGAGGGCGCAGGTGTAACGTGTGGAGTGGGAGGAGTGGGAGGAGTGGGAGAAGCAAAGAGGAGGGCCAGTGACAGTGACACTGGCAGCGGAAGGGGCCGTGGCAGTGGCATTGACAGTGGCAGGGGAAGGGGAAGAGGAAGGGGAAGGGGAAGGGGAACGCACAGGCGTGCTCAATCTGTCACCGATGCCTGTCTCAATGTTACCCTCTCCCCTTCCCTCCTTTCAGCTCTCTCCTCCTCCTCCTCCTCCTCCTCCTCCTCCTCCTCCTCCTCCTCCTCCTCCTCCTCCTCCTCCTCCTCCTCCTCCTCCTCCTCCTCCACATCTGCTAGCTTTGATACTGCTGGTAACCACACTAGCATCAGCAGCAGTGGTAACCGCACTCTCAAGAGCGGTCGTTACACCCCGAGCAACGCACAGCCCGTTGCTAACATCAACGGCCAGGATTTCTCGGAGAACGGTCGTCAACGGGCATCTGACCGTCCATCTGCAACGGCAGACTCTGCGTCGAATCCCAGCCACTCGTTGCCTGCTCGTGCTCTCTCCATTTTCCCCACTGGCAGCCCCACCCCACCTCTCTCTGCTGCTGCTGCTGATGCTGCCGCTGATGCTTCTGCTGATGCTTCTGCCGCTTCTGCTGCTGCTGCTGCTGCTGCTGCTGCCTCTGCCGCTTCTGCTGCCACTTTTGCAAAAGTAAACAGACGACACACCACCGGCAGTCAGCCTAAGAACCTTCCCCTCATCACCACCTCCTTACGCAGCAGCACTGTCGGCACCAACCGCAACACTGGCGGCACCAGCAATGCTAGCAGCAGCACAGGCAGCAGCAATTCTAGCAGCAGCAGCAGGAGCAGCAGCACCAGCAATTCTAACAGCAGCGGCAGTAGTATGGGCAGCAAGAGCAGCAGCAGCAGCAGCAGCACTAGCGTCACCAGCAATTCTAGCAGCAGCGATTATATTAGCAGCAAGAAGGGCAGCAGCAATCGTGAGACGCTGTTCCAAAAGGCATGGAAGGGCAGACGAAAGTTGAGCCTGGATGGGGTTGGAGTGGGCTTTGAGTCCTCTCACGTTGCAAGGATGGGTGCGCAAGCGGTAGGGGTGAGTGAGTGTGAGAGTGGGACGGGTTCTGAGATGTCTGGTAAGGCAAGGATGGGTGGACAAGAGTTGAGGGTGGATGGGAGTGGGGGGTGTGCAGGTGTTGGGATGGGTCTTGATACACAAAAGGGGTGTATCGAGATTCCTAAGAGTGTTTCTGATGTTGGTGTTTTGGAGAGAGGTGGTTGTGGTGATAGTGGGGAGTTTTCTAGTGAGGATGAAAGGGAGGTAGTGAGTGGAACAGAATTGGCGAGTCCGGATTCGAGCTGGTTCAGTGCAGTGAGAGAGAAGGGAAGAGAGAAGGGAAGAGAGGATGGAAGAGAGGAGGGAAGAGAGGAGGGAGGAGAGGAGGAAGGAGGAAGGTGGGGCAAGGAAGGAAACGGAAGGGGAAGGGGGGAACGAAGAGGCAGCAGGTGCAGCTTCGCTTTTGATTCTCTTTCTGGAGCTGTTACAGGTGCTGCTACAGACATCAGCACCATTACAGGCGCTGCTACAAGAGACGTTTTTGGTGCTGATTCTGCTTCTGCTGCTGATGCTGCTGCTGCTGCTGCTGCTGCTGCGACTACTTCTGCGGTTTCTGGTGGGAACACTGCTGCTAATTCTGCTGCTGCTTCTGTTGCTCCTGCAACTACTGTTGCTGCTAACAACGAGGCACCTCGCCCTACAAGCCACTTGACTCATAACAACAGCTTCGAGTTCGGCACGTTACTCCCAGGTTCGGCAGACCGAGGCTCAGCAGACGGAGGCCCGGCAGGCGGAGGCTCGGGAGATGAAGGCAATGGAGGTGTGGAGATCCAAGGTTCGGACCGAGCCTCAGGGCTTTGGCAAGGCGCGGTTAGGGTCACCAGTGAAGGTTTGGAAAGGCCGATGGTGGTTCCCTGGGGTAATAAAGTGGGCCGGCGTTTCTCGTCCTTTTCTGGATTCTCGGAGCTAAGGGCAGTTGGAGGAGGAGGAGGAGGAGGAGGAGGAGGAGGAGGAGGAGGAGGAGGAGGAGGAGGAGGAGGAGGAGGAAGAGGAGGAGGAGGGAGGAGGGGGGTACTCTGTCAGAAAGGTCTGCAAGAAAAGGTCAGCGTTTTTTACTTGGAACAGGAGGAGAGAGGGAAAAGGGAGAGTAAGGGTGGTGCTTTTGGGGTACCGGAGAGAAAAGATGCGGAAGGAGAGAGGGAAAACGGAGAAGGGGAAATGGGAGAGGAGGGCGATGAGGAGAGTGACGATGAGAAGGACGATGGACTCACTCCGATCGCCACCCCTCTCTCTACTCCTGCTATACCCTCTCCTGTAGGGAATTCGTTAAGCCTTTCTCCTTCCGGCTTTTCTGATGGGGAGATGGAAAAAGAGGGGGATAGGGAGGAGGGGAAAGAGGAGGAGGAGGAAGAGGAAGAGGAAGAAGAGGAGGATGAGGAGGAGTGTACTCCAATCGCTACGCCTGTGGCATTTTCCCGGTCCAGAATCCTTCTCTCTGTGTGCCCACCGCCAGGGCCAGGGCAGCCGAAAGAGTCCAGGTTCAATGTACCCGGAAAGGAGGAGAGGAAGAAAATGGGTGCTGGGGAAAAGGAGGGGCAAGAGAAGGGTGTACGGTTTGTCATCCCAAGCAGGAGGGCTAGGGGGGTTTCAGGAGCCTCTGCTGCTACCGCTGGTGCTGTTTCAGGTGGTGCTGTTTCAGGTGGTGGGAGCATTAGCAAGCCCAGGCACAGGCAGTGCCAGTCGTTTTCCGGCTTTGACTTTGGCTTGATTGCGAATGGACAGACGTTTCTTGCGGAAGATCAGCCAAAAGAGTCCATGTTCAATGCACCTGGAGAGGCGTTTCTTGAGGATCAGCCAAAAGCGTCCAGGTTCAATGCACCTGGACAGACAGTGTTTGAGACCCAGCCGGAGATGGGTGGCAGGAGAACGTTGGGGCGAAACGGGGCGATACGGCAAGGCAAGATGGGACGAGAAGATGAGGGAAGAGAAGAGGGGATGGGAAGGGAAGCGGGTGCGAATGACGGCAATACACGGGTTCCCATCCCAAAGGGAAGAACTGGGATTTTGAAAGCAGCCGCTGCTGGTGCAGCCGCTCCTGCTGCTGCTGCTGCCACTGGTGGTAGGGTATCAGCAGGTGGTAGAGTGTTAGCAGGTGAAAATTCAGGTGGTAGAGTGTTTCCAAGTGAAAATTCAGGTGGTAGAGTGTTAGCAGGTGAAAATTCAGGTGGTAGAGTGTTAGCAGGTGAAAATTCAGGTGGTAGAGTGTTAGCAGGTGAAAATTCAGGTGGTAGAGTGTTAGCAGGTGAAAATTCAGGTGGTAGAGTGTTAGCAGGTGGAGTTGCAGGTGGTGGGGGCAGTGGTAAGTCCAGGCACAGGCAATGCCAGTCGTTTTCTGACTTTGACTTCAGCTCGATGGCACCTGGAGAGACGTTTCTTGAGGATCAGCGAGAAGAGTCCAGGTTCAATGCACCTGGACAGGCATTTCTCGCGGTGGATCAGCAAGAAGAATCCAGGTTCAATGCACCTGGACAAGAAGCCAGAGGGAGGTCGGGTGGCGGGTATGATTCGGGACAAAACAAGGCAGTATGGCAAGAGAGGGTGGGGCGAGAAGAGGGGAGGGGACAGGGAGAGGGTGTGAGGGCCAGCAATGTACGGGTTCCCATCCCAAAGGGAAGAACCGGGATTGCAAAGGCTGCTGCCGCTGGTGCTGCTGGTGGGGTTTCTGGTGGTAGGATATCTGCAGGTGAAATCTCAGGTGGTGGGGGCAGTGATGAGTCCAGGCACAGGCAATGCCAGTCGTTTTCTGACTTTGACTTTAGCTTGATTGCAAATGGAGAGACATGTTTTCAGGATCAGCCAAAAGAGGTCAGATTCAATGCACCTAGACAGACGGATATTGAGGCGCAGCCAAAAGAGGTCAGGTTCAATGTACCTGGACAGGAAGAGAGGGGAAACAAGGGTGGTGGGGCAAAGCAAGGGCAAGAGGGGGGAGCACGGAAAGAGGGGGTGGGACGAGAAGAGGGTGTGCAGGCCAGCAAAGCACGGCTTGCTGTCGCAAGGGGAAACACGGGGGGTTCTGCTGTTGCTGCTGCTGCTCCTGGTGGTGCTGCTGGTGGTGGTGGGGTTTTGGGCGGTGAGGATTCAGGTGGTGGGGTGTCAGCAGGTGAAATTTCAGGTGGTGGGATGTCAGCAGGTGAAATTTCAGGTGGTGGGGTGTCAGCAGGTGAAATTTCAGGTGGTCGGGGCAGTGGCAAGCCCAGGCACAGGCAGACCAAATCGTTTTCCGGCCTTGACTTTGGATTGAACGAGTGGGATATGGGGGAGAGCAGGGAGGGAGGGAGAAGAGAGGGGATAGCGAGCAGAGGGGGTAGAGAGGAGGGCTCTAGCGGTTGGGCGAGAAGGAACCAAGGAGAGAGAGAGGAGCAAGGGGGTTTGTCACTTAGAGTAGCGAAGCTTGCAGTTGGGGTGAAAGGAAGGGGAGGAGAGAGAAGGGGGGATGGAGGAAGGAGGGGAGGGGGAGGAGGAGGGGAGCTTCCAAGCTTGCTGTCACCACGAGCAATGCCGATTGCTTCTGGGGTGAAGGGAGGGGGAGCAGAAATAGAGATGGATGGAGGAGGGAGAAGGGGAGTGGAAGAAGGTCGAAGAGAGAAGGATGGGAAAGGGAATGGGCAAGAAGGGGTGGGAAGGGAAGGAGGAGAGGGCAACGGAGGGAAGGGAAAGGTAGATGAGGTGCGGCGAGTGGCAGTCGGTGGCGGCAGCAGCAGCAGCAGCAGCAGCAGCAGCAGCAGCAGCAGAGGCACAGGCGTTGGCAGGAGCATCGGTACGGTCACTGGTGGGAGTATGGATAGGATTAGGGACGGAGATAGCTTGAGCAAGGACATGAGGGAGAATATCGGTCGGAGCACCAGCTATGGGTCTGGCAGCCTTGCCACATCCTACCCCACCGGTATCAAATCCCCAACCGGGATCAAATCTCCCACCGGGATCAAATCTCCCACCGGGATCAAATCTCCCACCGGGATCAAATCTCCCACCAGAGGAGCGGAAGGAATAGGGGTACCCAAGTCTCCTCGGGGAATGGGCAGGAGGAGCATCGTGCCTTGGACACCTCCCACTCAAGGCCTTCTCAGCAAGAGCCTCAACTCCCCACGAGCAGCAGCAGGAGGGGACACAGCGGCACCCAAGTCTCCCCGAGGTGGAGGAGGAGGAGGCGGAGGGTTGTGGAAACGGGGAGAAGCAGCAGCCGCAGCAGCAGCAGCAGCAGCAGCACGGGAAGGAGCAGGGGGAGCGGCAGGGGGAGCAGCAGGGGGAGCAGCAGGGGGATCAGCAGAGGGAGCAGCAGGATGGGACTCAGGTGTACCCAAGTTGCCTCGAGAGGGGGCTGTGAAGGGAGGGAGTGGGAAGGAAGGAGCAGCAGAGGCGATGGCGAGACACAACGAGGCCTTGCGGTTGAAACGAGCGGCTCAGGCTCACTCCGCTGCTTCTGCTGCTAATGCCGCCACTGCTAATTCTGCTGCTAATTCTGCTGCTTCTGCTGCTGATCCCAGTGCAAACGGTGTTGCTGCTGCAACTGCCACAGCAACAGCAACAGCAGAAGCAGCAGCCAGAGCAACAGCAACAACAATTCCTGCCTCACCAGCAGAGGCAGCTCCGGCCTACCTCCCCGGCCCCCTCTCGCAGCTTCCCGGAACCTTCTCAGCAGTTTCTCACCTGCTGCAATCGTCTGGCCTCGGCGCGTGGCTCTCTCCCGGAGCTAGCCCTGCTGGTTCGGCCACCCACACACCTGCTGACTCAGCAGCACACACCCCTGCTGGTTCGGATGATGACAGCAGCCCTCGCAAGCAGAGACCTGCTAGGCTTCGCCGGATGGGAGATCAGCAGCAGCAGGGGCAGCGGCAGCAGAAGCAGCAGCAGGGGCAGCAGCAGCAGCAGCAGCAGCAGCAGCAGCAGCAGCAGCAGCAGCAGCAGCAGCAGCAGCAGCAGGGAGAGCAGGTACAGGGAAGAGTAGGCGGAGCAGATCAGAGGGTGCTGTGTTCTGGACGAGTGGGATCAGAAGGAGCGAGAGGTCGGGCACGGGTGGCCCGGCCGAACCTGGAGAGCGTGCAGGCGTCGTGGGTGCATGAGGATCCCGAGGATGACTCTGAGTATGCTGGGTGGGGTGCCACTCCCAAGGAAGGGAAGGCAGCAGAAGCGGGGTTTTGAGGCCTGCTCCTCGTCGTTCAGATGCTGTCGTGGGCGTGTGATAACCCTTGGATAAGTGGGTGTGCGTATTCCAATTCTTTCTTTCATCATCACTTCTATGAACTGCTCAAATTGCTTAATTCACCATTTTGGAACGTAAAGAAATTCTAATATTGTTTTTTTTCAAACAGGCGCAGGGGCTTCGGGCTGGTGAAGAAAAGCTACGGTTGGATCCCATATGCGACAGACTTTGTTGAGGAAACAGTCGCTTAAAAACAAATAAATAGAAATCCGAATGATTGAAGACAGAATTTCTTTTCCATGGGCAGAGCGGGAGAGACAGAGGGGGATGGACAGCTGAGGGGCGGATGGTGTCACAGTGAAATAATGATTGATGGGCGGGGAACAGGAAGGGAATGGGCGGGGGAGATGAGAAGGACAGAAGGGGAAGGACAAGGGGAAGAGGGGGAAGGACAGAGGGGGAGAGACAGAGGGGGATGGACAGCTGAGGGGCGGATGGTGCCACAGTGAAATAATGATTGATGGGCGGGGAACAGGAAGGGAACGGGCGGAGGAGATGAGAAGGACAGAAGGGGAAGGACAAGGGGAAGAGGGGAAAGGACAGAGGGGGAGAGACAGAACAGGTGGCAAGGAATAGGGGGGAGGACAGAGGGGGAGAGACAGAGGGGGAAGGACACAGGTGGAGAGACAGAGGGTGAAGGGCCGAGGGGGAGAGACAGACGGGGAAGGATGGAGGGGGAGGAACAGAGGGGGAAGGGCAGAGAGTGAGAGACAGAGGGTGAGAGCGGGTACTTCCCTCACTCCCTCTCCCCATCGACCTCACTTCCCCCTGATTGCTTACACCCCTCATTATTTTGACCAACCTCCCTTTCTCCTACCAGCTCTGTTCACCCCCCAATCTATTCTCCTTTGCCTCACCTGCTTCCCCCCTCCCTCCTCCCTGCTTCCCCCCTCCATCCCCCCTGCTTCCCCCTTCCCTCCGCCCTGCTTCGTCCCTCCTTCGGCCATGCTTCCCCCATCCCTCTGCCCTATCCCCTTCCCTGCTTCCCCCCATCCCCTTCCCCCCATCCCCTTCCCTGCTTCCCCTCATCCCCTTCCCCCCATCCCCTTCCCTGCTTCCCCCCATCCCGTTCCCTGCTTCCCCCCATCCCCTTCCCCCCATCCCCTTTCCCCCATCCCCTTCCCCCCATCCCCTTTCCCCCATCCCCTTCCCCCCATCCCCTTTCCCCCATCCCCTTCCCTGCTTTCCCCCATAATCTCCCTCTCCATGCGTCCTTCCACTCCCTGCCCAGGTGTCCTTCCTCTCTCTCTCCTTCCTTCCGCACTCTCACTCTCCTTCCTCCCACACTCTCTCTCACTCTCAGTCCTCTCGCACTCTCTCACTCGTCCTCTCGCACTCTCACTCACCTTCCCACCACCCTCAGGCCTCCTTCCCCCCACCCCCTGCCCTGTTCCCTACCTGCCCACTCAATCCCTGCCTTTCCCTCCCTGCCCTGCCCCCCCATCCCTTCTCAACCCTTTCCTTCCTTTTCATGCCCTCCCCTTCCCCCTCACTCCTCACCTTCCGCCCTCTAGTTCCCATGCATGTGCACCCATCACTGTCACCCCTTAAATTTCAGTGGTGAAGCAGAGGAGCAAGCTGAGGCGTAGCTAGTCGATGCTTTACACCGTACCACTGCCTGTTTCTTGTCTGTTGTATGCAAGCATGATATGAGAACACTGTTGGCATGGGATGATGGGCTGAGGCGAGTTGCAGTACCAGAAAAAGACTTCAGCGTAGTCACTGCAATAGCCAGGGAGAGGGAGGGAATATGGGGAGGGGGAACAAGAAAATAGTCAAACAGGGGAGATAGGGAAGAGGAGGGGGAAGAGGGAAGCAGGGGGGAAGGGAAAGGGGAAGCATGTCAGCTGAGGTGGCAGGAGGAGCACGTAAGGGGTAGGAGGTGAGGGGAAAGGGGAGGAGGGAAGATATGGAAATCAGGTAAGCAGGTGGGGGAGCAGGGAAAAGTGGTTAGGAAGAGACGAGAAACAGAGCAAAGAGGGGGAGAGGAGGAACGGGGGAAGGGCTCGGCCGTCAGAGAGAAAGGAATGAGGAGGGGGAGAGGGGGAGGGGTGAGACACACATGAGAGGTTGAGACATGCAGCAATGGACAACACTCCCCCCTCAAATTCCTTTTTCCTGCCCTCCCTCCCTGCCTCATGCGGGAGGAAGAAAACGGGTGGGGGAAAGGGAGGAAGAGGACAACCATGAGGGGTAGGGGTTGGAAAGGGCGGGGGCGGGTGGAGGTTTGGCGAGAAGGGGAATAGAAACCAGGGCAAAGTGCGCAGAGCATAGGGCGCAGTGCATAGGGCGCAGAGCATAGGGCGCAGTGCATAGGGCGCAGAGCATAGGGCGCAGTGCATAGGGCGCAGAGCATAGGGCGCAGTGCATAGGGCGCAGAGAATAGGGCGCAGGGCGCAGAGCTCAGGGGACAGAACGCAGGGGGTGGAGCGCAGGGGGCAGAGCGCAGGGGGCGGAGGGGGCAGAGGGCAGGGGGCAGAGCGCAGAGCGCAGGGGGCGGAGAGCAGAGCGCAGGGGGCAGAGAGCAGAGCGCAGGGGCGCGGAGCACGTGTACCTATCCTGGCGTGGTGGTGCCTCGTTCCAGCGCCCTCTCCACGCCCGCTCCCTGCACGTCCAGCACCATTCCCCCCACCACCATGGGCGCGCCCAACCCCGCGCGCGCGGAGCAAGGCGCGGGGGAAACCGCGGTGGGGGGAACGGCGCACCCGCGCGGGAAGCGAGCGAGAGAGCTCCCTCCAATTGGCGCGCTTTCTCGGCGGGCGCAGGCGCAGGGGGAGGCGCGGGCGCAGGCGCAAGCGTGGGCGCGGGCAGTCTCGGTGCTTGTCCCCTCTGCGCACGTGCTGCTTACGCAGATGTCGTCAGTGGTGCGCGGCTGGTCGGCGCATTCCGTGCGCGGCTGGTCAGTGGCGCGGCTTTCGCAGCTGTGTCGCGGATTCTGCTGCTATGGCGCGGATTTCACAGCTCTGGCACGGATTTCGCCGCCGCGGCGCGGATGTCGCCACTATGGCGCGGATTTCGCTGCTGTGGCGCGGATTTCGCTGCTATGGCGCGGATTCCGTTCCTGTGGCACGGATCTCGCTGCTGTGGCGCGGAAGTCGCTGCTATGGCGCGGATTTCGCTGCTGTGGTGCGGATTCTGCTGCCAGTTCGTGAAATAAGCCTGCAGTACGCAGATATTGCTGCCTAGCTGCACGCCGGGCGGCCTAATCGCTGGCCTTGCGGCTAGATCGCGGGCTTGGCGGCTAGATCTCGGACTTGGCGTCTAAATCGCGGGCTTGGCGGCAAAAACCGCTGGCTAGGCAGCTAGATCGCGGGCTGAATCGCTATATCGCGAGCTGGGCAGCTAAATCACGGGCTGGGCGGCTAGATCGCGGGCTCAAGGCGAGGCGTGCTGCACGTGGATGGGTGGAACGGGAAGACTCAAGGTGAGGGGGACGAGGAGAGGCGCACGTGCTAGTAGCTTGTTAGAGCAGGTGGCGTTGCTAGTAGTACTGGCGTGACAGTCGAGTTGAATCAGTTCTGCAGTGACTTCTAGTGCAGCCACACTTTCCATATGCGTCGTATGCGAAACCTTATGATTGGCTGTCCCCCCCTCTTCTTGCGACTCACTTTTCGCTTTGGGTTGTGGGAATCGCAGGTTTGGTATGCACGAAATGTTCAATTGCTCGCGGATGAATGAAGTTCTCGCCAAAGCAACACAACCGAAATAGGTTTCGTACACCCTCACCTACAGCCTATTTCAATTCCACATAACTTGAAACTTTACCATGCTGACCTCGGGCTTTAACGACAGATTGCTTTTCCATGGAGAGAATGTGAGGAAATCTTCCCATGTCATTGTGTGGTCCACAACATTTGATAATGATATCAACTGTAGATGAGTGAGGGACCGCCACCAGCTTGTTTGTGAACAGAGAGCGTCGGCTTGAGTATCGCTGCAGCCTTTAACAGTTCAGTACAGTTTGGATTTCCCCTGAAGTTTCAAGACAAAACCCACGTGTTCCCTGCCTATTGCTTATGATATGCCTCTTGTTTCGATATCGCTCGTCTGGTGATACAGAATCAAGTTTCATTAGAACTTGATTCTGATGCGTTCTAGCCTGGGTACCCCACAAAAGAGCAACAGTCGAGCTCCACCACAAGGGATAACCACTACGATATCGAACAGAATCAGATTGCACTTGTTGCAGTTCGTGAAAAACGGGACACACAGGGTGGAAGACTGACGAAGTCTTCAACGCCTGGCTCCAGTTCACTACTCGCACGCACCGCTAAAAGTAGCTTCCTACCACGCCCGTAAAACCAAAGAGTACATCAAAAGAAAACCAGCATTTCGAATGGGTAGCGGGTTACGCCTGACAGCCGGGGAACAACCAAAAGGGTTCTTACCCACCCTCCTGCAATGGCCGCCCGCCCGCGTGTTATCATTTGCTTCGCGCAAAAAAGTGAACCAGCATCGAGGGTGAAGGAGGTTCGAAATTTGGGGTTCCGATCCGATGTATCGAAATCCCAAATCAAGGCATGCATGATCGGAATACTTTACACCAGATGCTCGTTACTACCTACAACTCAACTCGTCATTCGGATGTTTATTGGACAACAAATATTTCAACTGCTCGTCGACATTCGTAACGGGCAAAATCGAGACTGTAGTGGGAGGTGTGGAAATGTAACCAGCTTCTTCACTCACGAACGGACGGATGCCAGCGTGATAAGCTGTATGTTCAATGGCTACGACATTCATCTGTTGAGCATCCTGTGTAGTGTTCAAAAGGGCTGTACGGTTACAAATTACACTTGTTTGGCTGTAATTTGTTTTTGCTTTCCATTTTGCGTTGAGCGATGTGCTAGCCTTGTGCCCGCTGTGACATTATGGTTGTACAACGGAAACCCACTTAAAGAGAGAAAATACCATTTCGCATATCTATTAAGAATGACACACTTGTAAAAGTGTTGTTGGATGTGATTTCTGTCGAGAAATGTCAAACTGTACGGTGGGTCCCGATCAGTATTTAGACTACAAATGATGCTCGTTTGAGCCACTCCTGGTTGCCTTGTGAAGGGGGAACTTAAGCTGTTTTTGCATTTCGCATAAGTTTTGTCAATTTGCAGCTAGCCAAAAAGGATTTGTAAGGTGCATATAAATATTTGTAACTTATATGTTTTCATTTTGACTTCAGTCTCTAAAGTTTGACTTCGGTCTGTTCGTTACTATTGGTTCCGAACCACTGCATTGCGCGACGTGCTTGTAACATGGGTGCAACTGGCTGGGGAAAAATTCCGGGTGCAGAGTTTCCATCCGGTCCAGGGCAAATTCGCGTACAGGGGTTGAGCATCATGTGTAAACATATTCGAGCGGTGACAGCTGTAATCGTGAACCTGTTGTGCTGCGCTGCTGGCAAAATTGCGCGACGCGCCGGCGCGCGAACTTTTTTTAACCCTATTAACCAACCTCGCACCGCAGGTAGGGCGACCAAACCTCGTCCAAATGGATCGACTTACACGCACTTTCACGATATTTTCATGCTGCGGACGGGTTCATTTTGGCGTTACAGGTGCAATTTTGTTTTACAGCCAGAATCGCGGGATTACAGCTTGGGGTTTCGAATCCTTTTATCAAAGACAAAATTTGCGACGTGTTAATCAATTCAGTCTGGTCGTGCACACAAGGCTTGTCTTATGTTTTTTTTGTTTGGTTGGGTATTTTGTACGGTGTAAAACGAACTAAACCCCGTAGGGAGCCAGGCACACATATAATGCATCAACCCTAAACATCTTAACGTTTAGGGGGGTTTAGGGTTGATCCACCCAGATTGCACCACATTAAAACCGGGGTCACAAGTTTGCCAAGTTTGGTTCATCTTTCCTACTCTTGGTTGGGTGTAACCCTGTTGACATCATTGTGCCCTGAAAGTACACGCTTGGGATGGATCAAGCTTTCGCCCCTCAAAATTACTGTAGCGTCTAAATCGCCTGCACCCAAACAGGGCCCAAATGTGTCGCACAGGCAACTGTGGTAGGAAACCTGAAACCAGCGGGATGGAAACTTGAGACTCGTTGAAGTCACCAAACACACTGCTTGATAATGGCCGCGACTGCTTAGTAGTCCACAACTTACCATTTCCAGGCTAACCCATTGCACACATAATCGGCGGTTGGTTCTGCATAGTGGACGTTTAGAGTCAGGCCGCTACGAACTGGCGCGCACTTCGTCCTTTGAGGCGATACAGCCAACGACGGGGTTGCGCCCGCAAGGCGACATCTTGCGCCGCAAGGAAAATCGTCATGGGCTCCCACGTCCGCGAGGGGGCGAGGGCGTCACCTCACGCAACGCGCATGTGCGGTGGCTCGGCGATTTTATCATGGTACAGCGCGACGCTCCCTCGTTCGTGCAATAGAGCAATCTCACGCTGCCGAGCGGAAGACGAGCCAAGGGAAAAACCTCCATCATGCAGCCTCTTTCTCCCGCACGCACTTGGCGGGCACTCCCCTTCCCGCTCGCGAGCACTCCCATTCGTCAAGCTAGCGATCACTTTCCCCGTCGTGTGCACTCCCCATCCCCGTCGTGCGCACTCCCCACCCCCGTCGTGCGCACTCCCCACCCCCGTCGTGCGCACTCCCCACCCCCGTCGTGCGCACTCCCCACCCCCCTCGTGCGCACTCCCCTTCCCCCTCCTTAGCACTCCCATTCCCCCTCCCTAGCACTCCCCTACCCCCTCCCTAGCACTCCCCTTCCCCCTCCCTAGCACTCCCATTCCCCCTGGCTAGCAAGCACTCCCCTTCCCCAACTGTAGCACTCTCCTTCCCCACCGCAAGCCCTCCCTCTCCCCTACGCTAGCACTCCCCTCCCTCCTCGTTAGAAAGCACCCCCCTTCCCCCACGCCAGCCCTCCCGTTCCCCCACCCAAGCACTCCCCTTCCTCCTCGCTAGCAAGCACTCCCCTCCCCCAACTCTAGCACTCCCCTTCCCCCTCCTTAGCGGGCGCCTTCCCCCTCCCTAGCACTGCCCTTCCCCCTCCTTAGCACTCGCCTTCCCCCTCCCTAGCACTCCCGTTCCCCCACCGCAAGCCCTCCCTTTCCCCCACGCTAGCACTCCCCTCCCTCCTCGCAAGAAAGCACTCCCCTTCCCCCACGCTAGCCCTCCCCTTCCCCCTCCCTAGCACTCCCATTCCCCTCCCCAAGCCCACCCCTTCCCCAACGCCTGCCCTACCCTCCCCCCTCGCTAGCAAGCACTCCCCTTCCCCAACTGTAGCACTCTCCTTCCCCCACGCTAGCTCTCTCCTACCCCCTCCCTAGCACTCCCCTTCCCCACCGCAAGCCCTCGCTCTCCCCTACGCTAGCACTCCCCTCCCTCCTCGTTAGAAAGCACCCCCCTTCCCCCACGCCAGCCCTCCCGTTCCCCCACCCAAGCACTCCCCTTCCTCCTCGCTAGCAATCACTCCCCTTCCCCCTCCCTAGCACTCGCCTTCCCCCTCCTTAGCACTCGCCTTCCCCCTCCCTAGCACTGCCCTTCCCCTCCCTAGCACTCCCCTTCCCCACCGCAAGCCCGGCCCTTCTCCCACGCTAGCACTCCCATTCCCCCTCGCTAGCAAGCACTCCCCTTCCCCAACTGTAGCACTATCCTTCCCCACCGCAAGCCCTCCCTCTCCCCTACGCTAGCACTCCCCTCCCTCCTCGTTAGAAAGCACCCCCCTTCCCCCACACCAGCCCTCCCGTTCCCCCACCCAAGCACTCCCCTTCCTCCTCGCTAGCAAGCACTCCCCTCCCCCAACTCTAGCACTCCCCTCCCCCCTCCTTAGCGGGCGCCTTCCCCCTCCCTAGCACTGCCCTCCCCCCTCCTTAGCACTCTCCTTCCCCCTCCCTAGCACTCCCGTTCCCCCACCGCAAGCCCTCCCTTTCCCCCACGCTAGCACTCCCCTCCCTCCTCGCAAGAAAGCACTCCCCTTCCCCCACGCTAGCCCTCCCCTTCCCCCTCCCTAGCACTCCCATTCCCCTCCCCAAGCCCACCCCTTCCCCAACGCCTGCCCTACCCTCCCCCCTCGCTAGCAAGCACTCCCCTTCCCCAACTGTAGCACTCTCCTTCCCCCACGCTAGCTCTCTCCTACCCCCTCCCTAGCACTCCCCTTCCCCACCGCAAGCCCTCCCTCCCCCTACGCTAGCACTCCCCTCCCTCCTCGTTAGAAAGCACCCCCCTTCCCCCACGCCAGCCCTCCCGTTCCCCCACCCAAGCACTCCCCTTCCTCCTCGCTAGCAATCACTCCCCTTCCCCCTCCCTAGCACTCGCCTTCCCCCTCCTTAGCACTCGCCTTCCCCCTCCCTAGCACTGCCCTTCCCCCTCCTTAGCACTCCCCTTCCTCCACGCTAGCCCTCCCCTTCCCCCTCCCTAGCACTCCCCTTCCTCCTCGCTAGCAATCACTCCCCTTCCCCCTCCCTAGCACTCGCCTTCCCCCTCCCTAGCACTCCCCTTCCCCTCCCTAGCACTCCCCTTCCCCTCCCTAGCACTCCCCTTCCCCACCGCAAGCCCGGCCCTTCTCCCACGCTAGCACTCCCATTCCCCCTCGCTAGCAAGCACTCCCCTTCCCCAACTGTAGCACTCTCCTTCCCCACCGCAAGCCCTCCCTCTCCCCTACGCTAGCACTCCCCTCCCTCCTCGTTAGAAAGCACCCCCCTTTCCCCACGCCAGCCCTCCCGTTCCCTCACCCAAGCACTCCCCTTCCTCCTCGCTAGCAAGCACTCCCCTCCCCCAACTCTAGCACTCCCCTTCCCCCTCCTTAGCGGGCGCCTTCCCCCTCCCTAGCACTGCCCTTCCCCCTCCTTAGCACTCGCCTTCCCCCTCCCTAGCACTCCCCTTCCCCCTCCTTAGCGGGCGCCTTCCCCCTCCCTAGCACTGCCCTTCCCCCTCCTTACCACTCGCCCACCCCTCCCTAGCACTCCCGTTCCCCCACCGCAAGCCCTCCCTTTCCCCCACGCTAGCACTCCCCTCCCTCCTCGCAAGAAAGCACTCCCCTTCCCCCACGCTAGCACTCCCCTTCCCCCTCCCTAGCACTCTTCTACCCCCGCGCTAGCACTCCCCTTCCTCCACTCTAGGCCTCCCCTTCCCCCACCCTAGCCCTCCCCTTCCCCCTCCCTAGCACTCCCCTTCCCAGACGCTACCCCTCCCCTTGTGCCACCGTCCAAATCCCCCTCTCATGCTTTCCTCCCTTGCACCGCCGTCCCATTCCCCCTTTCTTCTCCCCGCCTCCCATGCAGGACAGTCACATTGCCCTTCTTCTTTCATCCCTTGCGCCACTGTCCCAATCCCCCTCTCACCCTTCCTCTCCTTGAAGGGCAGTCCCTGTTCCCTTCTCCTCCTCCAATCCCTTAGTACATCATCCCAATCCCTCTCTCATCTTTTCCTCCATTGTATCATAGTCCTACTCTCCCTTTCTCGCACCCTTCTACCCTTGTAGGGCAGTCCCATTTCCCTTCTCCTCCTCCAGTCCCTTAGGACATCCCCCCAATCCCTCCCTCATCCTTTCCTCCCTTGCACCAGTGTCCTTTTCCCCCTTTCTCTCACCCTTCCACCCTTGCAGTGCAGGGCAGCCCCATTTCCCTTCTCCACCTCCAATCCCTTAGGACATCGTCCCAATCCCTCCCTCATCCTGGCCCCCCTTGCACCAGTGTCGTATTCCCCCTTTCTCGCACCCTTCTACTCTTGCAGGGCAGTCCCATTTCCCTTCTCCACCTCCAATCCCTTAGGACATCGTCCCAATCCCCCTCTCATCCTTGGGACTCTTGCACCATTGTCCTATTCCCCCATCCCGGCACCCCGCCTTCCCCGCAGGACAGTCACATTTTCCTTCTACTTCCATCCCTTGTACCACAGTCTCAATCCCTCTCTCACCCTTCCTCCCTTGCAGGGCAGTCCCATTTCCCCCTTCTCCTCCTCCAATCCCTTATAACATCGTCCCAATCCCTCTCTCGTTGTTTCCTCCCTTGCACAATAATCCTACTCCCCCTTTCTTCACCCTTCCTCCCTTGCAGGGCGGTCCCAATTTTTTTACACTTTCATCCCTTGTGCCACTGTCCCAATCCCACTCTCATCCCTTCCTCCCTTGCAGTCCCGTTTCATTCCCCCTTTATTCTCCCTACCTCCATGAAGGGGTTGTCCCATTCCCCTACTCAAAGGGGGGGGAATCCCTTGTGCCTCTGTCCCATTCTCTCTCTCATCCTTATCCCTCTTGCGCTATTGTCCTATTCGCCGTGTACTCTCCTTTCCCACATTGCAGGGCAGTCCCATTTTCCATCTCCTCCTCTCACCCCTTATGACACCGTCCCAATTCCTCTCTCACCCTACTGCTCCAAGGAACCACCATCCCTTTCCCTCTTTCTTCTCCCTACCTCCCTTGCAGGGCAGTCCCTTTCCCTTTCCCTGGCGGACGTGCCGACGGGGGCGGACCAAGCTCAACCTGCAACTTTGGGAGGCTCGTGCGGTATGTTGTGTCATTGGGTTTTTGTCAAAATGGCTTTGCCCCTCATAACCTAACCACCCCCGTTGTATGTCATCGTGCTACAGATGAAAACATCAACCCGACAGAGCAGCAGTTACCCCCCGGGCAGGAAAGTGTAACCGATGCTGTTGCAAGGGAGATCGAGAGCACTGTGGTGGGGAGCGGCTCGAGGCCTTGTCGGTGGCAGGAGCGGGGTGTTGGTAAACGTAGTCATGCTGATATGTTGAAGATGGCTACGGACGACATGGGGATGGATGAGGTCGTGACGGAGGTGAATGTAGGACAACGGTGGAGTGTTCACTTCCATCACTGCATGGTGCGGGCCGCGACTTTGGCCCGGGATGGACGCCCCATGTCAGCGAAAGACGTGGCAGACGAGTTGGCGCTTTGTGCTGACCATTGGGCGGGTTTACATGCAGGGTGTGACAGGGGTGATGTTCCCCCGCGCTGTGTGCGGGACAAATGGGGAGAGGAGAGCGCCATCTACCCACCTGGCTCGCAGACCCATATTGACTTGAAGAAGTGGTTGGAGAAGCACTGCAGCGAGGAGGCGATGAGACCATACGTGTTAGGGGCTGGGAGTTGGTTGAATGAATCCTTCCACTCTCTCATTTGCAAATATGCCCCTAAACGTGTGCGATTCCTTGGGAGCATGGAGGCACGAATTGCCTTGGCCGTGCTCCATTGGAACAACACGGTCACGCGTGTTGTACGAGCCTACAAGGAGCGGATGCGACGAGCGACACGAGTGAGACGGGGCAGAAAGGACAGAGTCTTGGGGCCGATGGATTGGACATGGGTCGACGATATTATGAGGGACTGGGACTCTGCACGACAGACTCTACACACAGGTCCTTCACCGCCTAGCCCAATGTCGAACACCCCACCCACTACCCAAGTGACTCATGTGGCCACTGACGCTGTTGGCACGCCGACTCATCCCACAGTTTTCAGCCCGGGTCTGGTGTCATCCTGCAACAGCACCTCATGGTCAAAGCGCCGTCTACGGTCGCACCGCGGACCACGCCCTTCTCGTGCACGACGCTGTCTCCTCTATAAGTACGAGACCAAATAACATATGCGACACGTTCGATTGGTGTATCTGAAATATTTACTGAAGTTGAGATGAGGGGCTCATGTTTCCATGTGATTTGCTTACTCATACTGTCATATCCCTGCAGCACATCTCCCGCGTTGAGACCACGCCCGTGCGCCACAAACGAGTGCGAAGATTGCCACAGAGGTGGGTGATGCGTGAATATGCATCTCGGTTTCTCTAGGAGTCTCCTACTTGTCGACGGTTTCATTATTGCTATGGCATCTGCTGTCATGAATCCATCATGGTTTAATAAATCTCCCATCTCCTTGATGGTTGCTGACATTTTATTACCGCAGGTTTAATGAGTATGTTGTGGAGACGGACAAGCTTATCACGGACTTTGTGTCATCCAGGAAGCGTTCTGTATGTTTGTGGCGCATACATTAATGTTTGCGCAGGATCATGAGTTGTTTCCAACCTCTGTAATCTGTTTGTTATTAAGAGTACAAACAGCACAATGCTGAGTGGCTTTGCCACCGTCTAATGTGATTTCCCTTCCCGTTGCAGTTTTGAAGACTACGATGTTGCTACGGAGAAACCCCCTGGTCAGACGGCAAGGTATGCATGCAATGCTTTTGGCAAAGTATGGGGTTTTGCATGGGAAGGGAGTGGGGCACGGATGTGTGGGGAAAGGGGGCCATATCCGTTACGGATATGCCAAGGGATTGGAGATGCCACTATGGTTTTTGAGTTGTGGAACCTTGGAAGTAGAGGAGTAGGAGGGAGGGAGCAAGCTGGGGAAATGAGTGGGATGATATCAAAGCGAGTTTCGGCATGGGATTGCGCAGGTTTGGGTCGTACTGTTCTGCCATGGGATGTGAATCATTGGGGCAAGGGGTGTGGCTGGTTTTGGCAGAAGTAGGTGCGAGCGTGGCTGGGAAGACAGAGCGAAGATAGCGAGAAAGGGTGCGTGGCTGGTTGAGGGCGTGGTTCAGAACAGTGGGGGGAGGAGTGTGGATGGGTGACACGTTCAGTGTGGCCATTACGAGGATAAGGCACATGCAAATATGGAAAGAGGGGTTTGAGGCGGCGTGGGAGAGGATGGTGGTGCAAAGAAGCACCGATGAGCGACGGGTGGGGGTTCAAAGAGGTGCGGGGTGGAGTTTAGATAGGTGACGCAGGGGGCCTGCATGGTTTGGGAGTCGTCATAGCACCCCTTTTGGTGTTGGAAGTGCCGGAATGGAGGGGTAAGGCGTCTTGTAACGTAAATCGCAAGAGGTAATTTCAATCTTGAGTGCAAAATGGGGGGAAAGGATTTGCATGTTGATGAAGCGACTATCCCTGCATTGTATGGATCTGCGTATGGTTGTCGTGCGTTCTCCGTTTTCATTTGTGCGGGTACTTTCTACCTCCTCCCTTATCTTGCTAGCTGCAGGGCTAATGTCCAGATTACTGTGTCAGCAACAGATTGTGGGGGAGGTCGAGGCCCCCGCGTGGCCATTCATCCACTCTGGACATTCGAGGCCCGTGATATTTCAGAACATCTGCAGGGCAGATACGCATGTTGCACGTGCGCTGATCGAGTCAAGTGTTCACATTGGGAAAATAGTATGTGTTCAATGGATGTTTGTCTTACACTATTTGTTAGGACTTATGCCCAAGATGGATATGTAACGTACTGGAAATATGTGCCTGTATAGCCAGGTTTTGCAATAGACTCTCTACGGCCTACTATCATTGCACAGCAAGTCATTCGTCATCCGCCTTTGGTGCTATACCCTCCCACGAGCGCGCTTCGAAGTTTATGTTATCCGGGACCTCCCATGAGTGGCAGAACCTGTCAACGTCCTCCGCATAGCACTTCTCGTACCCCTTTCCACTAGTATCAGGATACAACGAACCTATTGTCACATGAACTATCCACGGAAGGTTGACGTGTTCGTATAACCGCTCACCCAAGAGGTCCGAGTAATCCAAGTAACACCGGAACCTATGATGCTTTGGCTCCATTGGCATGCCATCCCAAGTTTCACGTGTGTTGGCACCACAACAGACACGGATTATGTTTTCAACCGTGCGGCCTCGAACACTGTGGTGCTCTTGGCTGTCAAATGGCAGATTCAGAGCGGTTGCTCCCCACTGCTCAAGGACCGCACATTGCTTTGGAAACGTCTTGGAGAAGTGGGGCAACGACCAACTGTACGCTGGAAGGAGCCGGAAGGGGGGCTTCCCTGTGGGTTGGTGCACGCGAAGGACGCGGGGTGCAGGTCGGGTGTGTTGCGGAGGATGGGGGCTGTCATTCACGCGCTGCGATGCCTTGTTGCCGGAGGCTGCACCCCTTCCAGCTTCACTCTCCTGCTCTTCGCCGACGTCTTCAGTGAGCTCGTTTATCCGACCCAGCAGCCCACGACGGCGCTTCAAGTGGCGCATTTCACTGCATGCAATGCAACGCTCATGGTGGTCGGGTTAGATGCAATCAAAAGACACGGGACTGCATGTGTGTGAGTATGCAACCCACCTGGGGGTTAGACGACGCCGCGGTGGGGTGCGGGTTGTGGGTCGTGCGATGATGCCACTGTGCGGCGCAGTGAGCGGGGTAGAACACGCACCTGATGTTGGGATAAGGAGAGGGGAGAGATAGGGGGCAGCCGGAAGCGGTGTGTATGGTGCAAGGCCTCATCCATGGCTCCGATGTGGGATGGAAGGCACGACATGTGCACTGGGGACCGAGGACAGGAGGGGGGCGTGAGAGGTGGGCACGATTGATTCCCTGATTGGGAGAGAGGTGACGGGTGCGGGATGGAGTGTGGCTGGTCCATGGCCTCGTCTCTGGATACATGGGGGCAGGGGAGAGATACACATGGGGGCTGGGGAGAGATACACATGGGGGCTGGGGAGAGATACACATGGGGGCTCATTTGAGATACACATGGGGGCTGGGGAGAGATACACATGGGGGCTGGGGAGAGATACACATGGGGGCTGGGGAGAGATACACATGGGGGCTGGGGAGAGATACACATGGGGGCTGGGGAGAGATACACATGGGGGTTGGGGATTGATACACATGGGGGTAGGGGGGAGATACACATGGGGGTAGGGGGGAGATACACATGGGGGCAGGGGATTGATACACATGGGGGTAGGGGGGAGATACACATGGGGGTAGGGGGGAGATACACATGGGGGCAGGGGATTGATTCACGTGGGGAAAGGGGATAGACAGCGTGGAGCCAGGGGGGAAGGGATGTGATACTGTGGGGGCAGGGTAGTAATACCATGGTGGGGGGTGGGGGGGTGATACCGTGGGGGAATCAGTGCAGAAGGAGGGGGGAAATGGAGTGCCATTGTGGGGGTAAGGTTGAGCGAAGCAAGGGGTCTAACCGCGTGACGTACGTGTAGATAAGGGAGAGCTATCGAGGGGGAAGGGGATTGCGAAACGTGGGGGCAAGGTAGTGCGAAAGGAGGGGGATAGGGAGTGCTATCGAGGGAGCGAGCGAACAGGAAAGAGGGGGAAAGGGCGGACAGTCGAGGGGGAAAGGGCGTGCGACACGCAGGGGAAAGGGAGTGAAGGGCGGGAAGGGAGGGAACGGAGGGAAGGGAGGGAAGGGAGGGAAGGGAGGGAAGGGAGGGAAGGGAGAGAAGGGAGCGAAAAGAGAGAGGGGAGAGACAGGAGATTGCAGGGAGGGATGAGAGGGAAGGGAGAGAAGGGAGAGAAGGGAGAGAAGGGAGAGAAGTTAAGGGGGGAGAGAAGGGCGGGAAGGGAGAGAAAGGAGGGAAGGGAGAGAAGGGAGGGAAGGGAGAGAAGGGAGGGAAGGGAGGGAAGGGAGGGCAAGAGGGAAGGGAGGGAAAGGAGAGACGGGAGAGAAGGAAGCCGGGATGAGAAGGGAGGGAGGAAAGGGTGGTAGGGGGGGGGAGATGGGCGGGAAGGGAGAGAAGGTAGAAGATGGAGAGAAGGGAGGGAAGGGAGGGATGGGAGGGACGGGATAGAAGGGAGAGACGGGAAAGACAGGAGATTGCAAGGAGGGATGTGAGGGAAGGGAGAAAAGGAAGGAAGGGACGGGTGAGAAGGAAGGGAAAGGAGAGATGGGAGAGCAGGGAGAGAAGGGAGGGAAGGGAGAGAGGGAGTGAAGGGAGAGAGGGAGTGAAGGGAGAGAGGGGGGAGAAGGGAGGGATTGTAGGGATTGGAGGGAGGGGACGAAAGGGAGGGAAGGGAGAGAAGGGAGGGAAGGGAGGGAAGGAGTGAAGGGAGAGAGGGAGTGAAGGGAGAGAGGGGGGAGAAGGGGGGGATTGTAGGGCTTTGGAGGGAGGGGACGGAAGGGTGGGAAGGGAGAGAAGGGAGGGAAGGGAGGGAAGGAGGGCAGGGCGAAAGGGAGGGAAGGGAGAGACGGGTGAGAAGGGAGGGATTGAAGGGATGGGAGGGAAGGGAGGGATGGAGGGACGGGGGAGAAGGGGGAGAAGGGGGAGAAGGGAGAGACGGGAGGGAAGGGTACGCGGGTTGACGGAAGAGGGATTAGGGAGGCGGGAAGGCATGTATGGCGGCGGGAAAAGGAAATCGGGCGGCGGGATTGGCGAAGCGGGCGGCGGCAACGCGAATTTGGCGGCGCGAAAGGGGAATCGGGCGGCGGGAAGGGGCAGTCGGGCGGCCCGACCGGAATCAATGTGCGGGAAAGGGCCATCAGGCGGCGCGGAAGGGGATTCGGGCGGCAGGATAGGGGAACCGGGCGGCGGGAGCTTGAATCGGGCGACAGGGCGACGGTGGAGGGAACGCGGCCGGCGGGAAAGAGGAATCGGGAGGCAGTAGATGAGGGCAATCTCAGGTTATAGTAATGCGCGTCTTGAGTGCTCGGTGGCGTGCGGCACAGCCCATTATCACGGCCCCACGTATCACGGCCCGGCACACACCATAAAAGCGCGACGGCTCGCTTTCCCCCCTACTCACTCTCGACTTCCGCGGAGAGATCCGCGTAATCGGCGGTTTCGGGGGCGACGCCTACACTCGAACCACTATCCTCTCGGCCCGTCATCCCTAAGTGAAGATTTCTCTCTGCTGGGCGATGGTTGCTACCTAGCAATCCCGTGTATGTTGTACTAAAGTTAGGTACTCTTGATCTGGTTTAGTCAACTCACGACGTTCTTCTTGCGTGCACCTAGCCGTCACTGAACTCGACAGACATTGGAAAAAGGTCGCAGAGTGTGTTTGGCGATGTTTCACATTTGGCACATGTGTCGCCTGGCACTCGCTAGCAACAATGATGTCGCCCAAAAACTAGCGAACAGTGTTCAGCGTTTTCGGGAACCCAGCTACTCGCCATCCAATTGTAATTTTCTTCCCAACCAACCTTCCTACCTTTGAAACCTGTGGACCCTGGGTTTTAAAGGCATTAACCCTAAACACTATGCTTCCCGTGTTTAGGGTTGATGCCTCCCGAATTGCGTTCCTGCCTTTAGGGTTTTTTTTTTTTTTTTTCAGCCCCTGCTCTTTCAGAGCTCCGTAGATGTTAAAGAAAATCGCGACACGCGGCGAGAAAACTAAGCATGTAGACAAAAAACGTGACACGCGCACGAAACATTTTTGCGCCATCAGAAACAGACAAAACAACCGAAACTTGTAAGGTCACGGCAATGTAGCTACAATTGCGACCTTGTTCTTACCAAAAACACGAAAACCACCTGGCAATTATTATCCCACGCGAAACAGTGACATTTTGGAAGACCACCAATTCTTACACATATAATTGGCTGTCAATATCGCAAAATCGCGTGTTGGTTGATTCATTTGCGAGTGGTTTGGTCGCCCTACCTGCGCTGCGATCTCGGTTAAAAGAATTTAAAAAAAAAAAAGTTCGCGCGTCGGCGCGTCGCGCAATTTTGCCTGCGCTGCTACTCCCTGAGGGAGCTGTCAGGCGGTTCGCAAATTAGCACGGTCGAACGTGTATTTAGTTCGGTTCCGTGAGGTACGCTCGTTTCGAGAGCAGCGCAAGAGGATACCGTACTGTACGGTTTTTGTACCACTTGCTATTACCAAAACGAGTATTTAGCTGATCAGACTGCAGCTGTCCCTCTCCCATACTCTCTTGGCTCGATTCGACTAATGTCTGGCTATTAGTACGTCCCCATAAACTCCTCTCCACTCGACGAAATTGTCTGGTTTCTCTTGCCAGCTCTTGCTGCAGTAGCTGAGTCAAGCGAAGGGAGGAGAGCAGGTGCGTCCCACACTCTCATATCATCAGCCGTGCGTAGTTTGGTGCCATTGCACCTTGCGATATTGCCTGTGTGCTAAGCCTCTTGCTTGCGTTGCTTATTCAGTTTATTACTTCTCACAAGTAACAGAAGAGAGACATAGCACTCAGTTGTGGTTGAGCTAATCTGAGCCGCATTCATCGAAGAATCTGAGCAGCTCGATCGCAGCGATCCGCATTTCGTCGAGAAATACGCAGCCGTTGACTTAAGTCCACCTGGGCTTGACACGCCGGCTCAGACGTTTGCGGCTAGGACTGTAGTTTTGTACCGCGTTTCGGGATGACAGCATCTCTCAATAGAACACGTAGCTTCCTTGACGGGCCTCAGAATTCCAATTAAAGCACATTCTTCCCGCTGTGACACAGTCATGCGTTTTTTGGGGACCTTTCTAAGAACTTTTAATTGAATCAGACGACCAGAAACAGCCAAGCGAATTTTGAGGCGCTGCGTGTTCGAGCGAATTTCAAGCCGACCAGAAACAGCTAAGCGGTCCCACTGTCGCATTGGGACGAGTAGCGGCTACAAGCCGCGGTCCCACTGAGCCATGGAGTACGCTGCAGTCGAGATCGGCCCTCCGGGGTCGCTCTTATACAGAAAGTTCCTCCTGAACGCGACGCGACTCGCCGTCCCGCCGCAAAGCCCGTCGTCACCTGCTGCGGGTAGTGGTACTGGTATCAGCACTTCGTCCGCACCGCCATTCGCGGCGTCACAGACTCCCAAGGGCACTTCGAAGGCGAAGCGCGGAAGGTACGCTTCTCCGCTTTCGCCCGCGCGGCCGGGGCCATCGCCGGCGCAAGACCTCGTCGTCGTCCCCCTTTCCCCATGGCACCAGGTCCCGCTGCGCCTCTCCGCCTCCTCCTCCTCCGCCGCCGCCGCCGCCGCCGCCGCCGCTGATGCCTCAAATGCCGCGCCGAGGACGGAAACAGGGGTCGGCGATAGACGGCTACTAGCGCCCAATCTAGACAAAAATATCTTTATTTCCGCAGGAGTTACACTCTTTCCCGCGCTTCAAACGCCTGCAAGGCCCGCGGTCACTAGCGGCTCCTCCGCCGATTCGGCGGGAGCACCCGCGGGCGGCGGATTTTTCCGAATGGTTTGCGCCGTTCCGCGCGGCACGTGGGCGCAGGTGGAGCTGGCGGTGGCGGAGCCTCCGCACCATCCGCTGCGCGTGCGCGGAGACGATCTTCCCTTTCATTATAATCACAACCTTCAGTGGAACGTCGGCTTCCTCCCGCAAACCTGCCGCTGCTTCGATATCGACGGTACTTTTAGCAACGCCAGTCCTACTACAAATAGTTCTGATTGCGACAGCGATGGCTGCGGCCACGTCGACGGCAGAAGCGGCCTCTTGACCCCGCGCTCGATAAGCGCGGGGGGGACGGCGGAAAAGCGCTCGTTTGGCGGAAGCGTTACGGGGGGAAGCGTACACGGACCGCTAGAGGTGGTGGATATCGGGGGAGCGCGGGTGGAAGTGGGGCAGGTGTATCTGGTGAAGGCTCTTTTGTCGTTTCTGGTGGTTAGCCCGAACCTTCACACGAGCTGGACTGTGATTGTAACGAGCGACATTGATTCGGAGGGCGGCCGTCGAACCTGTGATGGTGACAGAAACGAGTGGGACGCAAGTGAATGCGACGATGGCGACGATCGCATCACGAGGAGTCTGGAGGAGATTCGCGAGTGGCTCAAGTTTCGAGGATGCTTGTCGCCGTGTGAGTTTGGCGAGATTCGCGAAGCAAGATTCATCATTCAGTGATTCATCATACACAAATGCAATTTCTGTGCGCTTTGTCTTTCCCATTCCACCTCCCTTCTTTATAGGAACCGAAATCACTGCATGTTCCCTTCTAAAATGTGCAATGCAATGCCAAAAATCCACGCAACACTTGTTACCTTCCATTTTGTCCCTCACCTCATTCCATACTGCTCTGCCTTGCCCCATTTCCCCCTCTTTCCAACCGCTTTAACCCCCGCATATCCCCTCACAACACTTTCCTCTCTTCCTCCCATCCAGTCGACCTTCCCTGCTCCATTTCCTTTCGGGAGAAGCCTGCGACTCTCAGCCGTACGATCTCCGTAATCAACGGTGCACATTCAGCCTGGAAAGAAGCCCATGGGTTTGCCTTCATGCCAACTCAGCAACAGCAGCAGCAGTCAGCGGACAAAAACCAGAAAGATGAAATGCTTCTAAGCCAGCTTCGGGAATCGTTGGAGCGCACACGTGGCGGCTCCGCGGAGTGCCACGTGGCAGGCAGTGTGGTGTGCGTCCCACTTTCCGAACCTTACGGTGCGCAAGAGATGGTTAGAAAGGCGTCTGGGACTGTGCTTCCTGGCGCTGCTGCTGCTGCATTGGCTGCTGTTGGTGTGAGGGAGGAGGGGGGAGGAGGAGGAGGAGGAGGAGGAGGAGGAGGAGGAGGAGGAGGAGGAGGAGGAGGAGGAGGAGGAGGAGGAGGAGGAGGAGGAGGAGGAGGAGGAGGAGGAGGAAGAGGAGGAGGCGGAGGAGGAAGAGGAGGAGGAGAAAAGGGAAGAGAGAAGGAGAGGGGGAAGGCAAAGGGAAGCTTACCATCTCGTGTCTATCACACTCGATCCTCTTCGTCCCCTGTATTGCTAGACATGACTTATGATGGGACAGGATCACCACAAAGCGATTCCGAATCTGCTTACAACGGAGCAGATCCATCCGGAAGGTACGGGTCGCCACAACTTAGCAAGTCCAGGTTTAAGAAGAGCAGTTTGGGGCGGGGGTTGGGGCTGGTAAGTAAAACACTTAGAGGGAAGGAAGAGGAAAGCGAGAAGGACAAAGGAGGAGGAGAGATGGTGAAGGAGGATAGATCTGGGATGTCGAAGGGCAGGTTTCATTTTACAGTGCGTGGCGGCGGTAGGGAGGAGAAGGAGGAGGGGAAGGGGGAAACGGAGGAGGGAAGGGTGGGGAGGGAGATGAGGAAGGATAAATTTGGGGACGGGAGGGCGGAGGAGGGGCAAGAAGGGAGGAGTGAACAGAGAGAGGGAGACGGAAAGGTGATGAGAGTAATCAAGAGCCACTCCTATGGTGAGGAGAAGGCGAAGAGAGTGGAGCAAGGTGAGCAGAGTGGAAAGAGAGAGGGCGGCAACACTTCAAGAGTTTTTAGAAGTAACTCGAATGACGAGAGGGCAAAGAAAGGAATTTTAAGGAAGCTGTTTAAAAAGGGGACTAAGTGGGCTGGAAAAAACGATGGTGATGCTGATGGTGATGCTAATGCTGATGGTGATGCTGATGGTGTTGATGGGGATAAGTTCGGAAAAGGTGAGAACGAGGAGTGCTCGTATGGAGAGATGAAAGTCACGGGGGAGGGAGTGAGAGAGGAGGGAGTGAGAGAGGAGGGAGTGGGAGAGGAGGGAGTGAGAGAGGAGAACGATGAGAGGAACACGAACCAGCTAGGTAAGACCCGCAGTAGCAATGGCAAAAGTAGCAGCACTAGCAGCAGCACTAGCAGCAGCGCTAGCAGCACTAGCAGCAGCAGCAGAAGCAAAGGCAAGGATTGGCGGCTTCTCATTCCCAAGCCTTCATTCCCCAGGCTACCTGGCCCTCTTCCTGCCTCTTCCTCTCTTGACACTTTTGAGAATTCTCAAAAGCAATCTCTTCTCATTCCTAAGCCTTCTTTTCCCAAGCTACCTGGCCCTTCTATCCCTGCCTCTTCCTCTCTTGACCGTTCCATCTTCCCTCACCTCTCCTCCTCCTCTTCCCCTCTCTCTTCCCCTCTCTCCTCCCGTCTCTCCTCCCCGCTCTCCTCCCCTCTCTCCTCCCCTCTCCTTCGTTCCCCTCGCCCTGTTCCGGCTCCTCTCTCCCCTCCCTCCCCTCCCACGGCCAATAGCAGCATCCCCGTTACTAGCACACTCAATAGCAGCAGCTCCGTTACTAGCACACTCAATAGTGGCACGACTAGCATCAGCATAGCTGCTGGGGCTATGACTGGTCAAGGGACGTCCTCTCTAGAACAGGAGGGTGCTGAAACGCGTTCGGGAGGAGGGGGAGAGAGTAAGGAGGGAGGAGGGGGAGAGAGTGGGAGAGGAAGAGGGGAAGAGAGCGGGAATGGAGAGAGAGAAGAGGGTGCAGGTGTAGCGTGTGGAGTGGCAGGGGTGGGCGAAGCAAGAAGGCACGGCAGTGGCAGTGGCAGTGGCAGTGGCAGTGGCAGTGGAAGGGGAAGGGGAAGGGGAAGGCATAGACGTGCTCTCTCTGTCACGGATGCCTGTATCCCTGTCACCCTCTCCCCCTCCTCCGTTCCCACTCCCTCCTCCTCCGCCTCCTCCTCCTCCTCCTCCTCCTCCTCCTCCTCCTCCTCCTCCTCCTCCTCCTCCTCCTCCTCCTCCTCCTCCTCCTCCTCCTCCTCCTCCTCCTCCTCCTTCAGCAGCACCACCACCACTAGCGTCACCAGCGATTTAAACTGCACCAGCAGCAGAAACAGCAGCAGTGGCAGCAGTTGTGTTAGCAGCAAGAAGAAGGCGAGCAGCAATTGTGAGACGCTGCTTCAAAAAGCTTGGAAAGGCAGAAGGAAATTGAGCCTGGATGGGGGTGTAATGGGCTTTGAGATGGGGGTGGATGGGGGTGGGGTGGGTGTTGAGACTTCTCATATTGCAAGAAAGGGTGTGCAAGGGAGAGGAGTGAGTGGGAGTGAGACGGCTTTTGATGTGCCTCGTAAGGCAAGGATAGGTGGGCAAGAAGGCGGGGTAAATGGGGGTGGGGGGTGCGCAGGTGTTGAGATGGGTTTACACTTCACACTGGCTAGTGAACGAAAGAGGTTGCTGCGGCTCTATAAGGGTGATTCTGATGTTGGTGTTTTGGAAGAAGGTGGTTGTGGTGATAGTGAGAGGTTTCTTAGCGAGGATGAAGGGGGTGAGGAGGAGGAACGGAGTGCATTGGAATTAGGAAGTCCAGATTCGAGCTGGTTCAGTGGAGGGGGGAAGGAGAGAAGAGAGGAGAAAGGAGAAAGAGGGGGCAAGAAAGGAAAAGGCAAGGGAGGGGAGGAAGGGAGCAGCTTCAGACGCAGCTTTGCTTTTGACTCTAACCCAGGGGCCGATACAGCCGCTCCTGCAAGAGATGTTTTTGCTGCTGATTCTGCTTCTGCTGCTGATGATGTTGCTGCTGCTGCTTCTGCCGATTATGCAGTTTCTGTTGGTAGCGCTGCTGCTGCTGCTGCTGCTGCTCCTGCTTCTGATTCTGCTGCAGCTGCTGCTGTTGCTCCCGAACCTGCCAGTACTGCTTCTCACGAATCATCTCGACCCACAAGCCAAAGCAGCTTTGAGTTCGGTATGTTGCTTCCAGGTTCGGGAGACGAAGGCTCGGCAGGTGGTTGTGATGGAGGTACGGAACTCGGAGGTGCGAACCGAACCTCAGGGCATTGGCAAGGCGCGGCTGGGTTCGCTACTGGAGGTTCGGGAACACCGAGGGAGGTTACTCGGGCCAGTAAAGTGAGGCGGCGTTTCTCGTCCTTTTCTGGGTATTTGGAGCTGAGGGCAATTGGTGGTGGTGGAGGAGGGGGAGGAGGAGGAGGAGGAGGAAAAGGAGGAGGAGGAGGAGGAGGAGGAGGAGGAGGAGGAGGAGAAGGAGGAGGAGGAGGAGGAGGAGGAGGAGGAGGAGGAGGAGGAGGAGGAGGAGGAGGAAAAAGGAGGGGGGTAACCGGTGGGATGAGTGTGTGCCAAAGCCATGGGATTTCCGTTGCGAGTTCAGATGAAAAATCGGTCGGTGCTTTGAAGAAATTTCAAAAGCTGCAGGGAGGAAAAGACGAGGAAGAAAAGGGCGAGGAGGACAAAAAGGAGGACGAGGGTGGGGATGATGAGGAGGAGGAGGAGGATGGTGATGAGCTTACTCCGATTGCCACGCCAAAAATTTTGAGTGGACTCAAAATTCGGGAGGGGGAGGAGGAGGAGGAGGAGGAGGAGGAGGAGGAGGAGGAGGAGGAGGAGGAGGAGGAGGAGGAGGAGGAGGAGGAGGAGGAGGAGGAGGAGGAGGAGGAGGATGATGAGGATGGTGATGAGTTTACCCCGATTGCCATGCCGAGACTTTTGTATGGACCCAAAAGTCAGGAGAGCAATGCTGGGGATGATGGGGATGATGGTGATGAGCTTACTCCGATTGCCACGCCTATAGCAACTGCTGTGGCCGTTTCACCATCCAACTCCCCTGTGCTTCTTTGGAGGAGGAATGAAGGGGAGGAAGGAGGACAAGAGGAGGAGGAGGAAGAGGAGGATGAGGAAGAGTTCACTCCGATTGCTGCTCCTGTGGTCTCTCACTCCTTGTCTGCACTCGAGCAGCAAAAACAGTCCAGGTTCAATGAATCTCCAAGGGCTGCTGCTGCTCCTGCTGCTGCTGCTGCTCCTGCTGCTGCTGCTGCTCCTGCTGCTGCTGCTGCTCCTGCCGCTGCTGCTCCTGCCGCTGGTGCTAGTAACATTACAGGTGGTGCCGTTGCAGGTGGGGTTTCAGTAGGTGAAATTTCAGGTGGGGTTTCACTAGGTGGTACCGGTGGGAGGCCCAGGCACAGGCAGTGCCAGTCGTTTTCCGGCTTTGACTTTGGCTCAGATGCACCGGGACAGGCGTTTCCTGAGGCACAGCCTCAAAAGCGCAGGTTCAGTGTATCTGGACAGGCAATGTTTGAGGCGCAGCCTAAAGTGGTCAGGTTCAATGTACCTGGAGAAGACGACAGGGGGGAGGCGGGTGGCGGGGAAAATCCGGGGCAAACGGGGGGAGTGGAGCAACTGAGGGCGCGACGAGAAGAGGAGACGGGATGGGAAGAGGGTGTGATGAGCAGCAAAGCACGGTTCGCCATCCCAAGGGGAAGAACTGAAATCTTGAGGGCTGCTTCTGCTGCTGCTGCCGCTGCTCCTCCTGCTGCTGCTCTTGCCGCTGCTGCCGCTCCTGCTGCTGCTCGTGCTGCTGCCGCCGCTGCTGCTGACAGTGATGGGGTTTCAGGTGGTGGAAATTCAGGTGGTTGGGCATCGTCAGGTGAAATTTCAGGTAGTGGGGGCAGTGGTAAGACCAGGCACAGGCAGTGCCAGTCGTTTTCCGGCCTTGACTTCGGCGTGAATGCGTGGGTTATGGGGAGCGACAAAGACGGAGGGAGAGGAGTGGCTATAGCAAGCACAGGGCGTAGAGAGGAGGGCTTGAGTGTGTGGGAGAGAAGGAATGGGGGGGGGAGAGGGTGGGGAGGCGGAGGAGGAGAGGAGGGACGGGGATTGTCACTTACAGTAGCATCGTTTACGGTTGGGATGAAGGGGGAAGGGGAGAGGAGGGATGGAGGAGGGGGGGGAGGGAGAAGAGAGGGGGTTGGAGGGTTACTGTCTCCTCCCCCTAGAGCAGTGTCGTTTGCTTCTGGGATGAATGGAGGAGAAGGGGAAGGAGTGAGAGAGGAGGGTGGGTCAAGGAGGGGAGGGAGAGGAGGAGACGAGGGGGGGTTGCTGTCTCCACGAACTGTGGCATTTTCTTCTGGGTTGAAAGGAGGGGGAGGAGAGAGAGGGGGGGATGGAGGAAGGAGCGGAGGGACAGGAGGAGAGGAAGAGAGGGGGAAGGAAGGGAAAGGGAGAGGGCAAGAAGGGAAGGGAAGGGAAGGAGGAGAGGGAAATGGAGGGAAGGGAATGGCTGATGAGGTGAAGCGAGTGGCAGTAATTGGCAGAAGCAGCACCACCAGCAGCACCACCAGCAGCACCACCAGCAGGACTAGCAGCACTAGCAGCAGCAACAGCAGAGGCACAGGCGTTGGCAGGAGAAGAGGTGTGAGCATGGATTTGGGCACTGGTGGGATTACGAATAGGGTTTCGGGAGGAGTTAGCTTGAGCAAGGATATGAGCAAGCATATGAGCAAGGATATGAGCAAGGATATGAGCAAGGATATGAGCAAGGATATGAGCAAGGATATGAGCAAGAGTGTGGGTAGGAGTACCAGCTATGGGTCTGGTAGCATTGCCATTTCTACCCGCATCAGTAGCAGATCTTATCCCATCGGTATCAAATCCCCCACTGGTATCAAATCCCCCACCAGTATCAAATCTCCTACTGGTGTCAAAGGGGGAACAACAGGAGGGGAAACAGGGGTCCCCAGGTCCCCAAGAGGGGGGGAAACAGGGGTCCCCAGGTCCCCAAGAGGGGGGGAAACAGGGGTCCCCAGGTCCCCAAGAGGGGGGGAAACAGGGGTCCCCAGGTCCCCAAGAGGGGTGCTCAAGTCTCCTCGAGGGGTGGTGGGCAGCAGGGACATGGTCTCTTGGAACCCCCCCACCCAAGGCATCCTCAGCGGCAGAAGCTTCAGCACAGCTTATCCAAGCAGCACCGTCCCAAGCCCAAGAGGAACAGGAGGAGGGACTGGGGTTCCCAAGTCCCCAAGAGGAGGGGACATGGTCTCTTGGAACCCCCCCACCCAAGGCATCCTCAGCAGAAGGAGCTTCAGCTCCGTAAATCCAAGCAGCACCGTCCCAAGCCCAAGAGGAACAGGAGGAGGAGGGTTGATGATCCGAGAAGCAGCAGCAGCAGCAGCAGCAGCCGCAGGGGAAGAAGCAGGTGGAGCAGCAAGAGGAGCAGCAAGAGGAGCAGCAAGAGAAGTGGGGGCATCAGGAGGAGACGCAGGATTGCCCAGGTCTCCTCGAGGGGTGTCGTCCGGGAGGGGAGGGGGGCAGAAAGAGGCTGCAGAAGAGGCAATGGCGAGACACAACGCGGGGATGCGAGCAGCAGGAGGGGACACAGAAATCCCCAAGTCTCCTCGAGAGGCAGCAGCAAAGGCAATGGCGAGACATAATGAGGCCTTGCGTTTGAAACGCGAGGCTCAGGCTCAGTCCGCTGCTTCTGCTTCTGCTGCTGATGCTGATGCCAGTGCGAACGGCGTTGCTGCTGCACCGGCCACAGCAGCAGCAGCAGCAGTTTCCAGCCTGCTGCATTCGTCTGGGCTCGGCGCGTGGCTCTCTCCCGGACCTAGCCCGGCTGGTTCAGCTGCTCACACCCCTGCTGCATCTGATGATGACAACACTCCTTGCAAGCAGCGGCCTGCTAAGCTTGGTCAAATGGGAGATCAGCAGAAGCAGGGGCAGCAGCAACAGAGGTAGTAGCAATAGGGGCAACACCAGCGGCAGCAGCAGCAGCAAGGGCAGAATCAGTCCGCTAGCAACAACATTCCTCGCAAGCAGCGGCTTGCTAGGCTTGGCCAAACGGAAGATCAGCAGAAGCAGGGGCAGCAGCAACAGAGGTAGTAGCAATAGGGACAACACCAGCGGCAGCAGCAGCAGCAGCAAGGGCAGAATCAGTAGGGGAAGTTGCAGCAGTAGGGGAAGCAGCAGCAGTAGGGGAAGCAGCAGCAGTAGGGGAAGCAGCAGCAGTAGGGGAAGCAGTAGCAGTAGGGGAAGTAGGCAGCAGCAGGCCTCTTAGCAAAAGGATCCTGCATTGAATCTTAAGGCACATGGGAGGCTCAAACTCTGACTTAAGTGCTATAATTGTGTGGCATCGATCTGTAAAAGTGAAGCAAAAGCAGGCCTATTTGAGTCGGGTTTTGTAACGGAGTTTGTGTAGAGTGTACCCCTCACAAACCGTTACTTCGCGAAGGTGGCGAGAAAATGCTACCTTTCCTGGCGAAGACGTCACTTCAGGGCCAGCCCCTCTCAGGGGTCCACGTGCAAAAATTTCGTACCGCCCCTCCGCACGTCAATGAACCAATCACATCACTCATGGCAATCCCCAAGATTCTGGTGCGCAGCGTAGTTGCTGTCGAAAACATCCTTCCCGCCCCGCACTTGCGGTTCTCTCCTCTCCCCCTTCCCCTTCGTGCTCCTCTCCCCCTTCCCCTTCACAAGGTGCGCAGACCAATTGTCCCGGGATAGTCATCGACGGCTTTCGGAAGCCCAGACCCCCTACGAAACGCATCGAAGCCTTCCGATTGTTGTCCGCTCTTCCCCCCGCTCTGCCCCTGCTTTCTCCCCTCATCCCTTCCCCCCATGCTCCGGCGGCATGCACGGCTTGGTGGTCTGGGCCTCTTCTTCTACCCCGCCCCACCTCACCTTACCCCACCTCACGAAACCGCATTTTATTCAGGAAATCTCACCCCATCCCACCACATCCCACATGTGTAAGTTCTAGTGAAGACAACAAAGTTGCTGTGCAGTACTGGGCTCGCGTTGTCAGGCACTCGTCGCGTCGCCTCCAATCGAGCATCCGTGAAGCGCCATTGGCTGTTGTTGGGGTGAAAGAAAATATATAAACTGCAGGTAATCTCTTGAGTCTGTATGAGACGGAATTCATTCCGCGCGGCGAAGCCCGTCGAGCCCGCGCTGTATGCCTCCATGGCCACGTCATCATCCACATTGTTTTCCACGTCAGCAGAAGCAGCGGACGTCGTGGCAGCACGGCTAGGGCGGCACGACAGCTCGATCGACGCGTCCGTTCCGTTAATCACGCCGCTAATCACGCCGTCTCCGCCAGATCCGCCGCGATTCCAGCCTTTCGAACTCGACGTGGATGCACCCGCGCCGTCCTCTCCGAATCGCGCTCACAGTGCCACGTGTCATCACGCCTCGCGAAGTGTTTGGCGATTCGTTCTTGCGAGATTTTTCTCTTACCTTCCGCGGCCCGTCCCTCTCCTCCTCTCGCCGTACCTCGAATACTCATGCTCTTGCTCCGCTACAAGCACTTCAAGAACTCGCGTTTCAGCCACATCTGTTACCAGAATTTTCGGCAGATCGGAACCTCATTCCATCACCAGTCAGTTTTCCTCCTTGATACCTCGTAGCTATTCCCATTCGCTACTAGATATCCGCCGCTATTCGCCACTTGGCCTTTGTCTATTGGTCCTCCTCCTCTTCGTCTGCCCCTCTCTTTTCTTCCTTTTCTTTCCCCAATCCGCCAATCTCCTTCGAGCGCTCTCCTCCCTCTTCCAATCCGAAGGCGCCACGTGTCCCGCCTCTGTCACGGGCCTGGCGCACGTGTATCAGCTGAATCCGCGCTTCGGCGCGCATTTTGAGGGCGAGGCGGAATTCGCGCAGTGGGAATCGCGTTGCGGGGGAGGCGGGAGAGACGGAGGAGGGGGAAGGAGAGGGAGAAGGGGAGGGGGAGACGTCGGGGGAAGTGGGGAAGAAGGGAACGATGGTGTTTCTAACGAAGAGTCTCTTATGGGAGGGGGGGAGTATAGCCTGAGTGTCTATAGCGCAGGTGCCTCAAGAGGAGGTGATGACGTGGCAGGCAGAAGGGAGCGACGTACATGGGAAAGAATGTGGAAAGGGAGGGCGGGAAGCGGGAGCAGAGGGGGGGAGATGGGGGAGGCGGGGTTGGGGGAGGGGAAGGGGAGGGAGAGGGGATGGAGGGAAGGGGGGGACTGGGGGGAGGGGAAGGAGTGGAGGGAGGAGGCCGGGTTGAGAAGGCTGAGGCGATTGCTGCAGAGGGATGAGGAGAGAGTTCAGGTGAGAGTTCAGGTGAAAGTTCAGGTGATGGCTCAGATGAAAGGTCAGGTGAGAGTTCAGGTGACGGTTCAGGTGAGAGTTCAGGTGAGAGTTCAGGTGAGGGCTCAGGTGAGAGTTCAGGTGAGAATTCAGGTGAGGGCTCAGGTGAGAGTTCAGGCGAGAGTTCAGGTGAGAGTTTGGGTAAGAAGTCTCTCCATCTGTTACAGTTTTTTTTCTCTCTCAAATGCCACCTTCCTTCGTCTGCCCTCTCTTGCTCGTTCTCTCTCCCCCTTGCCTATCTCATCTCTCCCCCCCACCCTTATCAGGTGCGCAGCAGGCAGCACAGTGCAGCAGTGGCGACAGCAGCAGGTGCCACAGTGCCAGGTGGCGGGCTGCGATTGGTCAAGGGGTCGTCGGCGGCAGTGACTCGCATTCATGGGCGCATCTTCCCCGAGGGGTGAGAGGGAGGGGGTGAGAGATGTGGGGGGATGGGTGTGGGGGATGGGTGTGGGGGGAGGGTGTGGGGGATGGGTGTGGGGGATGGGTGTGGGGGATGGGTGTGGGGGATGGGTGTGGGGGATGGGTGTGGGGGATGGGTGTGGGGGATGGGTGTGGGGGATGGGTGTGGGGGATGGATGTGGGGCCTGGGGGGATGGGTGTGGGGCCTGGGGGGATGGGTGTGGGGCCTGGGGGGATGGGTGTGGGGCCTGGGGGGATGTATACATCAATGAAGTATGGCGGGTCGGCGGCAGTGACTCGCATTCATGGCGTATCTTCCTGGAAGGGTGAGAGGGAGAAAGGAGGGATGGGTGGGGATGGGTGGGGATGGGTGGATATGGGTGTCCTGGGCAGCCACGGGAAGACAAGCCAGTCTCTCCTATTTCCCCTCTCTTTCCTCATGTCTCCTCCTCTCCTCGCACCTATTTCCTCCACATACACACGCCCAGCCATCTGTGCCCTGGATGGCTTGTCACTTTCCCATCCTGTCTCCGCAAACCACTCCCACCTCTTCTATCCCTCCCCTCTCCACAGTCCCCGCCCCTATCCCCCCCCTACCCCCCCCCTATCCCGCCCTTATTCCGCCCCCTATCCCGCCCCTATCCGCTCCCTATCCCTCCCCTATTCCGCCCCCTATCCCTCCCCTATTCCGCCCCCTATCCCTCCCCTATTCCGCCCCCTATCCCTCCCCTACTCCGCCCCCATCCCTTTCCTATCTCCCCTCCCTTTCAGGCTATACTACATAGCAGTGGGACTTGGCACGTCCCGCCCCTCGCACCTACTCTCCGGACATAGGCACGGGCAGCGGTGGCTTGGCAGTTTACTTTTGAGGCGCCTCATAACTAGACACGGGCAGCCACGTCTCCTGGCTGGCTTGTCACTCCCCTTTCATGCCCCTGTGTCCCGTACTCCCCCTCGCAGTGGGACTTGGCACGCCCCTCCCCTCGCTCCTACTCTCCGGACATAGACACGGGCAGCGGTGGCTTGGCAGTTTACTTTTGAGGCGCCTCATAACTAGACACGGGCAGCGGCGGCTTGGCAGTTTAGTTTCGAGGCGCCTCAAAACTAGTCACGGGCAGCGGCGGCTTTGTAGCTCGCTGAGAATAATGTCACACGCCCCGCCCCTCGCACCTACTCTCTGGACATAGACACGGGCAGCGATGGCTTGGCATGGATCCGTTCTGTCTTGCACTCGTTTCTGCAACTTCCCCAATCTTCCCTCTGTCCCATCCCAACCCCTCTTCCCCTCCCCCCCAGGCTCTACTACATAGCAGTGGCTTCTTTTGAGGCGCCTCAAAAGTCGACAACATAGCAGTGGCTTTTGAGTCGACTCAAAGTCACCCCACCCCTCGTCCCCCCCCCTCCCCCCCAGGCTATACTACATAGCAGTGGGACTCGGCACCCCTCCGCGCACCTACTTTCTCGACATAGACACGGGAAGCCATGTCTCCTGGGTGGCATGCGATGCTCCCTGTCACCCTCCTCTCATGCCCCTGTGTGTTGACTATTGAGTCGACTCAAAAGTCGGCACGGGAAGCCACGTCTCCTGGGTGGCCTGTCACCCTCCTCTCATGCCCCTGTATCCCCACACTCCCCACCTCCCTTCTCTCCCCTCTCTCCTATCTCTCCCTCCCGCCCCTATCCCTCTCCCCCCCAGGCTATACTACATAGCAGTGGGTCTCGGCACGCCCCGCCCCTCGCACATACTTCTCAACATAGACACGGAAAGCCACGTGTCCTGCGTGGCTTGTCACTCTCATCTCATGCCCCTGTGTCCCCCACTTCCCAATTCCCCTATCCCTCTCTCTCCCAGGCTATACTACATAGCAGTGGGTCTCGGCACGCCCCGCCGCATCCCTCTCCCCCACCAGGCTATACTACATAGCACTGGGACTTGGCACGCCCCCCCGCACCTATTCCCTCGACATAGTCACGGGCAGTCACATGCTGCTCCAGACATGCCAGTATCCCTATTTCCCCTTTCTCCTCGTCTCTCCCCTTACTCCAGGCTCTACTACATAGCAGTGGGTCTCGGCACCCCCCCCCGCACCTACTTTCTCGACATAGACACGGGAAGCCATGTCTCCTGGGTGGCGTGCGATGCTCCCTGCGTGAACTGCGCTCAGGTGGGACTCTGTTGCGCTCAGGTGGGACTCTGTTGCGCTCAGGTGGGACTCTGTTGCGCTCAGGTGGGACTCTGTTGCGCTCAGGTGGGACTCTGTTGCGCTCAGGTGGGACTCTGTTGTGCTCAGGTGGGACTCTGTTACGCTCAGGTGGGACTCTGTTGCGCTCAGGTGGGACTCTGTTGCGCTCAGGTGGGACTCTGTCGCGCTCAGGTGGGACTCTGTTGCGCTCAGGTGGGACTCTGTCGCGCTCAGGTGGGACTCTGTTGCGCTCAGGTGGGACTCTGTTGCGCTCAGGTGGGACTCTGTTGCGCTCAGGTGGGACTCTGTTGCGCTCAGGTGGGACTCTGTTGCGCTCAGGTGGGACTCTGTTGCGCTCAGGTGGGACTCTGTTGCGCTCAGGTGGGACTCTGTTGTGCTCAGGTGGGACTCTGTTACGCTCAGGTGGGACTCTGTTGCGCTCAGGTGGGACTCTGTTGCGCTCAGGTGGGACTCTGTTGTGCTCAGGTGGGACTCTGTTGCGCTCAGGTGGGACTCTGTTGCGCTCAGCATACTCTCTTCTCATCTCCCTGTTCCTCTTCTCTGCTCTCATTTCCTTCCCCCCCTCCCCCCCTTTCCCCCAGGGCCCCAACCCATGGTATGATCCCTCCCACACCTCTCTCGTAGACTGCCACTCACGCAGGGAACGCCATTCCTCCCCTCTCCTCTCATTTCCTCTTGCTCACGTTGCTCTCCTTGCGTTCCCCCACCCCTCAGGGCCCCAACCCATGGTGCGATCCCTCCCATGCCTCTCTCGTAGACTGCCTCTCCCTGCTGGTCCCTTACCTTACTTTTATCCCTGCGTCTACAACACCTGTTTTCTCCTTTGCTAAACTTTCTCCTCCACTGCTGCTCGCTGGATCATGTCTAACAGTCTCGTAGACTGCCTCTCCCTGCTGGTCCCTTACTTTTATCCCCATCCCACTTCTGTACTCTCACTCCCACCCACCTCTTCCCCCTCCCACCTCGCACTCCCCCCAGGGCCCCAACCCATGGTACAATCCCTCCCACGCGCCTCTCGTGCTCTGCCTGCTCTTTACCCCTCCCTTGCAGCCCTAATTATTCCTACATGCTTTGAGTCGACTCAAAACACGGCTATTTTGTGCTCCCATTTCCCCCCCACTCCCCCCAGGGCCCCAACCCATCGTACGATCCCTCCCATGCCTCTCTCGTGCTCTGCCTGCTCTTTACCCCTCCCTTGCAGCCCTGCTTATTCCTATGCTGCTCTTTTGTGCTCCCATTTCCCCGCCCCCTCCCCCCAGGGCCCCAACCCATGGTACGATCCCTCCCACGCCTCTCTCGTGCTCTACCTGCCCCCCACCCCTACCTCCTAGCCCCATATTTACTTACTCATATGGTTGGTACTAAATTGGTGCGACTTTTGAGAATTCTCAAAAGCCCCACCCCTACCTCCTAGCCCCACTTATTCCCATGCTTCTCTTCTGTGTTCTCTTCTTCCCCCTCCCCCACACCACCCTCCTCCCAGGGCCCCAACCCATGGTACGACCCCTCCCATGCCTCTCTGGTGGACTGCCGTTCCGACCTCTGCCAAGCCGCACAGACAGGCTTCATCCGAGGCTGCTCCTCAGGCTCGGAAGGTGCCGAAGCTGAGGGTGTGGCTGGGGGGGGTATGGGGATGAAGAAAGGGGAGGGGGTTCACACCAAGCCACGGCATTTACAAGAGGCGTCCAGAGGGGTTATGAATGGTACCAGCAGCGTTGCAGCAGGTGCTGCTAGTGCTGCTGGTGGTGCTGGTGACAGCAACCAGAGTGACAATAACGAGGGTGACAGCAGCAGCAGCGGCCAGTGTGACTATGACATAGTGTACGCAGACGGAAGCAGCTCCCAGGGTGTGCTTGTAACGGATAGGTTACTGTTCCTGCACCCCTCAGGCACACTCAAGGCCGCGCAATTCACATTCGGGTGAGATTATATCAAATAGTTATAAGCATCATATGATTCTGTTATATTTTGTCACTTTTCTGGTTGTACGACCAGGAAGGAGCTTTTGCTCTCAACCTCCTTTCCAATTACAACCAGCCATTTCCCATTCCGCCTTGCTCCACCCGTCCCATTCTGCCCCCACAACCAGCTGTGCATACGACCAGGAGGGAGATCTCACCGTCTCCCTTCCACTACCTGCAACATGTTTGAAGAAGTGTTTTGAGACGTCTCAAAACACGTCTCCCTTCCACTACCTGCAACATTCACTTCCCTCCTACCTCGTCCCCTTTCCCCATTGCCCCTGCCCTGCCTCCCCAAACCAGCTGTGCCTACGACCAGGAGGGGGATCTCGACGTCTCCTCTGCACCCACACCTCATCACTTTCCCCTTTTCCTGCGCTTGTCCCCCCTTTCCCACCCTTCCCCCCATCCCCACACCCCACAACCAGCTGTGCATACGACCAGGAGGGGGATCTCGCCGTCTCCCCTGCTCGCTCCGATGGGTTGCTGGGTCTCGGCCCATCCAACCTCTCGCTCCCTGCCCAGGTACCGCCTCTCTCGTTCTCCCACTAGGGTTGAGGTTCAATGCGGGTCAATGCAGGTCAATGCGGGTCAATGCGGGTCAATGCAGGTCAATGCGGGTCAATGCGGGTCAATGCGGGTCAATGCGGGTCAATGCAGGTCAATGCGGGTCAATGCAGGTCAATGCGGGTCAATGCGGGTCAATGCGGGTCAATGCAGGTCAATGCGGGTCAATGCGGGTCAATGCGGGTCAATGCAGGTCAATGCGGGTCAATGCAGGTCAATGCAGGTCAATGCGGGTCAATGCGGGTCAATGCAGGTCAGTGCAAGTCGCTCCGATGGGGTGCTGGGTCTCGGCCCTTCCAACCTCTCGCTCCCTGCCCAGGTGCCCCCTTCTTGCCACTGAGGGCCCCCCTACCGCGGTCAATGCGGTCAATGCAGTCAATGCGGTCAATGCGGTCAATGCGGTCAATGCGGTCAATGCAGTCAATGCGGTCAATGCGGTCAATGCGGTCAATGCAGATCAACTCTAATCAGGTCTACCTGTGTTTGGTGCTGTTTGCTCCTTTTCCCCTCCCCATATTCTCTCCCTCCTTTCCTCCTCCCCTCGTCCCCTTTCCTGCCCCTCCCTCCCCCCTCCCCTCACGGCTACCACCCCCACACCCACTCCACTCTCCTCTCGCCTCACCACACCCACCAGCTGTCCAGAGCAGGGGTGGGGCGAAACGTGTCTTGCCACTGTCTCGATTCGGTAGCATCTGCATCCCTCCCATACCCACCCTTCTTCTCACTCAATTCCTCGCTTCCCCCTACCTACCCTCCCCTCGCACCACACCCACCAGCTGTCCAGAGCAGGGGCGGGGCGAAACGTGTTTGGCCACTGTCTCGATTCGGCAGTATCTGGGGGAGGTTACTTCTTCATAGGGGAAGCGCTTTTACCCAGCACCCTCACCTGGACCCCCCGTGCTGCCACCAGCGACACGTGAGTGAGTGAGGGAGTGAGTGAGGAGAGTTGAATTGAGTGAGGATCTCTCACTTGTACCCTTCGAGCTGCAGCAAGCGACATGTGATTGAGTGAGGGAGTGATTGAGAGAGTTCGTGAGGGAGTGAGTGAGAGAGTTTGTGAGGGAGTGAGTGAGAGAGTTTGTGAGGGAGTGAGTGAGAGAGTTTGTGAGGGAGTGAATGATGAGCAGATGAGTGATGGAGTGAGTGAGGTAATTCCTTCTTCCTTCTCAACTCATCCCCATCTTTCTTAATTCCCATTCCCTCACACCCATCCCCTCACCCATCCTCACCCATCCTCACCCATCCTCACCCATCCCCCCAGCCGCTACTACCACGCATCCCTCCTCCGCATCTCCTATGGTTCCAAGAAGCTTCCCATCGACGATCCCAAGGCGCTCCACAATAAGCACGCAGGCTCTGCCTCTGCTTATAACGAGGATGGTGGAGTGGAGAGCGGAGGGGCAATATTTGACTCGGGGTCGTCATTTGCATACCTGCCTGCTGCACCATTTGACGCACTGCTAGAGATGGTGAGTGTTTTGGGGAAATCGTGAGCCTTCTCAAACCGCTCACCATCTCAAATCGTGAGCCTTCTCAAACCTATATCATACTCATATGGATGTTCGACTTGGGGTCGTCGTTTGCGTACCTGCCCGGTCCTACTTTTGAAGCGTTGCTGGAGATGGTGAGTGCAATCCTAGGCAGTTTTTAGTTGACTCAAAAGTCAACTCGTTGCTGGAGATGGTGAGTGCGATTCCAAGCATTGCTGAAGAGAGAAGCGGGTGAAGTGTCACCTGCCTGCCTGCTGGGTGAAGTGTCACCTGCCTGCCTGCTGGGTGAAGTGTCACCTGCCTGCTGGGTGAAGTGTCACCTGCCTGCTGGGTGAAGTGTCACCTGCCTGCTGGGTGAAGTTTCACCTGCCTGCTGGGTGATGTTTCACCTGCCTGCTGGGTGGAGTGGAAAGAGGAGGGGCGATATTCAACTCAGGGTCGTCGTTTGCATACCTGCCTGCTGCTCCCTTAGATGCACTGCTACAGATGGTGACTTTTGAGTCGACTCAAAAGGCATCAGAAAGAAAAGCTGGTGATGTGCGTCTATCCACCAACACGTCCTACCTGCCTGCTGCTCCCTTAGATGCACTGCTACAGATGGTGAGCGTTTCTGGGAAATCGTGAGACGTATCAAATCTTGATCATTCTCACGCGGGTGTTCGACTCTGGGTTGCCGTTTGCCTACCTGCCTGCCTGCTTCCTTGGATGCACTGCTACAGATGGTGAGTGACGGTACACAGATGCATCAGAAAGAAAAGCTGGTGATGCGATGTGTGTTTGTCCACCAACACATCCTACCTGCCTGCTGCTCCCTTGGATGCACTGCTACAGATGGTGAGTGACGGTACTAAGATGCATCAGAAAGAAGAGCTGGTGATGTGCGTTTGTGGTGACTTGTGAGTCGACTCAAAAGTCACCTCGAAAAGCTGGTGATGTGTGTTTGTCCACCAACACATCCTACCTGCCTGCTGCTCCGTTTGATTTGAGGTGTTGCTAACAAGGTGAGGGTTTTGGTAGACTTGTGAGATGTCTCTCAAAGCTTGTTCGTTTACCTGCTTGCTTCTTATTATAACTAAAATAGATACCTTTAGCGTCGTCTCAAATCTTATATTTTTGTGGTGTGGCAAAAAGTTTGATGGTGAGGGTTTGGAAGGCTGCTTCCAATCTGCCCTGTTCTCGCTTTTTGAGGCGCCTAAAAATTCCTTCCAATCTGCCTTGTGCCCGCCCCTCGCTTGCTGCTCCTCCCAGGTATCAGCCGATGCAGCAGCGGCAGGCATGCAAACCAGACACCACCATCGTGACTGTGCCACCCCACCGCTGGCGAGCAAGGAAAGGGGCTTTAGTCCCTGACTCCAACTCCTTTGTTGCTCTCTTGACCCTCTTGACCCTCTTGTCCCCCTCGCGCCCCTCCTCCCAGGTATCAGCCGATGCAGCAGCAGCAGGCATGCAGGCAGACACCACCGTGACTGTGCTACCGCACTGCTGGCGGGCGGGTAAAGGGGCAGCCGAGATCAGGTGCGTGGGATGGGGAGAGTTGGGATAGGCTATTGACTTAGTCAATTCAGGAATAGAGTTGCTCCTTGCAATTTATGTGATGCTGCCACCCCCACGTGACTGTGCTACCACCCCCACGTGACTGTGCTACCACCCCCACGTGACTGTGCAACCCCACTGTTGGGAGGCAGGGATAGGGACTGCCGAGATCAGGTGCGTGCGTGGGATGGAAAGAGTACGGGTAGGCCTTTGAATCAACTCAAAATTCGGCCCATTTTTCGCTGTTTGTATGCTGCACCACCACCACCACTGCTGTGACTACTTTTGAGGCGCCTCAAAACCCATTTTTCGCTGTTTGTATGCTGCACCACCACTGCTGTGCTTAGGGTCGACTCAAAGTCTGTTTGTATGGTGCACCAAATTTTGAGTCGACTCAAAACTTTTTCCCTGTTTGTATGGTGCACCAAGTTTTTAGTCGACTCAAAACTTTTTCGCTGTTTGTATGGTGCACCACCACCACTGCTGTGCTTCCCCGTGCTTCCCCATGCATTCACATGCGTTCACATGCAACACCTCGCAACCCCATGCAACCAACCCCATGCAACCAACCCCATGCAACCAACCCCATGCAACCAACCCCATGCAACCAACCTCATGCAACCAACCAACCCCATGCAACCAACCCCATGCAACCAACCCCATGCAACCAACCCCATGCAACCAACCAACCCCATGCAACCAACCCCATGCAACCAACCCCATGCAACCAACCCCATGCAACCAACCCCGTGCAACCAACCCCATGCAACCAACCAACCCCATGCAACCAACCCCATGCAACCAACCTCATGCAACCAACCCCATGCAACCAACCCCATGCAACCAACCCCATGCAACCAACCCCATGCAACCAACCCCGTGCAACCAACCCCATGCAACCAACCCCATGCAACCAACCCCATGCAACCAACCCCATGCAACCAACCAACCCCATGCAACCAACCCCATGCAACCAACCTCATGCAACCAACCCCATGCAACCAACCCCATGCAACCAACCCCATGCAACCAACCCCGTGCAACCAACCCCATGCAACCAACCCCATGCAACCAACCCCATGCAACCAACCCCATGCATTCCCCATGCATCCCTCCCCATGCCATCCTCTCAGGTCCACCGTTGATGTGGCATCTCATTTCTCTCCGCTCACTTTCTCGTTTAAGTCACACTCCATCTTCTCCACATCAGCTGATCTCTCCGTTGCTCCTTCAACATATCTCCTCTCACCGGTGAGAATTGGAAAGAAGGGGGTTCGGAGTAAAGCAACACTCTCGTGGCAGCTCATTTCTCTCCACTCACCTTCTCCTTTGCCTCACACTCCATCTTCTCCACATCAGCTGATCTCTCCGTTGCTCCTGCCATGTACCTCCTCTCACCGGTGACTTACTCCGACAATCAGTTGGTATGGTGGTGCTTGGTAAGGGGGTGGCTGGCTGAGTGAGAACGCTTTTGAGGCGCCTAAAAAAAAACGACCTTTTTGAGGCGCCTCAAAAACGACCTCAGTTGGTATGGTGGTGCTTGGTAAGGGGGTGGCTGGCTGAGTGAGAAGATTTTTTAGTCGATTCAAAAATCAACTCACTACACAATCAGTTGGTATGGTGGTGCTTGGTAAGGGGGTGGCTGGGTGAGTGAGAACGCTCATAGCTCTCCACTCACCTTCTCCTTTGACTCACACTCCATCTTCTCCTCGTCAGCAGACCTCTCCGTTGCTCACGCCGCACACCAGGCTCCTTCCGCCATTTTCTTTTTATGGAGTTTGTTTCGCACTCCATCTGGCCTCTTTTGATGACTCGCACTCCCATCTTCTCCTCGTCAGCAGGCCTCTCCGTTGCTCCCGCCGCACACCAGGCTCCTTCCGCCATTTTCTTTTTATGGAGTTTGTTTCGCACTCCATCTGGCCTCTTTTGATGACTCGCACTCCCATCTTCTCCTCGTCAGCAGGCCTCTCCGTTGCTCCCGCCGCACACCAGGCTCCTTCCGCCATTTTCTTTTTATGGAGTTTGTTTCGCACTCCATCTGGCCTCTTTTGATGACTCGCACTCCCATCTTCTCCTCGTCAGCAGGCCTCTCCGTTGCTCCCGCCGCACACCAGGCTCCTTCCGCCATTTTCTTTTTATGGAGTTTGTTTCGCACTCCATCTGGCCTCTTTTGATGACTCGCACTCCCATCTTCTCCTCGTCAGCAGGCCTCTCCGTTGCTCCCGCCGCACACCAGGCTCCTTCCGCCATTTTCTTTTTATGGAGTTTGTTTCGCACTCCATCTGGCCTCTTTTGATGACTCGCACTCCCATCTTCTCCTCGTCAGCAGGCCTCTCCGTTGCTCCCGCCGCACACCAGGCTCCTTCCGCCATTTTCTTTTTATGGAGTTTGTTTCGCACTCCATCTGGCCTCTTTTGATGACTCGCACTCCCATCTTCTCCTCGTCAGCAGGCCTCTCCGTTGCTCCCGCCGCACACCAGGCTCCTTCCGCCATTTTCTTTTTATGGAGTTTGTTTCGCACTCCATCTGGCCTCTTTTGATGACTCGCACTCCCATCTTCTCCTCGTCAGCAGGCCTCTCCGTTGCTCCCGCCGCACACCAGGCTCCTTCCGCCATTTTCTTTTTATGGAGTTTGTTTCGCACTCCATCTGGCCTCTTTTGATGACTCGCACTCCCATCTTCTCGTCAGCAGGCCTCTCCGTTGCTCCCGCCGCACACCAGGCTCCTTCCGCCATTTTCTTTTTATGGAGTTTGTTTCGCACTCCATCTGGCCTCTTTTGATGACTCGCACTCCCATCTTCTCCTCGTCAGCAGGCCTCTCCGTTGCTCCCGCCGCACACCAGGCTCCTTCCGCCATTTTCTTTTTATGGAGTTTGTTTCGCACTCCATCTGGCCTCTTTTGATGACTCGCACTCCCATCTTCTCCTCGTCAGCAGGCCTCTCCGTTGCTCCCGCCGCACACCAGGCTCCTTCCGCCATTTTCTTTTTATGGAGTTTGTTTCGCACTCCATCTGGCCTCTTTTGATGACTCGCACTCCCATCTTCTCCTCGTCAGCAGGCCTCTCCGTTGCTCCCGCCGCACACCAGGCTCCTTCCGCCATTTTCTTTTTATGGAGTTTGTTTCGCACTCCATCTGGCCTCTTTTGATGACTCGCACTCCCATCTTCTCCTCGTCAGCAGGCCTCTCCGTTGCTCCCACCGCACACCAGTCTCCTTCCGCCATTTCTTTTTATGGAGTTTGTTTCGCACTCCATCTGGCCTCTTTTGATGACTCGCACTCCCATCTTCTCCTCGTCAGCAGGCCTCTCCGTTGCTCCCGCCGCACACCAGGCTCCTTCCGCCATTTTCTTTTTATGGAGTTTGTTTCGCACTCCATCTGGCCTCTTTTGATGACTCGCACTCCCATCTTCTCCTCGTCAGCAGGCCTCTCCGTTGCTCCCGCCGCACACCAGGCTCCTTCCGCCATTTTCTTTTTATGGAGTTTGTTTCGCACTCCATCTGGCCTCTTTTGATGACTCGCACTCCCATCTTCTCCTCGTCAGCAGGCCTCTCCGTTGCTCCCACCGCACACCAGGCTCCTTCCGCCATTTCTTTTTATGGAGTTTGTTTCGCACTCCATCTGGCCTCTTTTGATGACTCGCACTCCCATCTTCTCCTCGTCAGCAGGCCTCTCCGTTGCTCCCGCCACACACCAGGCTCCTTCCGCCATTTTCTTTTTATGGAGTTTGTTTCGCACTCCATCTGGCCTCCTTTGATGACTCGCACTCCCATCTTCTCCTCGTCAGCAGGCCTCTCCGTTGCTCCCGCCGCACACCTTCTCTCGCCGGTGAGAAATGGAATGGGGGACTTTAGGAGTAAGCAGCACTCATGTCACTTCTCACTTCTCTCCGCTCACCTTCTCCTTTAACCCACACTCCATCTTCTCCTCGTCGTCTCATCTTTCCGTTGCTCCTCCCTCGTACCTGCTCTCTCCGGTTAGTTGCTGTCAACGTGTTTGGTAAGGTGGTGGTTCAATGGTGGTGCTTGGTAAGGGGTTGGTTTGGTATGGTGGTGGGTGGGTGAGATACACTCACATGACATCTCACCTCTCTCCACTCACCTTCCCCGTTGACTTGCATTCAATCTTCTCCTCGTCAGCTCATCTCTCCGTTGCTCTTGTAACGTACCTCCTCTCACCGGTGAGAAATGGAAGGGGGGTTTTGGGGGTAAGCAACAGTCATGTCACCTTCTTGGAGCAATTTCTCTGGGAAATTACGATGGGAGACGGAAATTGTGTGTTAAATAATTTTCTCGTCTCTTCCCCTCTCTTCCTCCACCCCTCTCCCCCGTCTTCCCACCCGCTTCACCCCTCACTCAACCCCATCGAGCCACAGAGGCATGGCACAGTTTGCCTTGGCATTCTGGACGGAGATGAGTCAATCGCATTGGGAGGCAATTCCCGAACCATCATCGGAGGTACGGTAATGCAAAGTTAGGGCAGACCACCATCCGAGGTACGGTAATGTGCACCGTCGGAGGTACGGTAACTCATATTGTCTACCGGACCATTACTGGAGGCGCGGCATTTTCTACTGTAGTTTACTCCACACCGTGTAGAGAAACGCAGTCCAGGTTTCAGTCTCTTGCCAAGCTATTTCTGAGGCGAGAAGGTATTTTTGAGTCGACTACAAAATAGTTTCAGTCTCTTGCCAAGCTATTTCTGAGGCGAGAAGGTACGGAATGCATGCGCTGTAAGCTGTTTTCGCTACCTCTTCTGCCCTGGCAACCTTTCTTGTCCATGCGGTCTGCCCTGGCAGCCTCCTCGCCTGCTAGTTCATTGTAACGACTTGCATCCCCGCTTCCTTTGGTTCCCTGTGCTGCAGATATCACGATGCGTGGTTATCTTATGGTGTATGATAATGAGAATGCAAGGATCGGTTGGACCCTGGCGAATTGTTCCTCCAAACCATGAACGCCTTACATCCCCCCTTCCTTGGGTTTCCTGTGCTGCAGATATCACGATGCGGGGTTATCTTCTGGTGTATGATAATGAGAATGCAAGGATCGGTTGGACCCTGGCGAATTGTTCCTCCAAACCATGAACGCCTTACATCCCCCCTTCCTTGGGTTTCCTGTGCTGCAGATATCACGATGCGGGGTTATCTTCTGGTGTATGATAATGAGAATGCAAGGATCGGTTGGACCCTGACGAATTGTTCCTCCAAACCATGAACGCCTTACATCCCCCCTTCCTTGGGTTTCCTGTGCTGCAGATATCACGATGCAGGGTTATCTTCTGGTGTATGATAATGAGAATGCAAGGATCGGTTGGACCCTGGCGAATTGTTCCTCCAAACCATGAACGCCTTACATCCCCCCTTCCTTGGGTTTCCTGTGCTGCAGATATCACGATGCGGGGTTATCTTCTGGTGTATGATAATGAGAATGCAAGGATCGGTTGGACCCTGGCGAATTGTTCCTCCAAACCATGAACGCCTTACATCCCCCCTTCCTTGGGTTTCCTGTGCTGCAGATATCACGATGCGGGGTTACCTTATGGTGTATGATACTGAGAATGCAAGGATCGGTTGGTCCCTGGCGAATTGTTCCTCCAAACCATGAATGCTACATGGTATGTGGACATGCCTTCTGTATATAACATCATCCCCCGTTTGTGGCTATGCTATGGTTTCCTGGCAATAAAGAAGGGATTAAGAAATCTGGTGTCACAGTGTTTACAATGACCCACTCGGGTAGGAACAACCTTTGGTTCTCATCTCAGTTTGACAACCTGCTGGAATGGAAGACAGGAGGCAGGCGAATGATGCCACACGTTTTGCGTCGACTCAAAAGTCCCACTCGGGTAGAAACAAACTTTGGTTCTCATCTCAGTTTGACAACCAGGGCCTCAGATTCGTTTGGGGGTACACTGAGGCCTCAGGGCAGTTTTTAGGAAATCAGAATTTGCCCTGAATTGTCAGGGCTGCACAGGGTGAGGTATCCTGAAATGCCAGTGGTACATTTGAAAATACAATTTAATACAGGTGAATTGGGTAGCGGGCAAAGCGACAATGCCTTACGGTAGAGGTCTCCAGCTCGATTCCAATTGGTTTCTGTGTTTGCGGTATTCGCGCTTAGTACTTTTGGCCCCGAAACCTAGGATATTTTTCGTACAGTACATCTCGCTTCAGAGCGAGATTCGACACTATCCTGACTCATCAGGGATGAACCTACAGCCTTATCCTGAGTTTCCAGTACGCAAAATAACCGTTATACTGAAATTACAGGACAATTATTCCTGTTATGCTGTTTTTCCAGGACTAGCACACGACACCTATCCTGAATTCAGGAGAATCAGGATAAATTATCCTGATAACTGAGGCCCTGTTGACAACCTGCTGGAGCGGTCAATCGATAGGAGGCAGGCAAAATGATATTACCGCCTTTTGCCTCGACAGAGATGTTTACGGCATTGCAATTGCTTTCTGGGTTGGCGTACCGTTTTCCTCCCGGGTTACCTTATTCGGTAGGAATATGTGTCGTAGCCTCGTAGGTACGGTACCGCCTGTGTGGGAGGGAATGTACTCGATAGCGACGCCGGCAAGCGCTACCCAGACAAAGCGAAAACCCTGGGTGTGGGGGAACGACTTTGGGATCAGGGTCAATCATGACTCCAGTACCCAGCTTGATACAAGTATCGTGTATGGGATAAAACAAAGGATGCAATTATGCAATATGCACTAGAGACAAATGGTAAAAGTACTACATTAAAACACCATACTGTAATACGGTAGATCCTACCACAGTGCAAGCATACCTACACTACAGTAAACAATCACACACAGAATAAGGCAAGCATAGCAGTCTATAGCTACAAACACGAATAATGCAGTACTGAACCTGAACTGTTTAGAATGTAACGAAAAAAGAGAACCAAGCAGGAAAGCATGAACCAAATCAAAACCAAATCGAATCTGAACAAGAGCAACTCGGAGAGAATACCAGGCGGCTTCTGCTGCTGCTGCTGCTGCTGCTGCTGCTGCTGCTGCTGCTGCTGCTGCTGCTGGCTCCATGTTACGTCTAAATTCGCTGCATCAGTTGTTAGCAGCCGCTTGCTTGAAGCGTACAGTCAGCACCTCACACCAAGTGGCAAGCTCTCCCAACCAAGCCACCACCCAATGTCTGCTGCCGCCATTGGAGGCTGGAAGTTGAAACCCCCCGTGTCTCAGAAGTTGAAGCTTAGTATCACAGCACTTGAAACACCATGTCTCAGAAGGAAGATGGAACCAATCAGAAGGTTGGTAATGCCTGGTCGGTAACACAGGAGCTCAGGAGGACCAGAGACACCTTGTAAGCAGCAGGTGGAGGCATGGCTTGCTCTCTAAGTTAGGAGGTAGGTGTTAGGCAGATGCAAGCTGCAAAAACAGCTGGTGAAGAAGACCCTTTTGGAGCCACTGGGAAGGTGACTGTGGAGTTGACTTTAAAGCCACCTCAATAAGAGCAGTGACCATTCTGAGCCAGTGGTGAGGACTCAGGACATCGGATAGGGGTAGGTGTTAGCTTGACCGCAGCTGTGGTTGGTTGGTTGGCGGGGCAGCTCTTGTGCTGTCCGCGTGTCAGGCTGCGGTTGGTTGGTTGGCGGTGTTAACGAGTTTAACAGCTGCTGCTGCTGCTGTGCTGAATAGCTGCTGCTGCTGGTTGTTGTTGGTTGAAGCTGTGGTGATTCATGGGCGTTAGAAGTTAGCAGAGCAAGCATCATGCCTCCTTGCTGACGGACTGACTGACTAAAGGTGCTCCATTCCCCTCCCTTCCCCTCTCCTCTCCCGTCCCCTCCCTTCCCCTCCCTTCCCCTCCCCTCCTCTCTCCTCGCACGCGGCAGTGGACTAAGGCACAGATGGGCTGTGGGAGAATGGGGCGGGGCGGGGAGTGGGGGCAGACGCAGGGAAGAAGGGGGGGGGTAGCATAAGCCTAGTTATGCCTGTAGCAGCAGTGGGATATGGCATGGACGGGCACAGCAAGTCAGACGCACACATACCCCACCCCACCGCATCAGACCGCACAGAAACTCACACGAACACCTTCAAAAGGCCTGGCTGCAGTTCCAGGACACGAAGGCCCTCCTGGTCCACTACTGCTGGCATGTGCTGCAGTGCACAAGCACCACAGATATCCCCACTCATACCACACTCCACTGCACTGGACCACACTAGGCCTCATTGCACCGCACAGAACTCACATGAACACCCTCAAAAGGCCTGGCTGTGGCTCCATCACGTGAAGGCCCTCCTGGTCGACCAATACTGCTCCACCACTACTGGCATGTGCTGCACCCCCCCAAGACTGACACAGGTATCCCCACCCACCCACCCACACCAACCACCACCGCATGGCACCGCACGGTACCAGTCTATGACTCACATGAACACTTGCAGTAGCCCCGGTTGCGGCTCCAGCACGTGCACCCCCTCCTGGTCGATCAAATACCGCTCCACCACTGCTGGCATGTGCTGCACTGCACGGTCGGACACAGATATCCCCACCCACCCATCCACACCACTCACCACCGCATGGCACCGCACTGTACCAGACTATGACTCACATGAACACTCGCAGTAGCCCTGGCTGCGGCTCCAGCACGTGAAGCCCCTCCTGGTCGACCAGATACTGCTCCTCCACTGCTGGCATGTGCTGCAGTGCACAAGCACCACAGATATCCCCACTCATACCACACTCCACCGCACTGGACCATACTAAACCGCATTGCACCGCAAAGAACTCACATGAACACCCTTAGAAGACCCGGTTGTGGCTCCAGCACGTGAAGACCCTCCTGGTCGACCAAATACTGCTCCACCACTGCTGGCATGTGCTGCAGCACACGGTCGCTGGTGTAGAGGCCTGAACCCACTCGCACGTAGAGCTGGACGGGGGCAGGGGAGGGAAGGGAGATGGGAGGGAAAGGGGGAGACAGGGCAGCTGTATTCCACTGCTCTGCTCCACCACTGCTGGCATGTGCTGCAGCGCACGGTCGCTGGTGTAGAGGCCTGAACCCACACGCACGTAGAGCTGGACGGGAGGAGGAAAAAGGGGGGGGGGGACAAGGAAGGGTGGATGGGGCGATAGGGGGATTAGCACGATAGGGCCACACAGAAGCTGCATTCTAGTGTAGAGAGCTTGGTGCTCTTCTGACACGACGTGACTTTTGAGTCGACTAAAAAATGTAGAGAGCTTGGTGCTCTTCTAGCACGATAGGCCGATAGTGCTCTGCTCCACCACTGCTGGGAGGTGCTACAGCGCCCTGTCGCTGGTGTAGAGACCCGATGCCAAACGCACGGGAAAAAGGGGGGGAGTACGAGGCAGGTAGATGGGGCGATAGGGAAATTAGCACAATAGGGCACGCAATTAGCATGATAGGGCCACACGGAAGCTGCATTCTAGTGCTCTGCTCCACCACTGCTGGGAGGTGCCACATGCACGTAGAGCTGGAGAGGGGAACGGGAGGGGAGTCGAGAGGAGAAAAAGGAGGACCAGGGGAGTTTCGTTATGCTGCTATGCTCCACCAGTGCAAAGAGTGATAACAGGTATAGAGGCCTGATCTCGCACACACAAGTTTAGTGGCCCCTCAAAAGGGAACGAGTTTCTCCTGCTGTTGAGTAAGCGCATGTGGGCTCATACCTGCTGGCGGGACTTGGTACGTTGAGCAGCAAAGCGCAGGGAAGCCACCTCCTGCTGCAGCAGGCACACGGCATTCGACACGTGCATGCCCCTCAGCTCCAACACCCGCGCCGGGTCGTTTTGCATGCCGGGAGGCGGGAGAGGGCCAGAAGGCGCTGGGGCAGACTGAGGAGGGGCAGACGGAGGAGCGGGAGAAGCAGGGGCGGGAGGAGGAGCAGCAGGTGCAGCAGGAGAGGGAGAGGCAGAAAGACAGTTCCCTTCCGCTGAGGTATCAAATGTCAGCATGCGAGCGGCACTGCTGCTGTTGCTGCCGATTCCGCTGCCGATACCGCCGCCGCCGCCGGCCATACCACCGCCGCCGGCCATACCACCGCTGCCGCCGTTGCTGCCACTGCCGTTTGTGTTGCCATCGGCGGTGCTGTTGCCCCCACCGTTGTTGCTTGCACTGCTCATGCTCACGCTGCTGTTGCTGAACCTGTTGCTGATGCTGCTGTTGCTGCGGCTGCTGTTAAACTCGCCAATGCTGATCGTGCCGAAGCTGCTGCTGTTGAAGCTGCCAGGTTCGGTTATTCCAGACGAGAGCGAGCCGGAGGGTATTTCCCTGGCATTCAAAAACAGAGAAAACAAGCGAAGAATCCAGGGAGAAACAAAACAGGATACACTGAAAAGCAGAAACGAGGCGTTAAAATAAGGCACCAAAAGACATGAAGTCTGCATTTACAGAGAAGGACAGAAGAGGAGCTTGAAGAAAACACAAAGACGGGGACGGGGAGCGTGTGCCATGGTAACGAGGTGACTTTTGAGTCAACTCAAAAGTGACTTATGAGTCGACTCTGAAGTCTGCATTTACAGCGAAGGACAGACGAGGAGCTGGAAGAAAAACAAAGACGGGGACGGGGAGGGAAAAACAAAGAGGTGGGGTGGGGGGGCATAAGGTGCTAAAAAGAGGGCCATGGTTCAGCTTACATGGCCTCTTTTCAAGGAAGAACACACATGATGCCATACGTGTAAGCATACCCGCCCCTCCTCTTTCAAGACAGCACAGCCCCCCTTTCAATGAAACACGCACCTGATGCCATATGCGAGCATACCACCTTTCAAGACAGCCCCCCTTTCAAGAAAGCACGCACCTGATGCCATATGCGAGCGCGTCCACGTCAAGGCTCCTCCGGGGGTTGAAGCTTGACGGTGGATCGGGGTTGGTGTTGGCGTCAGGGGCCCACTGGTGGAGCAGGGAGCCACAGGCAGGAATGAGGGGCAGGAGGGGGAAGGGGAGAGGGTTAGGGAATGCTGAATGCGAGGGCATTGGCGTCAAGACTCCTCATGGGTTTGAAACTTGACGGTGGATTGGGGTTGGTGTTGACGTCAGGGACCCACTGGTGGACCAGGGAAACGCAGAATGAAAGGCGGGGAGAGGTGGGAGCGGTATATGGAATAAAGCAGGCAGGGTAAGAAAAGGGTGAGAGAAAGAGGGAATGGGAAAGGGAAGAACAGGGAATGTGAAAGGAAAGGAATGGGAATGGGAAATTGAATGGGGAAGGGATACGGAATGGACCAGGCAGGGAGCCTTTACTGGCAAATCACTGGCACCCATGCGCCCATGCATCCGTGCACCCATGCACCCATGCGCCCATGCGCCTATGCACCCATGCGCCCATGCACCCATATCAATCATATATCTACCTTGTTGCAGGGCTGGGAGGCTGTGCGAGCAGGTAGAGTATGGGAGAGGGGATGTGGACCCTCCTTCGAGCCCACCATGTCAAGACCTGCCATGCAACCAAGCACCCATGGCATGCCATCGCCCATACCATGCCATACGCCCATAGCATGCCATACGCCCATGGCATGCCATGCACCCATAGCATGCCATACGCCCATAGCATGCCATACGCCCATACCATGCCATACGCCCATAGCATGCCAAGCACCCATGGCATGCCATCGCCCATAGCATGCACCCACAGAAACGCCACCAGGGGGGAAGTTTTGGTGGGCACTCGAGCAGGAAAAACCACTGCAAGCTATCGCTGTTTGGCATGAAAAGAAATGTTAGAACAAGGACTGAAAAGTCGGCACGTTGGAACGAGAAATGCAAAGAAAAAAAAACATGATTTGCGATTTGGCTTGATGCGGACTCATTTGCCAACTCACCCGCCCTTTCAAACTGAAACATCTCCTCCCCACGAAGCTGCTGCTGCTGCTGCTGCTGTTGCTTCTCCTCGTATTCCCCTCGCCTTCCCTCAAACCCCCCCGGCTTGCACGGACTCATATCCCACACTGAACCCCCGCCACCAGCACCACCAGCACCATACAAGCTCGCATATGTGTCGCTGTTTCCTTGAAACCCCTGCTTCTCCCCCCCCTGCTCTCCCTGCTGCTGCCGAACCCACCACGGCATCTCATCCAGCCCAGGAGCTCCAGGCCCGGCCGAGCCAAACGGTTTCAGGTTCGGCATGGAACGGGAGAGGAGGCTCGGATCCAGACCACCGTCCGGACCTCCATCCGAAGCAGCAGAATCACCAACCCCACCAGGACCCCCAGGGGAGTTCCCTATGTGGGCGCTGAAACGGTGAGGGTGGGCGGAGGAGGCGGATTGAGTAGCAGAAACCGTCCTACCAGCAGCGGCAGCGGCGGCGGCAGCAGCAGCAGAGGAGTAGTGATGGGGAGGCGGAGGTGAGGCGAAGTTCGAAAGAGAGCCGAGAGGGGGGGAGCGTTGGGATGAGCGGGGAGGGCCGGAGTGTAGCGAGGGGTCCCCGTCCTCTTGGTATTGCTGGGCGGTGGGGGCAGGGAAGGCAAGGAGGCAGCGGCAAGGAAGCAAGGAGGCAAGGGGGCAAGGAAGCAGGTAACACAGGTTGGAAGAGAGCGTTAAGAAAGTGGCAAGAGGCCCCTGTCCTCCTGGTAATCCTGCCCGGTGGGAATAAGGAAGAGCAATGAGGGAACCAGCAAATACCAGGTGTGTGACTTTCCCCCAACCGCCCATGCCCCAACCGCCCATCTCCCCAACCCTCCAGTCCCTCATTCCCCGACCGCCCGCCCCCCCCGTTTCCCCTGCGCCCAACCGCCTTCCGCGCACCTGCAGCTGCCACAGCGCCTCAATGGTCGCGCCTAGGTCTGCCCCATGCGCGAAAAACGCGTCCGCCAGGCTCTGCATGGAGAAATCCGGGAATTCCGCCGCCAGCACCAGAATCGGATCGTCCATCCCGTGATGCGGCGGAGGGGGCGGACCCCCCCCCCCGCGGATGCCCCCCGGGGGAAGGCGCGTGCCCGTGCGGAGGCCCTGGGGGATGCGCGCGCGCATGGTGTGGGGGGAGATGGTGGGGCGGCGGGGGCGGGGGCATGCCTGGGGGCGGCATCCCCTCGTCTAGGTAAAATCCCCCTAGCTCGTGTGGGGGGAGGCCATGGGGGGGCGGGGGAGGGGGGTCATGAAGCGGAAACCCCCCATGCGCGTTGTACTCCGCGCCTGGCCCCCCCGCGCCGGGGGGACCCTCCTCTAGCTCATCCAGCGGACCAGGGTTCCACCCAGCGGAAGGTCCGCGGAACCTTCTATCCAGCATCCGCGCCGCCGGCCCTGGGGGAAGCTCAAACGGCGGAGGAAAGTGCCCGCCGTTGTCTCCCGCTCCAGGGGGCATCCCTCCGCCGCCGCCCTCCCCGTTTCCTCCGCCTCCGCCTCCTCCGCCTGGTCCCCCTCCTCCTCCCCCGCCACCTCCTCCCCTTCCCCCCGGCCCCGCTCTCCTCCCCTGCTGGTGCGGATCCCGCAGCGGGTGCATGGGGCTGCGCTGATCTAAGCTGTTCCGCCGGTTCTGCTGCGGGTGGCGCAAATGTCCTCCCCCCCTGCCCACGCCCATCGGACTACGGTGGTCTAGACTGCCTATACCTTGATTAAGCGGCGACGGCGGCTCTTCTCCCGCTCCCCGCCTCGGTCCCGGTCTGGAGTATCGCGGGTGCGGGGATCTAGATGGGGAAAAGCTGTTAGAGGGACCTGGGGGACCCATATTTCCGCCTCCGCCTCCGCCCCCCGCGCCCCTGGCGGGGTTTATGTGGGGGGGCGGCGGGGAGCCCAAGCGCGGGCCTATTTCCGGGCTGAACGGCGGACCTGGCGCAAATCTTCCACCAGGCCCGCCAGGCCCGCCCATCCCCCCGGGGCCCAACGGTCCGCCTCCGCGCCCGCCCCTTCCCGCGGGGCCTTGGTAAAGCGTGTTAGGGGGAGGAGGTCCCCCCGGCCCGGGCATGGGGCTACCTGGGGGGCCCATGGGCGGACCATCTCCCCTGCCGTCCATCCTGCCGTCCATCCTGCCGTCCATCCTGCCGTCCATCCTGCCATCCATCCTGCCGTCCATCCGGCCGTCCATCCTGCCGTCCATCCTGCCATCCATCCTGCCATCCATCCGGCCATCCATCCGGCCATCCATTCTGCCATCCATCCTGCCGTCCATCCTGCCGTCCATTCTCCCTGGTCCATCTAACGGCGGTCCAAATTGCCCGCGCCTGGACGACTCCGTAATCCCCGGCGGAAACCCGCGCCCCCCTTCCCCTGCTCCGCCTCTTCCGCCAAGCAGCTGCGACGGCGGAAGCATGTGATGCGGGGGAGGCGGCGGGCCGTGGCGGGCAGGAGAGAAATGGAGCGGGCTGCCGCGGAGAGCGGGATTGAAGCGGTGCACACCAGCGGGGGCGGGGGAAGCGGGGAGAGAGTTGGACGGGCGCGGATGGTTTCCACCCCCCAAGTGGTCGAAATGCGGGGGAGGATAGTTATCGAAGGGGTATCCTGCTCCAGGGGGAAGCCCCCCAAGTCCAGGCGCAGGCCCGTCTAGCAGCTCCGCAAGCTGCTGCGCGGTGGGCGGAGGCGGTCCTCCGCCTGCTCCGCCGCCTCCGCCCCCACCAAGGTCGAGCCGCGCAAGAAGCGCAGCCGCGGCGGGGCTGGAGGGCGGAGGGTTCCGCGGAAACGACGCCGGGGAGCCCCCACCAAACTCGTGATCGGGGAAAGCAGGAGGTCCGCCTAGGGAATGCCGCGCGTGGGACATGGGGCTGGCGGAAGCGCTACCGGGGCCTTGGCGCAGGTGCGGGGGGAGATGGTGCTGATGCGGGGAGGCGTGGTGCAAGGGATGGTCGGGGGGAAGCTCCGCCAAGTAACTCCGCGCGTCCGGATTCCAGCCCCGCCCCTCCCCGCTGCCCCGCATGCCCACTTTACTATGAATCAGATATTCACCCCCAGGCCCGCGCTCGGCGCCGGGACGAGATCCGCCCCCAGGCCCGGAAATGCCGCCTCCATGTTCGGAATCTGCCGAGCCAAGCCCGTCTAGGTCCGGCGGGAGAAGGCTGCCGTTGAGGTTCGGAGTGTCCTGCTCGTCGAAGCTGATAAGCTCGTCTGGAAGCTGATCCCTAACGTAACGACGATACTCGTCGTCAGATGAAACCGAGGTGTTAGACGGAATTCTATCTAAAGAGGAACCTTCGTAGTTGGCTTCCTCTGCTGACAATCCACGACTAGAGGAACCCTCCCCGTGCGCATTTGCCTGCGCATACATGTTCCCTTCCGCCGAGTGAGCATTAGCTCCCCCTTCTCCGCCGTCGCCGCCTTCCCCGCTTCCGCTACCCCCTTCAGGACCCGCGCCGGTTCCGCCGTTTCCGTCGCTTCCGCCGTTTCCGCCTGCGCCGGAAAAGCACGGAACGAACGCTGCAGCGTTGGGGTTGAGGCAGATGCGCGACGGGTCGGGGGGCGTGGGGGAGGGGGAGCGGCCGCGGAACGACGCGAGCTGCGCGGAGTTGCCGGGGGTGGCGGAGAAAGAGTCGCGGGAGGAGGTGGTGAGGGGGGAAGAGCCGGAGGAAGAGAGGGAAGACGAGAGAACTTGCGGGGAGGAGGAGGATGGGGTTGGAGAGAAAGGAGGTGCGTGTGGCTTGAGGGCAGGGAGAGTTGTGGGGGAGGAGAGAGACGGTGAGTTCGGCGTGCTCTGCTGAAGCTTCGAGAGAAAGCACGGCTTTAAGGAGCCGCCTTGCGATTGGTCATCTGAAAGAGAGACACGGAGCAGGAAATAGGGATAAAGGAGATTACGTTCCTCAAGAGGCAGCAACATTGAAGCCAAGAAATTGGTAGTCCATGCTGATTCGTTTGCACAGTGATCCAATCAATAACGGACGGAAGCAGTGTCATTAGCCGGGCATTGCATGCGGCGACGGGTAAAACAAGGCGAGAAAACCTGGACCATAGAAACAGATAACGCCTCCCCGAGAAACAATCCTCACAAATCAAGCACTTTAAAAGATAATCTCATGCGTCCATGATTTGCGAAGCGCGAAACAGGATGGATGAACCAGAAAATGTAAATTTATCCTAAGAAAATGCGAGCGTGTCGAGGCCATACGGGACACAACAAGACGAGGCCTTTCGACATCGTTTATTTCTGGTAAAATTTAGCGAATAATTTGGCTGCACCCTCCTGACTGTAATGCGGAAGGTGGTAGCCATCCGAAGCCTGAAAAAACATTACTGTCATGGAACGGTAATTTTTAAAGTATTAGTAGAAGTTAGCAAATCCGCAAAGACTCACCCTGAGGTGCTGCCTGCGTTGCTCCTGCTCCCGTCGCACCAGGCGCGGAAGCAGCAGCGGCAGCAGGCCGATCATTTACTGCAGTTTCCGCCATTTCGACGGATGTCGCGCTCCTGCGGGCGCGCTAAGGCGGGACGGAGACAACGAGACGGAGCGCCGAGATTGGCGGCGGAGCAGCAACGGCTGGCCGCTGCTGCTGCTGCGAAAGGAGATCGAGCCGCTGCAGGTAGAGAAATTCCCCGTCGTCATTCCACGCAGCTCACCCGCCGCGATACGCTGCGCCGTGGCATACACGGCTAGAATTGATTCCCTCGTACTCGGATTGTGGTTCTTAAGCGCACAGGCTATGAATGCTTTCTGACGAACAGCAACGAAGAAAAGAAAAACAGAAGATAAAGGGGAAGGCTTTTATTATGGACATTAAGGAAGAATCCAATGGCGGTTTTTTTGGACAATGCTCCTGGCCTAGGTGGAACGGGGGGCTGCTTACCTTGCTGCTAGCTCCACATCACATACCACAAATGCTGGTTGGCTTGTTCCAGCTTGCTCATGTGGTGTGGAGCTATGGATGTCTGGATGAACCCTGGAGTTACCCTGGATGCCTCGAGAGGAGACATGGAACTGTAAGGAAACGAATCTTCTGTGTAGATCGAGTTTGGTAAGACTGGATGCACATCGGTTTATGTAACATGCAAAAAGGTTGAGAAGTTTACCGTTCAGGGAAAGAAGATGATGCCTCGGGTTCTGTTCTCGTTTGCGGTGTTGCTTGCAGATGGTGAGTCGGTGATTGGTCAATTGGCCACCCTTGAGGTTGCCGCCGCCGAGCCGAACGAAACCTGGAAGTTGGTTTCAGTTTGGGAGGGATGATTGGTTGGTCATGATGGATAACAGTCGTCATGAGTCGTGCGACGCAGGCGAGGCTGACTACGACGACTAAACCACGCTACTAGTTGAGGAAGCGACGCAAGTAAGCGCGTGCGACGATATTACGGCGACACACGCTCCCTCCTGCTTGCCCCCTGCCCCCTGACCTGAGTTCGCCTGACCTTGGTAGGGGCCCAAGGGTATCAGGCTCGGCGGCTAGCTACGTTCGGGCGGACCGCAAGGCGGCCAAAGGTTTCAGGCATGACAGCTCAAAACTGAACCTGGCATGAGGCTTGTTTTGGCACACGCAGAGGTTCGGCAGTTGCGCGGTGGTCTGCCTCGAGCCAGATTGCTTTCTGGCCAGGCAATAAGCGAGGACTTTGGTTCGGGTAAGCACAGCACCCAAGCAGGCATATGGACATTGCAGGCTCGGGTGGCGGGAACATTTTCACGCGCCTGGCAGGCAGTCAGGTGGACAGCTAGGCAGTCCGTACGTAGAACAGCACCCAACCACAGCCATCCCCGCTAATCAAGGGTTGTCAAAATGGCAGAACTTCGCCAAGTTACCTATGAACAGCACCCACAAGCAAAATAATTAGCCCCAGAAATGAGCAGTTTACATAACTATCACTAGCAGGGATAAATCATGCACAGCAGACTTAGTGTAGGAACAAATTGAAGCAGAACACTAGTCGTTCTTAATCATGGAGGTTGAGGCTATTTGGCTGTGTCTCAACTTTTTCCCGCCTATTCCACGCTCCCTCGGTTAGCTCTGTCATATCATCCTCCGTCTCAGTCTAATGGGTAAAAGTACCTTCAAACTGCACCATGGATTCATGTGATCGTCAAGGTGAAAATAAAGAACTAACGCAGCAGCAGCAGCAGCAGCGCCAGCAGCAGTTGTTGCAACAACACAGCCAGTGTATCAGAAGCACCACCACGAGTCTTTGAGTTAAACACTCCCACCACCATCCCCTTCCCCAGCTTCAGCGACCGATTCACTTGACATATCCTTGGACCTATGTCCCTTCTTCTCCTTCCTCCTCCTCCTCTCTTCCCGCCTTGCCTCCCGCTCCTCCTTGCTCCTCTTGCCTCCCCCCACGCTCGACACGTCAGATAAAGAGTCATCATCACCTGCACCACATGAGCCTTCCCCAGATGCACCTTCCCCTGCTGGTGGCATCGATTCATCCGAACTCGCGGCACGTGATATTTTCTTTGACTTGCTCCTCTCCACTCCCTCCTTTCCTTCCTTTCCTTCCTTCTCCCTTCCTTTCTTCTCCTTTCCCTCCTTTTCCTTTCCATCTTTCTCCTTTCCCTCCTTTTCCTTTCTGTCCCTTTCCTTACCTTCCTTCTCCTTCTTCTCTTTCTTCCTTCTCTCCTTCTCCTTTTCATCCTTCCCCTTCCCCTCTTTCTCCTCACCACTCCTCTCCTTCTCCTTCCTTCTCTTCTCCTGTCCATCCTCCACACCATCTGCTGATGCCCCTGCTTCTCCTCCACCACCAGAAACAGCAGCACCACCAGCAGCCTCAGCAGCTGCCGCCTCAGCAGCGGCCTGTTCAGCCTTCTTCTGCTTCCTCGCAGCCCTCCTTGCCTCCTTCGCTGCAGCGGCAGCTGCAGCATCCATATCACCACTCACACTACTATGCCCATGGCTGCTCGTGCTGCTGCCAGCAGGGCTGCCAACACTCGCAACACTTCCACTGCCCTCCCTACTCTCCCTGCCCTCCCTACCCTCCCTGCCCTCCCAGCTCCCACCGCCACCGCCGCTAACCTCCGAAACTGACGGCGATTTGCGGTGCTTTGAAGACCCCTTCTCCTTCTTCTTCTCCCGGTGCTTCTTCTCCCTCTCCCCCTGTGTTTCCACCGAAGACATCGTCCTCGCTCGCAACAGAGACACACTGTCATTGCCCTCCTCACCCCCATCACCCCCATCACCTCCATTCCCCTCATCACCCACTGTCTTGGCCCGCAGCAAAGACAGGCTGTCCCCGCCCGCATCAACGCCACCAGCTGTATCACCCTCGTTGCATTCACCCCCCCTTGGTGTTTCCGGCACCTCTGTCGCCCCTGGACTTCCCTTGTCCCCACTTCGACTCTTCCTCGCTTTCCTCTCCTTCCCGGTCTTCTCCTTCTCTTTCTCCCTCCTCTCCTCCTTCTTCCCCTTTTGTTCCACCGTCTCTCTTTGTTCCTCCTGCTCCTTCTGATTCTCATCCCTGCCCAGCCCCTCACCCTCCCGACCCTCCTCAGTTGCAACCGACGTATCCTCCTTAATATCATCTTTGGCGAATGTCTTAACATCCTCCTTAGAGTATTCCTTGTTACTGTTCTGAATATCCTCCTTCATATCCTCCTCAACATCCTCCTTAGTATGGTTGCTAGTATCCTCCGCAGCAAGGTCCTCTGTAGTGTTGATGTTGTTACTGCTATCCTCCTCAATATCCTCTTTAGTATCATCCTCCTTAGTAGGCTTCCTAGAATCCTCCGTGGCACTGTCCTCAGTATCCTCCTTCATATCCTCCATAGTATCCTCCTTACTGCTCTCCTCAATATGTTCCATAATCTCCTCGCTAGAATGCTCCTCGCTTCTCTCATTATTCACCGAACCACCACCCTCTATATTCTCCACACCCTCGCCTTCAGCAATTGCAGCAGGGGGAGCAAGGGCAGCGGGAGCAGGGGAGGCGCCAGCAGCAGCAGGAGAGGCACCAGCAGCAGCAAGAGCCTTGGCCACAAGCCCAATCCGCTTCTCCTCAGGCCATGCAACACTGTCCTCTCGAAACAAAGGCACGTGAAATTTCTTCTTCGTATTCCCGTGTCCACCTCTCCCCCATCCCCCTACCCCTGCTCCTCCTCCTGCCGTTGCTCCTATCCCTCCACCTCCTCCTCCTGCTGTTCCTGCTCCTGCTCCTGCTCCTCCTCCTGCTCCTGACCCTCCTCCTGTTCCTGATTTCGCACCCGCCCCAGTTGCTGCCTCGGCCATTGCTGCTGCTGCTGCCGCTGCAATCATGCCAGAGGACCCGAAAGACACAGAGGAGCGAGTGGCCTGAGGAGGAGGAGCAGGGGAGGAATACGAAGGGGAGAAGGAAGGGGACGGCGCGAACCCAGAAAACCCCGCCTTTCCGCTTCTCACCCCCGCTGCTGCTGCTGCTGCTGCTGCTGCTCCGAGCGACTTCTGAGGCGACTCAAAAGTCTTCCCGCTCCTCACCCCCGCTGCTGCGCCCAACGCCGCAGCAACCACGCTGCTTCGGCCGGTCAACGGGCTCTGGGGCCTCCCAGACCTGGGCGTGAGGTTCGGCGAGCCCGAGCCTTCACCGAACCTGCCGAGTCGGGCACCAGCGCCACCAGCCAAACCAGCCCCAGAGGCTCGGGGAGAGTTGCTGAGAATCCCGGCCGCTGTCAAGCGCTCGTGAATAGGAGAGGCATATCGTTGGGGGGAGAGGGTTGGAGAACCGGCTAGATCCGGGGAAAAGTCCTCTCGACTGAGAGAACGGGGCCTGCTAGAGCGAAACGGCCCAGAGGCAGGCCCAGAGGCAGGCCCAGAGGCAGGCCCAGAGGCAGGCCCAGAGGCAGGCCCAGAGGCAGGCCCAGAGGCAGGCCCAGAGGCAGGCCCAGAGGCAGGCCCAGAGGCAGGCCCAGAGGCAGGCCCAGAGGCAGGCCCAGAGGCAGGCCCAGAGGCAGGCCCAAAGGCAGGCCCAGAGGCAGGCCCAAAGGCAAGACCGGAAAAGAAACCACCGAATTCTCGGGAGGAGGAACCCGGTGCATCCCTGGCTAGGGAGTCACGAGAAAGCGAATCTCGAGCAAAGGAATCTCGAGAAAATGAATCGCGGGCGAAGGAGTCGCGCTTGGAGCTTCCGGAGAGAGAGATGGTGACGAAAGAGCCAGCAGAGTCCGACCCTGCTCCAAACGACAAGTCGCCAATACCACCACCGCCGCCGCCGCCGATGGTATTTGATTGCGTTAAAGCAGCACCGGCAGCAGTGGGAGGTGAAGAGCGCAGGTCACCACCAGCAGCAGCAGCAGCAGTACCGTCTGTGCTGGAGCTTGGTTGAGGGAGGGAGCTGAAGCTGAGGTCTAGGCTGCGGTTACGCTGTCGCGGTGGTAACCGCTTGAGGAGCAGGTTTGAAGCAAGGGAAGGGGCGGCTTTGCTTGGACTGGCACCGGCTCTAGCACCATCCGTGCGACCAGAAGTGCTGTTAGCACCAGCACAAGAGCCATCAGCACCAGTAGCAGCAGCAGCAGCTGATGCTTCTGCCGCTGCAGCAGCAACAGCAGCAGCAGTTGATGCTTCTGCCGCTGCAGCAGCAGCAGAGGAACCTGGAATGCCAATGTCGCTCCTGAACCCTCTCATACCCTCTAAAGAACCTCCCCCCGCTGCCCTTCCTGCAGCTGCTTTCTCTCCTCCAACCCCTCCTGATCCTCCTACCGCTCCCACTCCCAACCCCGCTCCCGCTCCCCCTGCTCGCCCGAGCATACGAAGGAATCTGTTACCTTGCTCTGATAACCTATCGACAGCCGATGCAAACCGCTGCTCCCGCCCCTCCTCCTCCACCTCTCCCTCCTCCTCCCCTCTCTTGTCTTCCCCCTCACCTCCCTCACTCATCTTCCCTCCAAGCTGCCCCTGCTGCGCCTGCTCCCCTTCCTGCCGTCCCTCCTGTTGCCCCTCGCCCCTCTCCCCTCCCACCACCCCTCCCTCCGCCTGCTTCACTCCCTGCCTGCCTATCCCCTCTCCTGCTCCACCTGCCTCTCCCGCCCCTTCCCCCCCAGCACCCACCACTGAAGCTGCAATCCCTGCCACTGCAGCAGACGCCGCTTCCGCTGCTTCCGCTGCTGCTGCGGTTGCTGCGGCTGCTACAGCGGCAAACCCCCCCTGTGCCGCGAACCCCCCCTGTGCTGCCGCCCCTTTCCCTGCCACTACTACTGCCCTGCCACCTTTATTCCCCCCTCCTCCTCCCAGCTTCTTATTCGCCAGGGCTTTCATGAATCGCTCCCTTTGCTTCTTAGCCCTCTCAATCCTCTCCCTTTCCAACTCCTTCTCGATCCTCTCCCTCTCAATCCTCTCCCTTTCCTCCTCTGTTAGCGGTTCTTTCTCCTCTCCACCCTCTCTTGCTCCTTCCTCTGCCTCTGCTGCTGCTGCTGCTGCTGCTCCTTCTCCTCCTGCTCCTCCACCTCCTGCTCCTCCTCCCACTCTTCCCTCCCCTTCCCCTCCTCTCCCTTGTGCTCCCTCCCCTCCTGCTCTTGCGGCTTCCTTCTCCTTTCCCTCTCCCTCTCCTCCTGCTGCTGCCACTGAACCTGGAATCCTCACTACCTTCTCCTCCTTCTCCCTATCGTTTTCCTTCTCCTCCTTCTCTTTCTCCTCTTTTTCCTCCTCCTTCTTCTCCTTCTCCTCCCGTTTCTCCTCCTCCTTCACCCCCTCCCCCTTTCCACCTGCTACCGCACCCCCTCCTCCCGCCAACCCATCCCCTTCCTGCACCTTCCCCGCACTTTCCTCCTTCTTCTTCAACTTCTGCAAAAAGAGTTCCCTCTGCCTCTTCGCCCTATCCTGAAACGATTCTACCCGTAATAATGGCGTAAAACGTGGGATACTAGCCCCTCCTGACCCTGAGAAGGGTTTGTGTGGTTCGGTGGTGGTAGCAGTAGTGGTAGTGGTTGTGGTGGTGGTGGTGGTGGTGGGGGTGCTGTTGGTGCTGCTGCTGGTAGCAGCGTTGGCAGCGGCAGTGGTGGTGTTGCTGCTGTTTCTACCCCAACCAAACCAGCTCCTTATGACTGGAACCTCTGTTGCCATCTGCTGCTGCTGTAGTTGTTGCTGTTGTTTTTGCTCCTGCTCCTGCTGTTGCTTTTGCTTTTGCTTTTGCTCCTGCTCCTGCTGCTGCTTTTGCTCCTGCTGCTGCTGCTGCTGATGCTGCTGCTGCTGCTGCTGCCAACCCCAGCCAAACCAACCGGTGGCAGGAGCAGCAGTACCAGCACCACTGCCAATGCCAGTCGAACCTCCCCCAGTTAAGCCCCCCCCCACATCATTCTCGCCGGCTCCCCCTCCCTCCCCTTTCCCCTCATTGAAATCCACAAACTTTACCACTTTAGGCAACTCCGAACCACCCTCTCCTTTTCCCCTCTCCTTCTCCAAACCACCAACCTCTCCCCCTCGTCCCCCTCCTTCCCCTTCCCCTTCTCCCTCCTCTCCAAATTCCGCCACCTTCACCACTTTAGCAAGTTGCTCTGCCGAACCTTCCTTTCCTGATTCTCCTTCCCCCCTTCCCGTTCCCTCTCTCCCTCGCCCTCCCTCCACCCCTCCCCCTCCCCCTCCCACTGCCACACGTGCAAGGAAATCATCATCAAACACAACCACTTTCACTACCTTGGGCTCTTCCTCAGTCCTTTTCTTTACACTCACAATTCGTTTCAATGCCGATTTCCTAGGCCTCACTCCCTCTGCTCCCGCTGCCCCCCCTGCTACTGCCGCTGTTCCTGCTCCTGCTGCTGCTGCTGCTGCTGCTGCTGCTGCTCCTTCCCTTTCCCTCTCTTGCTCAGTCTCTTGCCCGTGTTTCGCTCCTACCTCACTCCCCAAATCCGCACTTGCAGTTATGTGTGGCGTCTCATGCTCCTGCCCTTGCCCCTCCTGAAATTTTCCCTGCTGCCTCTCTTGCTCCTGCTGCTGCCTCTCTTGCTGCTGTTCCTGTTGCAGCAGCTGGTGCGTCTGCTGCCTCTCATGCTGTTGTAAACGTTCCTGTTGCAGCAGCAGCAGCTGGTGCGTGTGCGCTGCCAGCGCCGCGCCCATGTGCTTTTTCCGCACCCTTTGTGGCCTGGCCGCCTCTCTTACCGCCCGTTTCTGCTGCTGCTGCTGCTGCTGCTGCTGCTGCTGCTGCTGCTGCTGCTGCTGCTGCTGCTGCTCCTCCTTCTGCTCCTGCAGCTGCTCCTGCAGCTGCTCCTGCTGCTCCTCCTCCGTCTGTTTCTGCTCTGTATACCCGTCCTGCGACCGCTCTGATACCACAACATCAGCTTCTTGCGTGTGTGGCATCATCCTCATCATCACCCCCTCCTTGCTCTCCCCTTCTTCCGCCTTCTCCCCAGCAACAGCCACAGCCGCAGCAGCAGCAGCCGAAGCAGCAGCAATCGAAGCAGCAGCAGCCGAAGCAGCAGCAGCCGAAGCAGCAGCAGCCGAAGCAGCAGCAGTCGAAGCAGCAGCAGTCGAAGCAGCAGCAGCAGCAGCAACCCCAGCAGCATCAACAGCACTCAAACCCCCCTCCTTCACACACTCCCCAACTCCCCCTCCCTCGTCACCACTTCCCATCCCCTCTTCCCCACCTCCCTTCTCAACACCCATCCCTCCCCCCTCGGGCCCCTCTCTTGCTTCGGGAAGACTCCCTCCCTTCTCCTCCCTTTCATAAGCCCAGGAAAACTCTCCTGTGTGCTCCCTTTCAGGACTGAAGGAAATTTCTCGTTTCTTGCTCCTGCTGAGACTCTTAGGCAACGGGTGTTCACACAGCGGGCTGACCGGCCGAGGGCTCTTAGCGAATTTGCTTGTAGCGAAGATGCTTCTAGAGGGGCTTTTACCGGTGGGGCTATGAAGCGAGGGGCTTTTAGCATGCGGGTTGGACGAGCTTCTAACGAACATGCTTTCAACGGGGCTTCTGGCGTTCGGGCTTTTAGCGAAGATGCTTTTAACGGGGCTTTTCGCGGTGGGGCTTTTAGCAAAGATGCTCCCGGAGGAGCTTCTAGGCCTCTTAGCGAAGATGCTTCTAGAGGGGCTTCTGGGCCTGGCACTAGCAGCAGTGGGGCTGAAAGGAGTGGTACTGCTGCGTTCACTCCAGCTAGAGTGCTGCTGCTGCTCGCCCTGCATGCTCCGAAACTCTGCACCGCTCTTAAACCCTCCCGTATCCCCTGTACCTTCCTTATTCCCTCGCTTCTCCCTGTTGTCTCCTTTATCTTCCTTATCCCCTCCCTTAACCCCTCCCTTATCCCCTCCCTTATCCCCTTCCTTATCTCCTCCCTTATCCCCTTCCTTATCCCCTTCCTTATCCCCTCCCTTATCCCCTTCCTTCGGGCTGTTTAAAGCCACCTCGGACATAAACTGATGACTTCCCTTATCCCCTCCTTTATCTCTTCCCCTGGGGCTTTTCAGCTTGCTCCACGCACTAGCAATGAGATTCCTCGGGCTCTTTCCCCCGTGACCAGGGCTTCTTCTCCCCGCATGGCTAGGAACCTGGCTACCATACCTGGGACTGATCAACCCCTCACTCACTTGAGCCCCCTCCCCATCCCCCCAACCGGAACTCGTCCCTCCTTCCCCCACTCCCCCTCCACCTCCCACTCCCCCTCCTTCTCCCTCTCCTCCTCCTCTCCGGCCGCCTATCCCCCCCCTCAGGGGGCTTAGAGGCGCCAGACCAAGCAGCCTGGCTCGGGGAGTCCGAGCCTTGGCGGGAGGCTCGTCGGCGGACCTGCAGACTGGGATGCAGATTCGGGGGGAAGGCTCGGCGCCCGACCCTGAAGATTCGGAAAGAGGTGGGTGGGAGGAGAAAGAAGGTGGTGCTGCCAACTGGTGTGAGGGTCCTGCTGCTGCTCCTGCTTCCCCAGTTGCCGCTGCTGCTGCTGCTGCTGCTGCTGCTGCTGCTGCTGCTCCTTTTGGGCTGCGCTTGGGGCTGCGGGGAAAGAAGTGCGGCAAGTGCAAGCCGTGGTGATGTCGATGGTGGTGGTGGTGGTGGTGGTGATGGTCGTCGTGATAGCTATTGTGCTCTTGGCTGTCCCGACGATTGTTGTCGCGATGATTGCTGCTGTGGTGGCCCTCAGGCTGCTGGTTGCTCTCATAGAGAGTGGGGGGGTGATGACCACCCTCCCCACCTTCTTCTCCCACCACCCGCTTCTCCTCCTCGCCTCCCTCCTCCCCTTCCATTTCCTCCTCCCCTTCCACTTCCTCCTCCTCTTCCTCCTCCTCACCAAACCCACCTCCTGAGTTGCTCTGAATGGTCAAGCGAGGCGGGGGGGTGCGTGGGGGTGTGCGTGAGACTGCGTGCAGCGTCTTCTTGGAAGCTTCCTCCCGCACCACCTCCTTCACCTCCTCCCCGCCCGCCGGTTCATCCCCCCCCTCGTCCGACATTACATCTGACGTTACATCTGAAGTTACATCTGAAACTACATCTGACGTTACATCTGAAGTTACATCTGGCGTTACATCTGGCATTGCATCTCCCCCCAACTCTCCCCTGGTTAGGGTGAGGCTTGCTCTCTGCTTGTTCCTCCGGCCTCCATGCACCTGCACCGAGCCTAGTGACCCTGCCGAACCTACCGACCCTACCGAGCCTAGTTCTCTTCCCGAACCTCCCATCACAGCTCCTTCCACACGTGTAACCGCCTCACCCACTTTCCCACCAACAGTTGTAACCGCCCCGCCCACTGCCCCGCCCACCGCCCCTCCAACAGTTGTAACCGCGCCGCCCACCGCCCCACCAACAGTTGTCACCGCACCACCAACCTTACCACCAACAGTTGTAACAGCTCCTCCCACCGCGCCACCAACAGTTGTAACTGCACCACCAACCTTACCGCCCACAGTTGTAACAGCCCCTCCCACCGCCCCACCAACAGTTGACACTGCTCCTCCCACCGCTCCTCTCACAGATGAAACCGTACTCCCAACAGATGAAACGGCTTTCCCACGAGCAGATGAAACGGCATTAGTTAGCCCGCTAGCCGCCCCACCAATCTTCGAAAGCCCCCCTCCTATTGCAGCGAAAGAGCCTCCTATTTTTCCCGAGTGGGTCTTAGCAAAGGAAGACCCTGAGAAAGACGCAGCGTTGTTCTTAACTAGTTGCAGATCCTCGTTGGTAGCACCGCTGCTGGGGGTGCTGCTGCTGCTGCTCTCGCTGTCACTACCCCCACCCCCACCACCACCACCACCGCCACCGCCACCACTACCATCACCACCCCCACCACCACCGCCACTGCTGATGCTGCTGCTGCTGTTGATGGTGCTGCTGGTTTCGGGTGCCGAGATCTCCCATTCTGCCTCTTCCTCTCCATGTCTCCCTGCCTTACCCATGCTGCCCATGCCCTTCCTGCTCTTCCCCAGGCGTGATCCTATTCCCCCCACCGCCCCCCCAATCCCCCCCACCGCGCCCTTAATCCCCCCCCTAATTCCCCCGCCGATATCCGCAATACCCCCTACCGTGTGGGTGATTCCGCCGACTAGCCCCTTCCTGCTGCTGCTAACCCCCTTGCTGATGGAATGAGCGAAGCTTCCGCGTAATTCCCCAACGGTGCTTGCAATACCCCCCACTGTGTGCACTATTCCTTCCCCCAGGCCAGAAGACGAATGAGGTATCCCCCCCCCACGTGTGCTGCTTCCCCCATGAGAACCTAACCCATGTGCGGCTTTAATACACTCCTCCATAGTAGTTCCCGCCTCGTCTAAATACCACTCTATAGTAGGCTCCCAGATTTCCCGGAGCACCTCAGGCTCGGGAGGAGCTTCGACGTCGTCGCCAGACGGGAGGTCCAGGTTCGGGAAGCGAGCCAGGACGTCGCGTTTGGCTTTCCACGCGGTGTGGGCGGCGGATAGGGCGGCGACGGCGGCTTTGCGCGGCTGGGGTTGCTCGTTGAACCCTAGGGATGTGGGATGGGATGAATCGGCTGCACAGAGAGCGGAGGACGGGGAGAAGGGAAGAAGGGAAGAAGGAAAGAAGGGAATTGGGAGACACACGGGGAGGCTGAGTGAGAGGCGGTCCATACGGCTGGCAGGCATGATCGGCGGATAGGGCAACTTTTGCAGCGCCTCAAGAGGCTGAGTGAGAGGAGGTCCATCCATACGCCTGGCAGGCGTGAACGGCGGATAGGGCAACGACGGCAGCCTTGCGAGCCGGTCAAAGGGGAAAAGGGGAAAAGGGGGGAGGACAGTATGGGCGAGGAGTCAATATTCGACAGGGACTGACTTACCAGTCAATGATGCACAAGTAACAGTAACCAATGAAACATCGAGGCGCTTTATCAGTATTGCGTGTTCTTGCAGTGTTTCGTATCTTAATTGTTACGCGTTGGTTTATTCGTGTGACCGTTGGAAGAAAACAACGAAATAAATAATGGAAACAAAAGAAAAAATGCATTTTGCTTCGATCAATGTACCTGTTAACAGCCGCTTTTTCAGTCGTTCGGTTTCGCCTGGCTTCTCTCGCTGCAGGTCCGCCATATTCTTCAACAGATGCTCCCACGCGTCGCTCGACAGCATTCTCGCTCTGGCCATGCGTGGCGAAGACTCGCGAACTGAGCGAAAACCGACGAAAATGTAGTCGTACCTGATAGCAGCCACTTTTTCAGTCGTTCGATTTCGCCCGGCTTCTCTCGCTGCAGGTCGGCCATATTCTTCAACAGATGCTCCCACGCGTCGTTCGACGAAAGCGCGATAACCGTCCACGAAACCGTCCCCTCGTCTTCGCGAATCGTCGCGAACGCGCCCAGCGGCCTCACCGAGTACAGCTGTCCCGGTTTCGCTACCGTGCCGCCGATCTCTATAACGCGTACGGGCTCGCCGGCGAATGGCAACACCCGGCCGTTCCCCACATCGCATTCGTCCTTAGGATCCTGCCACGTCTGCGTCGCGATCCCGATGTTCCACGTGGCAGTTGCCGTGTAGCGCGCCGCGCCGCCGTCTCGCGCCACGTGGCGAATAGGGTTGTAGTCCTCGTCTTTCGCGACTTCGACTATCGCGGACGCGCCTTTCGGCGTGTGGCAGAGGAAATTAAAACCTTCGTCCGCGGCGCGGTGCGGTACGTCGTGCCAGGGGGAAACTATCTGAAAGTCGTCATCGAAGAATAATCGACGGTGCGCGAGAGTCCCTTCCGGACCAAAAGCGACGACGGAGATTCCATCCGCGTGCTCGTCGCGTTTAATCTTCGACGCCATTGTTGCTCCGTGCTCCGTGCTCAACCAGACCTTAGTAAACCACGTGTGCAATGCCACGTGGGCAATCCCAAATGTACCCGGCCACGAGTGCTCACGCCTTGAGGGAAAAGCTGCATTTTATTGGAAGAAGTCACGCGTTTGGAACCATGTGTGGCGGAAAAGCACGGCCATGGCGAGTTCTAAAGAAGGTAGTAAAGCAGAAGGTCATAACCACTGCTATGTGAAAAAATTGACACCAAACCACTGCTGCTCAGTGCTGACGGAAGCTGGAAGCAAGAGCTGGTTTCCACCCAAATCGAACATCAAGGCAAGTACGAAGAATTGGGAAAAAGTGCGCGGGGAGGAAGTGGGGTGGTGGCGGCGCATGGAACATGACACCATTCTGTAACACACTAGACGTTTACTGAACCACAGTTTACCGTTGTAAACCACTTTACAACTGTGAACTGCAGATCTGTATCGTAGGGGCGGCTGTGTCTCGTGACTCTCGTCGTGTGATGTGATGTCGAGCAACCAACCACCCACCCTTCAAGCCAGCATCCTCAGCGAGTTTACATTACACCTGCCCTTCACCGCATCAATCCATGGAACCGTACAGCACCACAATCGACAATCTTCCAATCAATGCTGCCTCCTCAACTGTGCAGGCCTCTTGCCACGCCGCTGCTGTCCTGCCCGTGCTGATATCTGCTGCTCTTGGCTGTATTTCTAGTTTTATACATACCCTGCAAAATATGTGAGCACTAGCCAATGCTCCTCGTGTTTCGCTGGGACAAGGAAATCGTACATATTGCTTCCAAGCTGGAATTATCACAATATTAGAGTGTGGAAATGTATTTCGAAAATGTCAACGTGGTGGTTCGATAGGCATGCTGCCTCGCCCTCGTAATTGGGCAGGTGAAAAATGCCGCGCCTTATCAAGACGTAACACTTGTTTTCTTGTGGTGTCATCACGTCACACCATGGTCCACGAGGGCAGCAAGGTCAATCGTGCAAGAAGACTTGACATTGTCTCTTTGTCCGACTCAGCATGAGTATCGGGCGGGCGAGAGGGGCACGGACAAAGGTGTGACGTTGACGAAAATGCACATCTCGATACCAAAAAATCGGTATTGAAGAAGTTCCGAAACTAAAACTTCAGTTAAACCTACTCACGGGTTATAGCTTTCAAAATGCTTTCAAGAAACTGCAGTGTCTGTCTAATATCATGCCTACGATGAACGAAGGAATTACCCGACCACGCATCTACCTGCCTTGGAGTCTATTCTTCACTCGAGGTCATGAGGAGCTTCTCTCTCTCATCCCTCTTTCTTGCCTCCGTAAATCTCCTCCGCACGGCATCCGTCGTCCCTTTCCCAGTACACCCGCACTTCAACCATCTTGCAGAAGCTAACTCTCCTGGGACTGGGAGGAACAACGGCCAGCGGCCCAGCTGCTGCTGCTGCGGATGCTACTGTTGCTGCTGCTGCTGTTACTGCTGCTGGTGCGGCTGCCACTGGTGGTGGTGGTCTCGCTGCTTCTGGCGCTGCTGCTTCTGGTGCTACTAGTACCACTACTGTCCCTGCTGCTGCTGCTGGAGCTGGTAGTGTTGCTGATTCTCCTGTTGCCCCTGTCGCCTCGGTCGCAGCAGCAGCAGCAGCAGCAGACTTAAAGCCATTTTCAGGGGTCAGTGGGACAGAATCACTGAAGCTCACTCTCCTGGGGATTGGGGACGGCTTTCGAGGCGCGTCAGAAACTGGTGTCACAGTCACTCCCATGGGCTCGCTGAAGCTGACTCTCCTTGGGATTGGTGACGTGTGGTGGTGAGGAGTGTGGCGAGGTGTAATGTGGTCAGGAGGCGTGTGGTGAGGTGTAATGTGGTCAGGAGGCGTGTGGTGAGGTGTACTGTGGTGAAGAGGAATGCGCTCTATCTTCATCATCTCCTGAGTGCTCCCTGTGGGGTTGTGGGAACTTGCATGCAGTTGGGTGTGTGGGGCTGTGTGGGGAACTGTGTATGGGGGTGTGTGGGGTGCCGTGTGAGAAACTGAGTGGGATGCAGTATGGTGAGGTGCGTTATTGTGGGGTGCGTTCTGGTGAGGTGAGTTAGACCCAGTTGCATGGTGGTGAGTAAGTTCAGTGCCAGTAGGCATATCAGGGAAAGTGACTCGGCGCGGACTGGCGGGGATGGCTGCATGAGAAGCTGTGTGGGATGCATTGCAGTGCGGTGGACTGCGGTGAGAAGCAGTGCTGTGTGGGTTTTCGCTCCCAGTGGGCATATGAGGGAAAGTGACCCGGCGCGGACTGGCAGGGATTGCGCCTGACAGAAAAACACCACCACCACCAGCACTCCCAGCATTACTGCCTGCTCCACTCCCACTGTCTATGCCACTGCTTCTGCTGCTCTTTCTGCTGCTGTTTTTGCTGCTGTTTTTGCTGCTGTTTCCGTTGCTGCTGCTCCCACCACCGCTGCTACTGTAACCACTACTGCTGCTGCTGTGGTTGCTGCTGCAAATACTGCTCGTATCTGTGTCGCTTGAACTTGAATCGGGAATAGCAAGAGGAGCAGCAGAAGAGGAAGAGTAGGCAAAAGTTGTGACAGAAGCGGCAGCAGAAGCGGCAGCAGAAGCGGCAGCAGAAGCTGCAGCAGAAGCTGCAGCAGAATCTGCGGCAGCAGAGTCAACATTAGCTGCAGCAGCTGCGGAAGCAGAAGAAGAGGGCGGGCTCGTTGCTTTGAGTGCACTCCTCATCGGACTCACTGCCACTGGTCTAGAGGCAGCAACAGCAGGGCCAGAAGCAGCGTGAGAACCAGCACCAGCAGCAGCAGCAGCAGCAGCACCACCACTAACAGCAGCAGCGGCAACAGCAGCACCAGCAGCAGAAGCACCACCAGAAACAGCAGCAGCAACGCCAGCAGCAGTAGCCCTCCCAGCCACACGAACCCTCCCCCAAGCAGCACCCCCACGCTGCTGCAACCGCAGCTTCTCCTCCTCTCTCGCCTTCTCCTCGTCTCGCTCCTCCTCCTCCTCATTCCGAACCAGAGTCACCACCTCTACAAGTTTGTCAAAGCTGACACGCTTTGGGCTCGGGGATTTGGTTTGGTTTGCACCGAAGCTGACACTCCTTGGGCTCGGAGACCTGTTGGCGTTCACATCAAAGCTCACTCGGCTCGGGCTGGGTGATTTGTGACTCGATTCAAAGTTTACACTCTTTGGGCTGGGTGACTTCTGAGTTGCGTCGAAGCTAACACGCCTTGGGCTCGGAGATTTGTTCAAATACGCATCGAAGCTCACCCGTCGTGGGCTTGGTGATTTGAGCTGTGCATCAAAAGTCACTCGCCTTGGGCTAGGCTGGTGGTTTGCCGCGTGTGATCGTGACACTGGTACCGAACCTGCTGCCGAGCCTGATGCCGACGCAAAAGATGATGCCAAATCTTCAGCTACACACACAGCCTCCTGCTGCTGCTGCTGCTGCTGCTGCGGGTGCTGCTGCTGCGGGTGCTGCTGCTGCTGCTGCTGCGGGTCCTGCTGCTGCTGCTGCTGCGGGTGCTGCTGCTGCTGCTGCTGCTGCTGCGGGTGCTGCTGCTGCTGCTGCTGCTGCTGCTGCTGCTGCTGCTGCTGCTGCTGCTGCTGCGGGTGCGGGTGCGGCTGTTGCTGCTGCTGCTGCTGCCAGTCGAAGCTGACTCGTCGAGGGCTTGCCGACGCTGCATTTTTTCTGATACCATGTGCTGCTGATCTCCCTCCTCCTTCCTCCTGTCTCTGCTGCTGCTTCTGCCGATCCATTGATGGCTGCTGCTCCGACAGTCCCTTCTGCTGCTCTGTTGAAGCTTGCTGCTGTTTGGTTGACAAACCTCCACCTCTTGCCTCGGCAAAAGCTTCAGGAACGGCGAACCGAACCACAGGAGAGGTGGTGCGGGGAGGCCGGGCAGCCAGGCTTGGGCTCGGGAACCGAGCCTGCAGCACAGGCCCGGAAGCTCCAGGGCTGGGAAGGGAAGCGCGAGGAGAAGGTTTGGCAGGAGAAGGCAGGGTTCTAGGGCTGGGAGCAGAAAGTGCGTGGGGATGGGATGGTGTGGGCACCAGGATAGGTGCAGGGGCGTTTCGGCGAAATGAAGCCCTTGAAGTTGCCTCTCCTGCTGCTGCTGACACTGCTGCTGTTCCTCTTCTTCCTTCTCCTACCCCTTCTCCTCCTCCTCCTGCTGCTGCTGCTGCTGCTGCTCCTCCTCCTGATGCTCCGGATATCACAGCAGCAGCTGCTTGCAGTGCATCTATCGCCCCTCCACCTGCACTCACCACCGCCGAAGCTGCTGCCACCGCTGCCGCCTCTTCCGAATTCTGAGGCGCCTGAAAACCCCCCTCCGGATGCGCTGACGTGGACACTGCTGACGTGGACAACGGTGACGTGCTCGTTGGGTTTGACGCATCCGAAAAGGAAGGGGAGGGGAAAGGAGGGGAGATGGGGGAAGGGGATGAAGGAGGGAGAGATAGTGCAGGGGAAGGGGGGGAGTGTACGGAAGTGTAAGCGGAGCAGAGAGAAGAAGATTGGGGGAGGAGGGGAGGGGAGGAGGAGGAACAAGGAGAAGGGGGAGGGAGGAGGAGGTTGGGAGATGAAGCGGAGCGTCTGAAGAAGTTCCTGGAAGTTTCCCCTGTAGCAGTTGCACCAGCAGCGGCAGCAACAGCAGGGGTATGAAGGAGCAGATCAGGGGAAAACTGGGGGCTAAAAAAACCTGTAGGGGGTAAACCGCCTGTAAGGGGTATGGGCGGGCGATGAAGGTGCTTTGAGGCGGTTGAATGCGGTTGTGAGAGATTGGGCGTGGTTGGGTAGGCGGGAGGAGTGTGAGACATTGTCCTGTGGTGATGCCGACTTTTGTCCTTCCGGGCCCTCGTTGCTACTCCTGCAGCTCCTGCTGCTGCTGATGCTGCTGCTGCTGTTCCTCCTCCTCCGCCTCCTCCTCCTCCGCCTCCTCCTCCTCCTCCTCCTTCTCCTGCTGCTGCACCTGCTGCTGCTATTCCTGCTCCTCCTCCTGCTGTTCCTGCTGCTCCTGCTCCAGCAGCAGCAACACCCTTTCCTGTCTTGCTGATACCAGCCCAATCCACAAACCCTAATCTCGGCCCCCCTGCACTGGAACCCAGCCGCACGACAGCAGCGGCTGCACCTCCTCCTGTCCTGGGGGAGGTCATACCTGTCCGGGGGGAGGTCATACCTGTCCTGGGGGAGGTCATACCTGTCCTGGGGGAGGTCATACCTGTCCTGGGGGAGGTGAAACCTGTCCTGGGGGAGGTCATACCTGTCCTGGGGGACGTCATACCTGTCCTGGGGGAGGTGAAACCCATTCTAGGGGAGGTTAGCAGTGGTTTTGGGGAGGCTATACCAGGGGAGGTGGTATCTCGGGGAGAAAAGCCTTCAAAAGCAGAGGAGTTCGTACTTCCGTTAGGGGAAACATCTATTGGGGAAGTGGAAATTGTAAGAGGAGCGGGGCTGCTCTTATTGAGGCTAAATGCGTTCGAGTTGTTCTGATTGGAGGAGGGCAGTCTTGGCGAAAGGAGGGCGATCCTGGGGGAGGGAAGGGAAGTTCCGGCTGGGCTGCTGCAGGTAGAACTAGCAGAAGGGGAATTACCCCCAGCGGAAGTTGCAACAAAAAAGGGTGAATTACCCTTGAGACTTGAAGTGACCAGATTCTGAATTTGCAACTCCTGCCGAACCGCCTGCTGCGCTGGCTTGGTTCCCCGCGGGGATGCCTGCGGAACTTTCTGCGCGACCCCTCCCCCTTGCGCCAGCACCGTAGCCTGCGCCTGCACCTGCACCTGCACCTGCACCTGCGCAACCCCTTCCCCACCCCCGCGCACCGAGTCCGCGGATTGCGTTCGCGGAACCGTTTTGCGCCGCACGGTCGGCGGAGGGCCCGCAATCCCCGGTCGACGCGGCGACGTAAGAACGCCACTGGCGCCGCTGGCGCCGCCGGTAGTAGTCGCTACGGAGGCGGCTCGCGGAAGTTGTTTGCTGGTTGAAATTGAAGAAGAAGCGGTGGGCAGGAGCACAAGCGACAGCGCGGATGAAGGCGACGTTGGCGGCGAGCGCCGCCGCGGCGCAGATGGGGACTTGGGCGCGGCGGGCTCATCCGGTTGCGCCTTTTGCGCGCTCGTGGTTTGCGCGCCCGTCGTGACCAGCTGGTCCGTCGGAACATCCGCGCCCGTGACTTGCGCGGTCAACGGAACTTGTGCGCTCGTGACTTCCGCTACAGCCGTGAGGTGTGCGCTCGCGACTCCGACACGCGAGCTCGGAAGGTGCGTGCTCACGACCGTACTTAACGAGCAGCAGCGGCGATGCGTCGCGGCGCCTTTCACCGAGCCTCGACGGCCGTCGCCGGTAGCGGATCTGCCGTTACCGCCGCCACTCCCGCCACCACCTCCACTGCCTTCGTCGCCGCGATTCCCGCCGCCGCGAGAATTAGGAGCTGTGGGGGCTGCGACAACCTCTGGGACGTCTGCTGCGGCGGTACTCGCGCGGGTGATGCCGACGCGACTGAATCGCCGCGGGCCAGAAGCACCGCCGATATTGGCTTCAACATCAGCAGCAGTTGCGGAATCATTTGTCGCAACACCCGGTGATGCGCGGTTTAGGCTTCCAACCGCCACGCCTGCCGCGCCCGCCGCTCCCCCCGCGCCGGCCGTTACCAGGGACCTATGGAACTGATTCCAGTCGAAGCGCGCCGACCAGAGTGCCGCCTCCTGCGTCGCCGACAGTTTTGGGCTTCCGCCGTTGGAAGAGGAGAGGGGGGGAGGCGCGGGAAAGGAGAGAGGGGGAGGCGCAGGAGACGAGAGGGGGAGAGGCGCGGGGGAGAGGGTCGGCGCGCGGAGAAAAAACGCGGAAGAATCGTCTTCGCAACCGGCAAGGGCGGAGTTGGATCTGATGTGCGGGAGGATGGCGCGGGGACCTGACGTGCACGGTGATGTTTGGATTAACTCCTGTTGCTCCGCCTGCTCCTGCTGCTTCTGCTGCGCGAACTCTGTCTCCTCCCTTTCAGTAGCGTCCGCGGAAACGTCACTCGGCGCGTGTCCGACGAGCGAGCTTGCCTCCGATACTTGTCGATGCGCCATGTACGGCGGCGGCGGGGCGTGCGCGGCGGAGAAAGAGTGGCGCCGCTGATCACGTGGTGGCGTGGTCTGCTGCAGTTGGCAGTGCTGGTGTTGCGGGGTGTGCTGCTCTTGCGGGGTGTGCGGGTGTTGCGGGGTGTGCAGGAGTCGTGGGGAGCGGGGGGGGTCCGCCTGGAGACCAGCTGAAGGTGACGAGGCTCGACTGCTACAATTACGGCGGTTATGTCGCAAAGTGGATTCCTGGTTTGCACGACTTTGAGTCGTGGGTAGGCGAGCCGCGGAAACGGCAGCGGCCATGGGGGAGAGGATTGCCTCTCCTTGACGTGCTACGCGCCGAGCTACCGAGATTCTCTTTTCGGAGGGAGGTCGCAGAATACGAGTCAGGTGCGGAACAATTGCACGATTACCCGGAGCGGCGATGACTAGCAGCAGGAGCAGCAGCAGAAAGTACGTTCAATAGGTATTGGTGGTATCGACGCGGCGAGGTATTCCACTTGAGACACATGTCCTGCTGAACTGAACAGCTAAAGCGGTCTTTGCAGCGGGTAGTTAACGTAGTAGAGACCAAGCGGCCCTACAACCAGAAACCGTGTCGAGGTTAAATGTCTTATGGGAGACGTGTACGAGGGTCGAAAAAGCATCGGATACAGCAGCTTTTAGAAATGGTGCGTTGCGCGGCGTGGCGATTGCTGATTCCGTTGCGTGGACTGGTCCGACCAATCAGGCCTAAGTGTGAGGCCCAATGATGATGACATTGGTTCATGAAATACGGAAAGAGGCTCTTTAGGGCGAATCAACCGGCGGAAGGAAACTCGGTCGTAGGGGCCATGGTGCAGCCATAGGCTTGCCGCTCACAAATAGTTGTCTCAGCGAGTGAATTGGTGTTCCTGACTGTGAGGATGGTCGGGAGAAAAGCGGCGGTAGGGCGGTTTCGAAGACGTGTTCGCGAGTGAGTGCGCGAAAAGCAGAAGTGCTGATATAGCCAACACAACAGCAAAATTTGACAGGAGAATTCTACTGGCCAGCACAATGCGAGCCTGTTTGCCCTCGACAGGTGTTACTGCAGGATAACATGCAGTGAAGTTCAACACCGCAAAGTGGATTTCTCTGGTGTCACACGGTTAACTACGTTTAGTAACGGTTGGAAGAGATTTGAAGAGAGCTTCCCTTGAACGCAAGTTTGCCGCACCAGATTGGAGGTGCCACTGCTGAGCTGTAGTTGGCGTTGCGTTGGCCCAGGGCAGGGCTGCGACACCAAAGCACACAACTCTATCCGCGCTGCGATGCGCTGGTTTGTGTTTTGCTCGGCTGGATTGGCTGCCTTGGGCTGGACCGCAAAACTGAAACACGAGCACAGCTATGGGACGAGAGGGGTGCAGGTGGGATGGAAAGGGGGGTTTTGGGCGGAAAAGTGCAGATTTTGTTTTCCAGCTGGCGGACAACAGTTGGGGCTGGCACACTGTAGTAGAGTGAATCTCTGGGATATAAATGTCGTTAACGACATTTAACACCACAACATAAGGGAGAATGGAAAACTCGCCGCAGCAAACTTAACTTTTGCGTCCTTCTAGCCCTAAGGGCGTGTTAAATCGCAAACTCCAAAAATTCGGCCACAATCCGTCGGGCCGTCTGCGAAGGTAACCAGCTTGCGACAATCGTAAGTCAAGTGGTGAACGTCGCAAATTTCGTTAAAATTTTACGAATTTGATGGCCGTTTAAAAAGTCGACACGAAAACGACGCCGAGTCGACTCCAAAACGGCCAAGTATTCGACACAGTGTGCGACAAACGCCTGCGACGTCGCACGGTTTCGCCCAACGACAGAATTTGTGATCGCGTCAAATGAGAAATATCGCCGTCAATAGTGCGACCCCGTCGCACATACTAAACTACTGTAGTAACTGCAAATTTAACAACTTTTCCGAACCAGCCTGCAATCCGGCCACCAAAGTTGTTAAATTGCCAAAACTGTAAATTTTTGCTGTTAAAGAGTCGACTCTGATTCGGCCACCTCGTCGTTGTTCGCGAAAAATAAGACGACCATTTGGTCGTCAAAAAATCGGCCACACCCTATTTTCGGAATTGTGTGGCGATTTAACACGCCCTAAGCGGTGGTCACATTTCAGTCACCTTGTGGGTTCGAGGGGTTATTGCGAGAACATATAAAGCCTTGACCCTTTCGGGCAACCCATTGCATTGTGTACAGCTGTCATGGCAAGGCCCAAAACTTTCAACATGTCTCGTACAGTTACGCGAATATCAATGTACACCTGGTCCGCGTTAAATTAACCACCGGTATCTGAACCGCGTTTGTCGGTATGCTGGGTGTTTTCTGTTGGGTGGCCAGAAATCGCTGTTCACACTTGACCGAACCAAGTTGGAGAATCGCTGAGCCTTTTTTCGATATTTCAGCTCGCGCCGCGCATGGGGCAGGCGACTTTTCCACCAGGATTTTCACGACAAAATCTCCACCGTCGATGTTCTTACTTTCCTGACACTCGAACATTCCAGATGGCGAGAAAATCCACGGTGCTCCTTTTGAGGAGTACTATCAGAACTTTCCATGCTTTTCAGATATTTGGTGGTGAAAATAGTGACCCAAATTTTGCACCTCTATTTTCACCACGGCCAGATAATCCAAAATCGTGCTACCCATTTTCGCGCGGTTAAAATACCGCGGACTAGGTGTACATTGACATCCACATCGATCGAATCGAGGATACTCACACAAAAAGAACAAAACCCACATCAGAGCGGATGCACTTTCGGTTGTTCGAGCCAGGCCAACAAGCTACCGTACAGTTTCTTGGCCCACTTGCACTCTCGTCGGGCCCCACAACACTGTACGGGAGCTGGGATCCAGTCCCCGTACATTTAACGATATTATGTGTACATGTCTACGTTACGTGTACATCCTTTGCTAAACAGAAGTTCCACGAAATTTATGAATGGGGCTCTTCAATTGTGAAAGTAGTCATACCTGTCATACCGGTAGCATGGACATTGTTAAATGGTGATGCTTCTTCGATTCAGGATGCAACCAACACTTTTGGACCCACAACCCGCAATTTAGCATAGGTACAGCAGGTGTAAGTAGGGGAGGGGGAAAAAAGGAAAACCTATATAATATGCTGCAATACAGTACATTACAGTTCATTGCTTGCAACATGTTTGATAGTGACTAGATTGCTACAGGTACAGGATGAAACCCGCTGAACTATTCAGCGGCTATTGCTTTTCAGAATCGGCACCAGTGGCATCATGGACAGTCACTATGTCATAGTCACCAGTGTCCTTGTATTGAGAATCTCTGAACGTGAAGTACCAATACTGGCACATTATCTGTGGTTAAGTGGAGGGGCAGTGAACAAGGTGTTGGAGTGGGAGAGAGAAAGCAAGTGGAGGAGAAATTGGTTCTGCAAGACTAGAGAAGAACCAAAACTGGCCCAAAATCCATGCAGAACGCATGCACATGAAGGAAGTTACCATTGTCGCCTCTAATAACACCCAATTACACCACAAGATTAACAGTCACACCTGATAATTACAACCTTGCGGTCACACCCAACATCATACTACACACACAATCACGCTCGATAACACCACAACCTTTACAATCACACCTTGCACAATCACAGAACCACTTTACTCACAAGAAGCTCGATAGCTAGGCATGTATGTCACAAGTAAAAAAAAAAAAAGAAAAAAAAAAAATTAGAAAAAAGAGTCGTCTCAAATCTCAAGGTTCTGAAACATCTGAAAGCACAATCGCAGAACCACTTCAATCACGACGAGCGCTATAGCCAGGCATGATGCGTGACACTATCACAGAATTTGGGTTGACTCAAACACCGTGGAAACATGTTCACTCACAAAAAGGTCCATGGCCAGACATGATGCGCTGTCAGCAATCCACGGCAGGTTCGGCCGAACCTGCTTCCACTCCAGCGACCGAATCAGGATACTCCCGAGGTACGCCAGATTCCCAGCCACCGCCAGCGCAAAAGCGGGCGGCGCCAGCCCCTCAACCGCCCCGCGCGCGCAGTTAAGAATGATCGGGGGTAATCGCCCTGTAAAATAGATGCAGGTCATGGCCCAGCCTAGAAACTGCCCGACTGCCCTCAAAAGCAGCTCCTCATGCCGCTCCGGATCGTCTGGGTAGTCAGGATCGTCAGGATCGGAGAAAAAAGTATCTCGAGTAGAATCATGGCCTTGCGGGGAGATGGGAGTCAGTGCGATAGAATCTGGTACGGAAGGATTTTGGTGGTTCGGGAGAGGCTCGGATGTTGGTACGGGCGGAGGTTTGAGGTGGAGGTTTTGTGGTAGAAGGAGGTGAGTGCTGGTGGTTGGTGCAGGATCAGAAGACTCTTGAGTCGACTGTTGATTGAGAATGAATTTTGAGGCGCCTCAAAAGAACTGTGGCATAGCCCAGGGTACTGGGAGGTACAACATCCTTGTGGCACACCCACTGTGTATCTGGGAGGCACTGTGGATGTTGATTGAGAATGACTTTTGAGGCGCCTCAAAAGAACTGTGGCATAGCCCAAGGTACTGGGAGGTACAACATCCTTGTGGCACACCCACTGTGTATCTGGGAGGCACTGTGGATGTTGATTGAGAATGACTTTTGAGGCGCCTCAAAAGAACTGTGGCATAGCCCAGGGTACTGGGAGGTACAACATCCTTGTGGCACACCCACTGCGTATCTGGGAGGCACTGTGGATGTTGATTGAGAATGACTTTTGAGGCGCCTCAAAAGAACTGTGGCATAGCCCAGGGTACTGGGAGGTACAACATCCTTGTGGCACACCCACTGTGTATCTGGGAGGCACTGTGGATGTTGATTGAGAATGACTTTTGAGGCGCCTCAAAAGAACTGTGGCATAGCCCAGGGTACTGGGAGGTACAACATCCTTGTGGCACACCCACTGTGTATCTGGGAGGCACTGTGGATGTTGATTGAGAATGACTTTTGAGGCGCCTCAAAAGAACTGTGGCATAGCCCAGGGTACTGGGAGGTACAACATCCTTGTGGCACACCCACTGTGTATGTATCTAGGAGGCACTGTGGATGTTGATCGAGAATGGGGGAGATTGACAGACGATTTCTTTCAGGGTGAACATATGGTTCTTCAATCGTCTATCGTCAATCGTCTATCGTCAATCGTCTATCGTCAATCGTCTATAGAAAGATGAAGGTTCTTCAACACAAAGATTCCATCTTTCAGTCATTTGTCCTCGGCCACAAAATCATATGGTACAGAATCCAGGTGGCATAAATAAGCAAGGAGAAGGCATGGTGATCATGGGCACGTAAGTGAGCGTACCTCTAGCAGCTTTCCCGGTGACTTTTGAGTCGACGCAGAAGTCATGTGGCACGTAAGTGAGCATACCTCTAGCAGCTTTCTTGACATTGGCCTGAGGAGGGATGATTGCGCTGCAATGGTGTTGTTCAAATCAGCAAAAACAACTGCAGGTGAGGAGTTTTGAGACGTCTCAAAAGTGAGCATACCTCTAGCAGCTTTCTTGACATTGGCCTGAGGAGGGATGCTTGCGCTGCACTGGTGTTGTTCAAGTCAGCAAAAACAACCGCACGTGAGGAATGTGGGGAGGAGGACGAGGGAGAGGCGAAGGAAGTGGAGGGGAAAGAGGAGGAGGAGGAGGAGGCGGTGGTTCTTGGTGTGTTTGCCCAGGAGTGGAGGGAAGAGGGGAGGGTAGGGTGAAGGGAAGGAGAGGAGGAGAGGCCAAAGACAGCTGATACGGTGACGAGGGCTAGGACCTGGCGTGGTGCGGGGAGAAGGGGAAGCGGAGAGAGGAGCAGAAACACCACAAACAAAAAAGGGATGAGGAGAGAGGAAAACGGGACACTGAGCACAGTGATAGCTGAGATGGTGAGTGGCATGGTAAGGGGAGGCTAGTTTTGAGTCGACTCAAAAGTCACCTGAGTCGACTCAAAAGTCACCTGAGTCGACTCAAATGTCACCTGAGTCGACTCAAATGTCACCTGAGTCGACTCAAATGTCACCTGAGTCGACTCAAATGTCACCTTGGGACACTGAGCACAGTGATAGCTGAGATGGTGAGTGGTGTGCTAAGGGGAGGAGGGGACGAGGGGAAGAGGAGAAGAGGGGAGAGAAGAAGAGGGTACAGGAACAACGTGAGTGGTGAGTACAGGAACAACGTGAGGGTACAGAGGAGGAGAAGAGGGGAGAGAAGAAGAGGGTACAGGAACAACGTGAGATGGCGACAAAGGAAGAGGCACCGGGGGGGTTGCGGGGAAAGCAAATAGCGAGCACAATCACTCACTGCAGAGGGGCAAGCAAGCACACTGACTCACCGCATTGAGGGAGTTTTTTTTGAGACGCCTCAAAAGGGGGTTGCGGGGAAAGCAAGTAGCGAGCACGATCACTCACTGCAGAGGGGCAAGCAAGCACACTGACTCACCGCATTGAGGGAGTTTTTTTTGAGACGCCTCAAAAGGGGGTTGCGGGGAAAGCAAGTAGCGAGCACAATCACTCACTGCAGAGGGGCAAGCAAGCACACTGACTCACCGCATTGAGGGAGGGGGAAGAGGGGTTGCGGGGAAAGCTGGCTCCAAAGGAGCTGGAGAGAGTGAGACGACGCCAGCTGCCTGAGAAAGACCCTGATGACCTGCGGGGGTTGGGTTGGGGGGAAGGAAGGTGGATAAGGAGTCGAGAAGAGAGGGAGGATGTTCCAATACAGGAAGCGGAGAAAGAGAGAGTGAGACGGGCGCCAGCTGCCTGAAAAAGAACCCGATGAAGGGAAGGAGGGAAGGTGGAAAAGGGAATGGAGTGAGCAGTGGTGAGGAGATACCACCACTAGACAATACACCACACCCCCACCACTCCCACCACCCACCCCCACCACCCCCACCACCCCACCATCACCACAGCCCCACCACAAACCCCATCCATTCCATCCTTACTGCCCAAAGGACTGTCGCTGCGGCATTCCCACTGGAATCGACCTGCTCTTCCCACCACCACTGCCGCCACCACCACCACTGCCGCCACCACCACCACTGCCGCCACCACCACCGCTGCCACCACCGCTGCCACTGCCGCTGCCACTCCCACTGTTCCGCCTCCCTGATGCCCGTCCACCAATCCCCTGGTGCCACGTGTCCCTCTGCTGCTGCCCTCTATTCCCCCCTGCAACTGCGGAGGCTTCAAGGAGGGGGAGCAGTGTGCGGGGGAGTGAAGCCGAATCCTGGATGATTGGGGGAAGGGGAAAAGGGGAAGGGGGGAACAGGGGAACGGGGGAAGGGGGAAGGGGGGAAAGGGGGAAGGGGGAAAGTGGGGAAGGGGGGCATAGATGGGAAAAAGAAGGGCACTGGTGTTATCGGGAAGTGTACAGGTAAGCTGAGGAGGGAACTTCTGAGCCATCTCAATTCCTTAGGAAGGAGAAAGGTTTGGAGAAGCGAAACCCGAGCTGATACCTCGTTAGAATCACAGATCTCGTTAGAATCACAGATCTTGTTAGAATCACAGATCTCGTTAGAATCACAGATCTCGTTAGAATCACAGATCTCGTTAGAATCACAGATCTCGTTAGAATCACAGATCTCGTTAGAATCACAAATCTCGTTAGAATCACAGATCTTGTTAGAATCACAGATCTCGTTAGAATCACAGATCTCACTAGTATCACAGATCTCAGTAGTATCACATACCCCGTTAGCATCCCATCGCTAGCACCTCAAACCTTGTTAGAATAGAATCCCATACCTCATCAATCATGGCGCGATACAGCCTATTGGCTGCACTGTAATCATCCCCATCAGCCATCATCTCCATAATCACCATCACTACCATCATCAGCATCAACAGCACCATCAACACCAGCACCAGAACAATCAAATACCTCATCAATCATGGCGTGATACAGCCCGTTGGGTGCACCGTAATCATCCTCAATATAATCACCATCGTCACTATCATCATCACCACCATCATCAGCACCAACAGCGGCACCACCAGCAGCAGCAGCGGCAGACGCAGAGGTAGTTCCGACAGGGAGGGGACCTTCTAGCAAGGGAGCGTTTCTGCTGGGGGTCGCAAGTCTCCTGCCTCTCCTCTCCCGCCGCCGCTGCTGCCTCATCCTGCTGCACGCTGAGAGCACGTGCTGCAGTACTAGCACGCACGTGGTGCTTGTGTAGAGCTGTGATGTGACAGTATGGGGGGGATTGAGAGAAGTGGGAAGGACGAGGAGCCGCGGGATGAGGGGCAGGAGAGGAGGAAAGACGGTTTTCCCTTTCTGCTGCACGCTGCAGAGAGCACGTGTTTTGAGTCGACTCAAAACACGACAGGAGAGGAGGAAAGACGGTTTTCCCTTTCTGCTGCACGCTGCAGAGAGCACATGTTTTGAGTCGACTCAAAACACGACAGGAGAGGAGGAAAGACGGGTTTTACCTTTCTGCTGCACGCTGCAGAGAGCACGTGTTTTGAGTCGACTCAAAACACGACAGGAGAGGAGGAAAGACGGGTTTTCCCTTTCTGCTGCACGCTGCAGAGAGCACGTGTTTTGAGTCGACTCAAAACACGACAGGAGAGGAGGAAAGACGGGTTTTCCCTTTCTGCTGCACGCTGCAGAGAGCACGTGTTTTGAGTCGACTCAAAACACGACAGGAGAGGAGGAAAGACGGGTTTTCCCTTTCTGCTGCACGCTGCAGAGAGCACGTGCTGCAGCACCAGCAAAAACGGGAAGAGGTAATGATGAATCAAATCAAGGACAAAGCTCATCCGTCGTATCAAGGAGGACACAGAGGACACAAATGATGGCTTTTGGGACGTCTCAAAAGCAGAGCACAAACGGGAGGATGAAATGGGTAGGTACTGGGTCGTTCCAGAATACGACGGATAGAGGTGAAGTGGGGTGACTTTTGAGTCGACTCAAATGTCACCTGAGTCGACTCAAAAGTCAGGACGAAATGGGTAGGTACTGGGTCGTTCCAGAAAACAAAAGATAGATGTGAAGCGGGAGAGAGGGAAGAGAGCGGAGGGCCTTCGGATGTGAAGGGAAAGGAAGGAAGGGAAGGACGTACGATTGCTGTGAAGAGCTGGGTCGGAAGCTGCAGGGATGAGATGCATGCATTTGGTGCCGGCAGACAGAGGAGAAGAGGGAATGGGAGAAGGGAGTGGGGAGAGGTGGGGGAAGGGAAGCACAGGGAGATGGAATGATAGGTGAGCGGTAGGAAAGAGGGAGCACAGGGGAAGGAAAGAGGGAGTGACATAGGGAAAGAAGACAAGGGGGAGGGGAGAAGACGGGATGAGGAGGAGAAGTAACGAGAGAAGCGACAAAGCAACTGAATGGGAATCGGGCGAACGGGCAGTTTACGAAGGAAACGAGGGGCTGGCACACTAGTGGGAATGCAGCGTGACAGGATCAAGGAGGCAGCCGAGGAGATTAAATACATCTCTGGAGGGCGGGAAAACGGGTGGTGGAAAGCAGAAGTAACCGGTTTTAGACCGGACGGACGGTGAACACATGGGCAATGCCAGACTCTTAGATAAAAGACAATGTCACCTCGACTTTTGGGGCGGCTCAATGCCAGACGTTTAGCTAAAGTGCAATGTCGCCTCGAATGAAACATGCGCATATTAGTAAACGAAGGTGGACCTGTTTATCACCCTGTGATCCACGTCAGCACCGCCATTCACCCCACAATCCACGTCAGCAGCATGCACCCACCCCACGATCCACGTCAGCACCGTCCACTCACCCCACGATCCACGTCAGCACCAGCGCAAGAGGCACCTCCTCAAGCTCCACGCCGCTGCGCGACGCCTGACAGTTGGCGATCACCTGCGGGACCTCCGCCACCGCCCAGCACGCGATACTAAAAAGACCTAAGTAGAGCGACGCGACGTCGCGCGCGGAGCACACGCAGTCCCCGAAAACTAGGTACTTCCACCGGGAACAGCTCGACGGCGGGGATCCTGGGGCGGGAATCACGGCCGCGGGACAGGATGGGTCGAAAATGGTCATGGCGGGAAAATGGAGGTACGGATTTTGCCAGGAGGGGATTAATGGTTACGGCGAAATGTGGTACGTTTAGAGTGCGGATTCGAAGAATGACGCGGCGAATGCGAGTTGAAAACCGATGAGAGGGGGTCTGGCAGTCCCTTTTGCCGAATGCAGCCCCGATGGATAAGAGGCTTCCAGATCGCGGTATGTCAAAATGGTCGTATTGAGCGAACTATTCACTGGCCATCCGCCGAAGAGTCAATAGACGTTCGTAGGGCTGACCTAACAAGACTGCCATGCAAACGTTGTCAGGGGGATTGCAACTACATCCATTCGCCTCCTATCTAAAAACCTGTCGCAGTTCGTAGTTACAAGCATGAGAGAATAGTGAATCTGTCTAGCCTGTGTTCCTTCATTGAAAAATAAAGCCGCCTCGCCTGCGTGGCTGCTTGCCGCCCTTGTTTCGTATCAACAGTGAGTGAGGTGGAAATACCACGTGGTTTGGACTTGAACAGCAGGCTGCCTCTCGATGATTTCCTGGAGCTGGATTGACGGCTCTTACTGCAGAAAGACATGGCTTATCCAATTAGCGTTGTGGAATGTCATCCTCGTGGTAATAATCTCAAGGTTCGAGGTGGACAACAGCCGCTATGGGTAGCAAGCGAATATGAACGAAACTGGTTACGGAAACGCGATTTGGATGTGAACAATTGCTCCTCCGCCGTCAGTTTGGCCAGCCAATCAATTCGCACACATCGCTTAGGTGCAGCGATTTCATCGCACTAAAAGCAGAAATCGTTTAGGTCCACCGATATCATCGCACATATCGCACATATCGTTTAAACAGTTGTTTTTTCACCAGAAGCAGCAGTTCCCCGGGCCTAGGGTAAGTGGCCCCAAGCTCAGATATTTGCCGTACTTAGTCGTTTTGGTACCAGTAATCCCTCATATTGTTTAGAGAACTTCACTAGGGCATTCTATAGGCTTCTACAACTCATTATGGAGAAGGATAACTGCCAGATAAGCAAATGCGAGGATGAGAATAAGGAAGCGAATGGCTGCAGCAGCGGCGAAGTGCTGAAGCCGTCTCCTACGGGCGTCGATAAATCCGCCAGCAGTGACCGTTGCGCCCAGGATTCCGCCAGCGGTCGCCGTTCCGCAGATGTTGAATTCGAGCCGCTGACCGATAATAAATCCGACCCGTTGAGTTATGGAGATTCCGAGCCCTTGATTGTTGGGCGACCCGAGCTGTTGGCTGTTGGAAGATCTGAGCCGTCCGTTGATGGGAAATCTGATTTTCCAAGTAATAATGTTCTCGAGAAAGCCGTTGATGGAGGATGCGTAGATCCCGCGGAACGGTTAAACAAGAAGCTCTCAGGTGTGTTTTGTGAGCAACGACTTCTGTTCTGAGGCGCTTAAAAAAGAGGATGCACGGATTCCACGAAACGTTTATATGATAATTTCTCAGTTGTGTTCGTTTGAGCCACGAAAGGGGTGAAGAACGGGAGGATGACGGTTTAAAGGGATGGCTGTTTTTTTTTTTTTTTTTAATTCTCTATGTGGCTTCTGAATTTCTGGCTTCGTCTCGTTTCCCCCCCGTTCCCCTTCCTTTGCATTCGTCATTTCGAAACCTGTATCCTCCTCACCCTCTCCGTAGCGCCTGCCTTTCCGAAACGTCTATTAAGGAAGGCCTTTTTTTTCTCCCCCGACCCCTCTTCTCACCCCGCTTAGATATGCACCTGATGGGAGGTGAAGGGGCCAAAACGGGGAGACACGGCGGGGAAAGCGACGAAGCGGAGGGGAAAGGAAGCAAGGGGGACGTTGGAGATGAACGAGCGGGGGATATCGTGGGGATCGCAGGGGGCGGTAGCGCGGAGGGAAATGAAAGGGCTGTAAGAGACGAGAAGCAAGGAGAGGCAAGGGAGGAGAGAAAAGAGGCGCGTGAGGAGGAATCGGTGGAGCAAAGAGGTGAACAGGATGATCCGGTTGCTTTGAGCAATGAGGGCGTATTGGACAGCAGAGAACACGTGTTGAATAGTGAAGGAGGGTCGTTAGGCAATAGGGAGGGCTCTTTACATAGCAGAGAAGGTTCCTTAAATAGTAAAGAAGGGTCGGTGCATAGTAGAGACAGCTCGATTGATAGTTTGCACGGGGAAGATGATGTGAGGGGGCGTGCACAAGGGAAGGGGCCTGCAGGCGTGAAGGGGAAGGGGAATGTAGGTGGGATAGCGAAGGGGCAGAGGGGTAGGGGAGACGCAGCAGCAGCAAGAGGGGGAGGGGGAGGCAGTACGGTTGACGATAGTGATGGTGATAGTGTGGAGAGCGGGTTTCGTGGTGGGGTGATCAGCAGTAGGGGCAGGGGCGCGAAGGTGAAGGGGAATGCAGACGAAACAGCGAAGGGGCAGAGGGGTAGGAGAGGTGCAGCAGCAGCAGCAGCAAAAGGAAGAGGGGGAGGCAGTACGGTTGATGATAGCGATAGTGACAGTGTGGAGAGCGGGTTTTGCGGTGGCGGAGTGATCAGTAGCAGGGGCAGAGGCGCCCGCAGGTACAGCTCTGGTGCCGTTGCTTCTGGTGGTGGCGGTGGTGGTGGGGGTGATGATAGCGATAGTGACAGTGACGAGAGCACAGCAGGAAGCAAGCCGGTTGAGGGGGGAGGAGGAGAGGGAGTGGGAGAAGAGGAGGAAGAAGGAGGAGGGAGAGGGGACGATTCAGAGGGGGCAGGTCGGGGAGGAGGGATGGGTGGTGGGCGAGAGGGGCGAGGGTGGGGAGGTAACCCCTTGTGGCGTGAGGCGTATGAGGGGGAAAGTTCTGGTGGCGGTGCTGCTGCTGGTGCTGCTGCTGGTGGTGCTGGTGGTGCTGGTGGTGGTCGTGGTGGTGCGTCCACTGCTGCTGGTGGTGGTTGGGAAAGGGGAAGGGGGAGTGGGAGGCAGAACGGTGGATGGGAGAGAGGGCGTGAGTGGGGTAGCAAGGGGGGAGGGAGGGATGACACGAGTAGTGCCGCTGTTGGTGGTGCTGCTGGTGGTGGGGGACAAGGGAGCATGAAGATGGGAATGGGGATGGGGATGGAGGGAGGAAAGGCAAGAAGGAGGATAGACGGTCAACACCAGTTTATGAAGGGCATCGTAAGTTTTGCTGCGTCATTAGCTGGGTTTGTTTCCTAGACGATTTCAAAACGGAGGATAGACGGACAACACCAGTTTATGAACGTCATTGTGAGTTTTGCTGCATTGTTACATGGAACGATAATTATTTCTGCCTCTTGCTATGCTGCTGTGCTTCTTGTAACGCTGCTTCGGTATGCCCATATCACTTGAATGGGACGCTTGACGTAGTGAGCGTGGATTATTATTATGATTATATATATATGTATATTTTCTATATATATATGTATATTTTCCAGAAATCTCCCCTATCAGGTGCAGAAGCACAGGGATGTGCAGGAACGACCCTTGAATCGTCTAAAAAATCCAATCTACTTTTCGCTGTTCATCCCCCTTACTCTTTCATCCGGTTCAGGTGCAGATGTATAGAGAGGTGTATAAGCGGCTGTACCAAGTTGCTGCTGCCACTGGCATCACACCCATTGCTGCTGCTGCTGCTGCTGCTGCTGCTGCTGCTGCTGCTGCTGCTGCTGCCAAGCGAATGAAGACCCCTCACTTAAACACCTTCACGCATTTTCTCCCTCATCACCCCAACCCCAACCCCTTCACCCATTTTCTCACCTCATCAGGTGCAAGTGCAGAAGGATAGGGAGGTATATGAGCGACTGTATCAAGCTGCTGCTGCCACCGGCATCACACCCGTTGCTGCCGCTGCCACTGCTGCCAAGCAGATGAGGGAGGGGGGAGCTGTGGCGGGCAAGGGAGATAGGGAGGGAGAAAGAGCGGGTTTGGAAAGGGGAGATAGGGCAGGAGAAGGAGCAGATAGAGGGAGGGAAGGGGTGACAGGAGGAGTGAAGAAGGAGCAGCAGCAGGTGGGTCCGGTGGACGGGGAAAGAGAGGGGATGAAATCAGGGAAGGATGGGGAGCGAAGGGCAGGGAGGCACCAGCACCAGCACCACCAGCAGAAGAGGGGGGAGCAGAGAGGGGAGCAGAGAGGGGAGCGTGGTGATACGCATAGGAAAGGCAAGGAGAGGGAAGGGGTTCTTGTGGAAGACTTAGAGGAAGGGACAGGAGAGACAGGCGGAGGGGATGTGAGGGGGAGGGGAGGAGGGAGGGGTAGCTGGGAGGAGAAGAGAGAAGTGGATTGGAGGTGGGGGAAAAGTACTGGGCAAGGAGGAGAGGGAGGGGGTAGCAGCAGGCAGGAAAGGCTCGAATTGAGCAACAGTAGGGCGGAGAGGAGTGGGGGGAGGAAGAGTGGGGAGAGGAGGGGTGTTGAAGAGAAGCGTGGGGAGGAGAGGCGTGGGGAAGAGCGATCCAAGGCGGGCAAGGGCAACGGGCAGCAGAGTGAAAGAGAGAGGGCGGACGGGCCTGGTACCAGTGGTGATGGCAGCGCTGGCACTGTTGGAAGAGAGGGTGGGCGGAGGAGGGTGAGCGGGCTGGGAGGTGGTAACCGCCTACTAGACGCAGCGTTTGCCCCTGTGATAGGTGGTTTCCACCCTGGTGGCGCCCAGCCTGGTGGTTTCCACCCGGGAAGCTCTCCTTCCGGAGGCTTGACCCAGGGGAGGTTCCATCCAGGAGCAGGCGCAGGCAGGGGGGGCAGGGGTGCTGGCTTGGGGGGCAGGGCTCGAGGCAATGGGGTTGCTGGGGGGGGTATGGTGGGTGTGGCTGCAGTGACAGCAGATAGGCCTGTGAGTGCGGAGGGTAGGAGAGGGGAGAAGCCAGGGCAGAAGCAGAGAAGAGAGCAGGACGAGGCTGCAGATGAGGTTAGCTCGCTGCCGTTTTCACGCTTGAGCCTTGAGGCAAAGACTGATGATGGACAGCAAGAGCAAGCACATGGGGCGAGGACTGGTGATGAGAGCAAGGAGAAGGGGAAAGGAGGAGTCGGGAGCGGTCCGTTTCTATTCGGTGCTGCAGGAACAGCAGGAGCTGCAGCAGGAGCAGCAGCAGGTGCCACCACTGCAGTTCATGCTGCCCCTACCACCACCACCACCACCACCCCGCCTGCTGCTGCAAGGGGTAGCAAGGTTCAAGTGCACGGAATCAGCACAAGTGGGCCTCCACAACATGCAACCCCCATTCCAGCCCATACCCCTGATCCTGCCGTCGGTACCCCTGAGGCTCCTGAACGCATGGCTGCTCCCTGTCTTGCTGCTGTCCCCGCCCATGCACCTGGTCGTAACCTTGCGAGCCCTGCTCCTGACCCTGCTCCTGCTGTCCCTGCTCCTGCTCACCCTTCTACTCACGCTCCCCATGACGCCTTGAACCAGCCTAGTCCCGCCCCTGGCTCTGGTGACGTGGCAGCATTGGGTTTGGCTCCTCAAGAGGGCCTAGCCTCGCCCTGTGGGCTGAGCTGGGCGGATATGGTGGATGAGGATGAGGCAAATGGGGAGGGGAGGGGGAGAAAAGAGGATGGGATAGTGGAAATAAAGGGAGGTGGTTCGGCGGGTGATAAGCCGGGGGTTGGGTTGTACGTCCCGCCCTTCAGGGCAGCACAAGCGCATGGTGTCTCCAAGAAATGACCAGCTTCAGATTTTATTTTGTTGAGGTTTGAGAAATTGTTGGTCCAGATTTGGAGTGTTTTTAAGTTGTGTAGTAAACATATATTTGTAACGAATAACGAGGCGACCGTTGTCTCGGCAGCCACAATCCTTGAAGCTGTCCCCTTCAGCCCAGTCCAGTCCAGCACAGCATCGAGATTGCCGACTGCTCCTTCCACCATCAACAACCGTTTCCGCCACGGCACACTGCACACCACCGCACCCAATACCTTCAGGACATCCCAACTTCGATTTGCGTGTGCTGGGAGGTTCACATTTTCACAGCCTCGCTGGGCGTAAGGAAATGGTTGATGACACAAGTGGCGAAAGGTTATTATCTGCGACCTCCTTTAGTACTGACAGATTCGCTCAGGCATCACTAAGCGGCCGTGTTCGCCGCCAGATTGCGTCGCGCGTGTTAACGGAGCTGGCTAAGTGTCCAGCGTAAGCACCCCGTAGTTGCACATTGCGTTTTGACGAGGCGAGCTACAGACAGGGCGGATTTGCTTGGACGAGAGCTGGCTCGTAACGTACTATCCGTTCGTCTTGAGGCGCCTCAAAACTAGACGGGGCGGATTTGCTTGGACGATAGCTGGCTCGTAACGTACTATCCGTTCGTCAAGCGTTAGTGCAGCGTATCCAGCGGAACCACCCCGTAGTTACTTTTGAGTCGACTCAAGAGTCACTTTCTCACGCGTTATCGCAGGGTATCCATCGTAACCACGCCGTAGCTGCACATTTCATTTAGAAGAGGCGAACACGTACGAGGCTGTTACGTTTGGGGACCTGCTAATGACCTGCTAATGACCTGCTGATGACCTGCGCGAAGGAAGTCCGCGAGGCGACGATCACTGTTGCGGCGAGAGCTTGCTAGTTGTTGCGAATGGTTGGCGACGAAGTTACGCACCGTTCGCGATTAGTAGTGTCTCTTCGTCCGTCATGAGGCTTACTAGGACGCTTGCTGCGTGATTGGACGTAGTTTTCCAGGACCGTGAAATCCGGTCATCGACCAGTAGACAGGCGGAGAGTAATCAATCGCAAACCCTGCGCCAGTCGCGACGCTGCAAGCAGTCTCGTCCCGAACTTAGTAGCCGTGAATCCATTCTTTAGTCGACCACAAAATCGGCTGCATCCATCCATCATCTTCCCGAAGCTGGTCGCCGTGAAACGCGGGACCGGGGTGATAGTCGGTCGCAATGGCGGGATGGCTGCGAGCGGCTGAAGGTAGGCAATGACACCGTCTCACAGTGAGGGTGACTATGTTGGGGGTGAAAGTAGGCATTGCCGACACCGTTACTGTGACAGTGACTATGTCGGGGGTGTAGATGCTGTTCATGACGAGGTTACAGGCGAAGCCGTGGAAAAGCGCAGTGAGTGTGGCGGCTCTTAATAACGACTTCCCATCGTCCTCTCCCTCCTCTCCCTTCTCCCCCCCTCCCCTCCTCCCCAACCCCTTCCACTCTCCCAGAGCTGCTAGAAGCCGTGGATCGCACAGTGAGTGTGGCGGCACGTATTGAGGGCTTTGCTCCGGCCGCTGCTCCGTGTGTTGCCAAAAACTCCATCCGTATTACAGCTCCCTCCTTTCCCCCTCTCATCCCCCCCTATCCTTGCGTCCCTTTCCCCCCAACGCCCTTTCCCTCCGCCTCTTTCCCCCTTCTCCCTTCTCCCCCTTTCACCTTCCCCTTCTCCCCTCTCTCCCAGAGCTACTAGAAGTGATGGATCGCACAGTGAGTGTGGCGGCACAGAATGAGGGCTTTGCTCCGCTTGCGGCTCCGTGTGTTGCCAGAAACACCGTCCCTACTACCTTTCCCTCCTTCGTCCCACTCTTCTTCCCCTCTCCCAGAGCTACTAGAAGCGGTGGATCGCACAGTGAGTGTGGCGGCACGAAATGAGGATTCAGCTCTGGAGGAGCAGCTAGCAGGTGAAACGGGAAGTTGAGTTCGGTTGGGTGCGGTTGGGCAGGGCTGGTAAGGGTGGAGGACGTTATTATGCGACTTAAGGCGTCCCCTGTTGAAGCTGGCAGCAGGTGGGGAGCGCAGTGCGGTTGGGCTGGGTTGGGACGGGTGGATAACTATCCGAGTCAGAGTGAGAGAGGGATTTGATGAATGGAATTTAGTTAGTCATTGACCCTGGCTTTTCCTTTCCCTCGTTCCTCCCACCCCCATCTATTGTGCGCCGTACGTCCATTGGAGCAGCACTGGAGCCTGTGGGAGTGCGCAAGACACCAGCAGCAAGGGAAAAGGTGAGTAGCCGACTTGCAGCAGCTGTGCCTGTGCCGTTGATAGGGTAATACGATGGTATGTATGTGCTGGCATACGCTGATAGGGGGAGAAATTGTCATCTCTCTAATGAGATCCTGGAATGGCGAGCTCGGTTTGGGATTGGTTGGTTATGAGTGTTGTAACACCCGGTTTTCTGGTATGACATGTCGAGTGGTTCGCTCGTACCTCTGTTATAACGTGTACACATGTAAAGAAGGGGATTTTTTAATACACCTTCTAATGTACTTTTTTGTTTGTTTTGTTTTCCCATCCCCAACAATCTCTCTGTTGATGCACATGCTTACAGGGCAAGCTAGACCGGTCGAAATCGAAGCCAACCTCTAGTAGAGCCACTAACGGGGCAGCTCTTAAAGGATCCATCAGCGCTCCATCCCTAGACGAGCCTGGAAGCTCCTCCGAAACAGAGGGAAAAGCAGCAGGCACAGCAGGGGTGCGAGGAGGGGGGAAGGGTGCAGGTGGCGGCAGGAGAAAGAAGGTCGAGGCGAGCTCTAGTGGAGGGTCGACTGGTGGAGGCTCAACTGGTGGAGGTTCAACTGGTGGGGGATCAGCAGCAGGAGGATCTACTGGTAAAGGGTTAACCGGAGGGGGTACTACTACCATGACTGTTGGGAGCTTGATCGCTGCTGGGGCAGGGTCTGACACTCTCCTTGCGGATAGTACTGCTGCTGCGCGCCTTGATACAGGTGCAGACCGGAGAAGGGCAGGTGTGGAAGCAGCAGCAGGTGCAGAGGAAGGAGCAGCAGGGGGAGCATCAGCGGGAGAAGCAGCAGGAGGGGGGAATGGGAGCCTGAGTTCTGATGCTAGTAAGGCAGCTGTTGCTGCTGCTGCTGCTGCTGCTGCTACTGCTGCTGCTGCTGCCACGACCGGAGCTGCTGAGGAGGCAGGTCTGGATGCGGGGCCAGCAGCTGGTTTGGCAGCTGGGTTCGATGCAGCCTTGGGTGGTGGATTGGGGATTGAGGCAGGGACAGGTGCGGATGCTGTGAGTGTTGGGATTGCAACAGAGGCAGGGGGGGCAGGCGGGGCAGCAGGGGCAGGCGGGGCAGCAGGGGCAGGAGGGAGCCAAGTAAGGGGTGAAGAAGGAGCAGAGAGTGAGGGAGGGAGTGAGAGGGGTGTGCAGGGTGAGGTCACAGAAGGGGAAGGATGTGAGGGTAAGTCGAATGCGGGTTCCCCTGGTGAGGTGCCTTTAGGGGGCGAAAGGAGGGAGGTAGAGGGATCCAGTGCGGTTGAGAAGCAAGATGCTGCGGTGGAAGGCGTTTCTCTGGTGGAAGGTGAAGGCGGGGTGGTGTTTATAACAGGAGGTCAATCGGGGCCAGGGAGGTTGGGACCAGGATCAGAAGCGGGGGTGGGGAGTGGGAGGGGAGGAGAGTCAGGAGAAGGGGAGGTAGGAGGAGGGGAAGTGGTTGGTACTGAGGAGGGGGTGGAAGGGGAAATGGGGCATGATCAAAATGGGAGGAGAGAAGGGGTGGAGAACAGTGTAAAGGCTGAGGCTGGGGCTGGTGTTGGGATTGCTGGCACGGATGTGACAAAGGGAGAGGGGGTAGGGGGTGATGGTAAGGAGGTTAGAGAGGGGATGTTAGAGAATGGGGGAAAGGAAGAGGATGGGGAAGGGGGAAGAAGAGTAGGGGAGGAGGGGGGGGTAGAAATGGAGGAGGGAGGCAGAGTGGAGGAAGCAGAGGGAGAAGAGGAGGGAGGGGAAGGAGAAGAGGAGGAAGAAGAGGAGGGTGAGGAGGAAGGGGGTGAGGAGGAAGAAGAGGAGGAGGAGGAAGCGGAGGAGGAGGAAGCGGAGGAGGAGGGTGTTGAGAGGGACAGGAAGGCAAGGGAGAAGGTGGTGAAAGCGTCAGAGACTCAGAGGGATCTCGAGGAGGTATGTGAACTATATTGAAGGGAGTTGAGAGTATGGGTCTATGGTTGCTTGCACTTGTAAAGCAGGAGCATGGTGGTTATTGGGAAGACAAGGGAGAAGGTGGTGAAAGTCTAGTTTTGAGGCGCCTCAAAACTATGGGTCTATGGTTGCTTGCACTTGTAAAGCAGGAGCATGGTGGTTATTGTATTGGGAAGACAAGGGAGAAGGTGGTGAAAGTCTAGTTTTGAGGCGCCTCAAAACTATGGGTCTATGGTTGCTTGCACTTGTAAAGCAGGAGCATGGTGGTTATTGTATTGGGAAGACAAGGGAGAAGGTGGTGAAAGCGTCAGAGACTCAACGGGATCTTGAAGAGGTGAGTGGATTTTTACAAGGAGTTGTCAAATCAGAGACTCCACGAGACCTTGAAGAGGTGAGAAAAAAGGTATCAAAGAATTTTGACAGAAAGGGTTTACGGATGCAGCAGGACAATCCGATTGGATTGGAGCACTGATCAGAATTGTTTATGAGCACAGCAACTTTAGTTTTCCACTCCAATCTCCTCCCTTTCAAACCCTCCCTCCTCCCTCCTCTCTCGTTTGTTCTGGCTGTTCCTGGCAGGCCAAGGGACTGCTTCGATCAGCTACAGGCATTGGGCAAACCAAGGAGGCCAGGCTTACACGGGTAGGCATGAATGTTTGAGGGATGGAGAAGGATGAGGGATGTATGCGTTTGGTGGTGCGTTAGGTATGGCAGGCCAAGGGGCATCCTTGAATCAACCACAGGCATTGGGCAAACCAAAGAGGCCAGGCTTACACGGGTATGTGTGTGTGCGTGTGGGAAGGCATGGGCGCGTGGACGCGTGAAGGATGAGGGATGCACGTGTTAGGTGGTGCGTTAGGCATGGCAGGCCAAGGGGCTTCTCTGATAGGATACACTACAGGCATCGGGCAAACGAAGGAGGCCTGGCTTGCATGGAGATATGTGATTCATGCATGCATGAAGGGTGAAGGATGAGGGATGAATTTTGAGGCGCCTCAAAATGCACCAAAATGCACTTTTGAGGCGCCTCAAAAACGAAGGAGGCCTGGCTTGCATGGAGATATGTGATTCATGGATCCATGAAGGGTGAAGGATGAGGGATGCGTGTGGGGTGACTTTGCGAGTCAGTTGCGGTGACTGAGAGTCAGTTGCGGTGACTGAGAGTCAGTTGCGGTGACTGAGAGTCAGTTGCGGTGACTGAGAGTCAGCAAGTAGAAGGTTTTCCTTACAGCCTCCTTCCCTCTTCTCCTCTCTCTTTTGTCTGCCTCTCTCCTTCTATTTCTCCCTCTCCATGCCCCTGCAGATCTGTGCACAGCTGTCGGCGCGGCTGCAGGAGTATAAGGCGGGTGGAGTGACTTGATAGCATAGCAGCAACCAAGCAGCCACGTACCCTTTCCTCTGCCTCTCTTTCTCTTTCGCTCCCTTTGACTGCCCCTGCAGATCTGTGCACAGCTGTCGGCGCGGCTGCAGGAGTATAAGGCGGAGAACGAGCAGCTGAAGCGACTTGGAATTGCGTCGTTTAGAATTAGCACACAAGCAACCCGCCTCACTCACTCAGCTTGGCTTGGCCCCTCTCCCTCTCCATGCCCTTGCAGATCTGTGCACAGCTATCAGCGCGGCTCCAGGAGTATAAGGCGGAGAACGAGCAGCTGAAGCGACTTGGAATTGCGTCGTTTAGAATTAGCACACAAGCAACCCGCCTCACTCACTCAGCTTGGCTTGGCCCCTCTCCCTCTCCATGCCCTTGCAGATCTGTGCACAGCTATCAGCGCGGCTCCAGGAGTATAAGGCGGAGAACGAGCAGCTGAAGCGACTTGGAATTGCGTCGTTTAGAATTAGCACACAAGCAACCCGCCTCACTCACTCAGCTTGGCTTGGCCCCTCTCCCTCTCCATGCCCTTGCAGATCTGTGCACAGCTATCAGCGCGGCTCCAGGAGTATAAGGCGGAGAACGAGCAGCTGAAGCGACTTGGAATTGCGTCGTTTAGAATTAGCACACAAGCAACCCGCCTCACTCACTCAGCTTGGCTTGGCCCCTCTCCCTCTCCATGCCCTTGCAGATCTGTGCACAGCTATCAGCGCGGCTCCAGGAGTATAAGGCGGAGAACGAGCAGCTGAAGCGACTTGGAATTGCGTCGTTTAGAATTAGCACACAAGCAACCCGCCTCACTCACTCAGCTTGGCTTGGCCCCTCTCCCTCTCCATGCCCTTGCAGATCTGTGCACAGCTATCAGCGCGGCTCCAGGAGTATAAGGCGGAGAACGAGCAGCTGAAGCGACTTGGAATTGCGTCGTTTAGAATTAGCACACAAGCAACCCGCCTCACTCACTCAGCTTGGCTTGGCCCCTCTCCCTCTCCATGCCCTTGCAGATCTGTGCACAGCTATCAGCGCGGCTCCAGGAGTATAAGGCGGAGAACGAGCAGCTGAAGCGACTTGGAATTGCGTCGTTTAGAATTAGCACACAAGCAACCCGCCTCACTCACTCAGCTTGGCTTGGCCCCTCTCCCTCTCCATGCCCTTGCAGATCTGTGCACAGCTATCAGCGCGGCTCCAGGAGTATAAGGCGGAGAACGAGCAGCTGAAGCGACTTGGAATTGCGTCGTTTAGAATTAGCACACAAGCAACCCGCCTCACTCACTCAGCTTGGCTTGGCCCCTCTCCCTCTCCATGCCCTTGCAGATCTGTGCACAGCTATCAGCGCGGCTCCAGGAGTATAAGGCGGAGAACGAGCAGCTGAAGCGACTTGGAATTGCGTCGTTTAGAATTAGCACACAAGCAACCCGCCTCACTCACTCAGCTTGGCTTGGCCCCTCTCCCTCTCCATGCCCTTGCAGATCTGTGCACAGCTATCAGCGCGGCTCCAGGAGTATAAGGCGGAGAACGAGCAGCTGAAGCGACTTGGAATTGCGTCGTTTAGAATTAGCACACAAGCAACCCGCCTCACTCACTCAGCTTGGCTTGGCCCCTCTCCCTCTCCATGCCCTTGCAGATCTGTGCACAGCTATCAGCGCGGCTCCAGGAGTATAAGGCGGAGAACGAGCAGCTGAAGCGACTTGGAATTGCGTCGTTTAGAATTAGCACACAAGCAACCCGCCTCACTCACTCAGCTTGGCTTGGCCCCTCTCCCTCTCCATGCCCTTGCAGATCTGTGCACAGCTATCAGCGCGGCTCCAGGAGTATAAGGCGGAGAACGAGCAGCTGAAGCGACTTGGAATTGCGTCGTTTAGAATTAGCACACAAGCAACCCGCCTCACTCACTCAGCTTGGCTTGGCCCCTCTCCCTCTCCATGCCCTTGCAGATCTGTGCACAGCTATCAGCGCGGCTCCAGGAGTATAAGGCGGAGAACGAGCAGCTGAAGCGACTTGGAATTGCGTCGTTTAGAATTAGCACACAAGCAACCCGCCTCACTCACTCAGCTTGGCTTGGCCCCTCTCCCTCTCCATGCCCTTGCAGATCTGTGCACAGCTATCAGCGCGGCTCCAGGAGTATAAGGCGGAGAACGAGCAGCTGAAGCGACTTGGAATTGCGTCGTTTAGAATTAGCACACAAGCAACCCGCCTCACTCACTCAGCTTGGCTTGGCCCCTCTCCCTCTCCATGCCCTTGCAGATCTGTGCACAGCTATCAGCGCGGCTCCAGGAGTATAAGGCGGAGAACGAGCAGCTGAAGCGACTTGGAATTGCGTCGTTTAGAATTAGCACACAAGCAACCCGCCTCACTCACTCAGCTTGGCTTGGCCCCTCTCCCTCTCCATGCCCTTGCAGATCTGTGCACAGCTATCAGCGCGGCTCCAGGAGTATAAGGCGGAGAACGAGCAGCTGAAGCGACTTGGAATTGCGTCGTTTAGAATTAGCACACAAGCAACCCGCCTCACTCACTCAGCTTGGCTTGGCCCCTCTCCCTCTCCATGCCCTTGCAGATCTGTGCACAGCTATCAGCGCGGCTCCAGGAGTATAAGGCGGAGAACGAGCAGCTGAAGCGACTTGGAATTGCGTCGTTTAGAATTAGCACACAAGCAACCCGCCTCACTCACTCAGCTTGGCTTGGCCCCTCTCCCTCTCCATGCCCTTGCAGATCTGTGCACAGCTATCAGCGCGGCTCCAGGAGTATAAGGCGGAGAACGAGCAGCTGAAGCGACTTGGAATTGCGTCGTTTAGAATTAGCACACAAGCAACCCGCCTCACTCACTCAGCTTGGCTTGGCCCCTCTCCCTCTCCATGCCCTTGCAGATCTGTGCACAGCTATCAGCGCGGCTCCAGGAGTATAAGGCGGAGAACGAGCAGCTGAAGCGACTTGGAATTGCGTCGTTTAGAATTAGCACACAAGCAACCCGCCTCACTCACTCAGCTTGGCTTGGCCCCTCTCCCTCTCCATGCCCTTGCAGATCTGTGCACAGCTATCAGCGCGGCTCCAGGAGTATAAGGCGGAGAACGAGCAGCTGAAGCGACTTGGAATTGCGTCGTTTAGAATTAGCACACAAGCAACCCGCCTCACTCACTCAGCTTGGCTTGGCCCCTCTCCCTCTCCATGCCCTTGCAGATCTGTGCACAGCTATCAGCGCGGCTCCAGGAGTATAAGGCGGAGAACGAGCAGCTGAAGCGACTTGGAATTGCGTCGTTTAGAATTAGCACACAAGCAACCCGCCTCACTCACTCAGCTTGGCTTGGCCCCTCTCCCTCTCCATGCCCTTGCAGATCTGTGCACAGCTATCAGCGCGGCTCCAGGAGTATAAGGCGGAGAACGAGCAGCTGAAGCGACTTGGAATTGCGTCGTTTAGAATTAGCACACAAGCAACCCGCCTCACTCACTCAGCTTGGCTTGGCCCCTCTCCCTCTCCATGCCCTTGCAGATCTGTGCACAGCTATCAGCGCGGCTCCAGGAGTATAAGGCGGAGAACGAGCAGCTGAAGCGACTTGGAATTGCGTCGTTTAGAATTAGCACACAAGCAACCCGCCTCACTCACTCAGCTTGGCTTGGCCCCTCTCCCTCTCCATGCCCTTGCAGATCTGTGCACAGCTATCAGCGCGGCTCCAGGAGTATAAGGCGGAGAACGAGCAGCTGAAGCGACTTGGAATTGCGTCGTTTAGAATTAGCACACAAGCAACCCGCCTCACTCACTCAGCTTGGCTTGGCCCCTCTCCCTCTCCATGCCCTTGCAGATCTGTGCACAGCTATCAGCGCGGCTCCAGGAGTATAAGGCGGAGAACGAGCAGCTGAAGCGACTTGGAATTGCGTCGTTTAGAATTAGCACACAAGCAACCCGCCTCACTCACTCAGCTTGGCTTGGCCCCTCTCCCTCTCCATGCCCTTGCAGATCTGTGCACAGCTATCAGCGCGGCTCCAGGAGTATAAGGCGGAGAACGAGCAGCTGAAGCGACTTGGAATTGCGTCGTTTAGAATTAGCACACAAGCAACCCGCCTCACTCACTCAGCTTGGCTTGGCCCCTCTCCCTCTCCATGCCCTTGCAGATCTGTGCACAGCTATCAGCGCGGCTCCAGGAGTATAAGGCGGAGAACGAGCAGCTGAAGCGACTTGGAATTGCGTCGTTTAGAATTAGCACACAAGCAACCCGCCTCACTCACTCAGCTTGGCTTGGCCCCTCTCCCTCTCCATGCCCTTGCAGATCTGTGCACAGCTATCAGCGCGGCTCCAGGAGTATAAGGCGGAGAACGAGCAGCTGAAGCGACTTGGAATTGCGTCGTTTAGAATTAGCACACAAGCAACCCGCCTCACTCACTCAGCTTGGCTTGGCCCCTCTCCCTCTCCATGCCCTTGCAGATCTGTGCACAGCTATCAGCGCGGCTCCAGGAGTATAAGGCGGAGAACGAGCAGCTGAAGCGACTTGGAATTGCGTCGTTTAGAATTAGCACACAAGCAACCCGCCTCACTCACTCAGCTTGGCTTGGCCCCTCTCCCTCTCCATGCCCTTGCAGATCTGTGCACAGCTATCAGCGCGGCTCCAGGAGTATAAGGCGGAGAACGAGCAGCTGAAGCGACTTGGAATTGCGTCGTTTAGAATTAGCACACAAGCAACCCGCCTCACTCACTCAGCTTGGCTTGGCCCCTCTCCCTCTCCATGCCCTTGCAGATCTGTGCACAGCTATCAGCGCGGCTCCAGGAGTATAAGGCGGAGAACGAGCAGCTGAAGCGACTTGGAATTGCGTCGTTTAGAATTAGCACACAAGCAACCCGCCTCACTCACTCAGCTTGGCTTGGCCCCTCTCCCTCTCCATGCCCTTGCAGATCTGTGCACAGCTATCAGCGCGGCTCCAGGAGTATAAGGCGGAGAACGAGCAGCTGAAGCGACTTGGAATTGCGTCGTTTAGAATTAGCACACAAGCAACCCGCCTCACTCACTCAGCTTGGCTTGGCCCCTCTCCCTCTCCATGCCCTTGCAGATCTGTGCACAGCTATCAGCGCGGCTCCAGGAGTATAAGGCGGAGAACGAGCAGCTGAAGCGACTTGGAATTGCGTCGTTTAGAATTAGCACACAAGCAACCCGCCTCACTCACTCAGCTTGGCTTGGCCCCTCTCCCTCTCCATGCCCTTGCAGATCTGTGCACAGCTATCAGCGCGGCTCCAGGAGTATAAGGCGGAGAACGAGCAGCTGAAGCGACTTGGAATTGCGTCGTTTAGAATTAGCACACAAGCAACCCGCCTCACTCACTCAGCTTGGCTTGGCCCCTCTCCCTCTCCATGCCCTTGCAGATCTGTGCACAGCTATCAGCGCGGCTCCAGGAGTATAAGGCGGAGAACGAGCAGCTGAAGCGACTTGGAATTGCGTCGTTTAGAATTAGCACACAAGCAACCCGCCTCACTCACTCAGCTTGGCTTGGCCCCTCTCCCTCTCCATGCCCTTGCAGATCTGTGCACAGCTATCAGCGCGGCTCCAGGAGTATAAGGCGGAGAACGAGCAGCTGAAGCGACTTGGAATTGCGTCGTTTAGAATTAGCACACAAGCAACCCGCCTCACTCACTCAGCTTGGCTTGGCCCCTCTCCCTCTCCATGCCCTTGCAGATCTGTGCACAGCTATCAGCGCGGCTCCAGGAGTATAAGGCGGAGAACGAGCAGCTGAAGCGACTTGGAATTGCGTCGTTTAGAATTAGCACACAAGCAACCCGCCTCACTCACTCAGCTTGGCTTGGCCCCTCTCCCTCTCCATGCCCTTGCAGATCTGTGCACAGCTATCAGCGCGGCTCCAGGAGTATAAGGCGGAGAACGAGCAGCTGAAGCGACTTGGAATTGCGTCGTTTAGAATTAGCACACAAGCAACCCGCCTCACTCACTCAGCTTGGCTTGGCCCCTCTCCCTCTCCATGCCCTTGCAGATCTGTGCACAGCTATCAGCGCGGCTCCAGGAGTATAAGGCGGAGAACGAGCAGCTGAAGCGACTTGGAATTGCGTCGTTTAGAATTAGCACACAAGCAACCCGCCTCACTCACTCAGCTTGGCTTGGCCCCTCTCCCTCTCCATGCCCTTGCAGATCTGTGCACAGCTATCAGCGCGGCTCCAGGAGTATAAGGCGGAGAACGAGCAGCTGAAGCGACTTGGAATTGCGTCGTTTAGAATTAGCACACAAGCAACCCGCCTCACTCACTCAGCTTGGCTTGGCCCCTCTCCCTCTCCATGCCCTTGCAGATCTGTGCACAGCTATCAGCGCGGCTCCAGGAGTATAAGGCGGAGAACGAGCAGCTGAAGCGACTTGGAATTGCGTCGTTTAGAATTAGCACACAAGCAACCCGCCTCACTCACTCAGCTTGGCTTGGCCCCTCTCCCTCTCCATGCCCTTGCAGATCTGTGCACAGCTATCAGCGCGGCTCCAGGAGTATAAGGCGGAGAACGAGCAGCTGAAGCGACTTGGAATTGCGTCGTTTAGAATTAGCACACAAGCAACCCGCCTCACTCACTCAGCTTGGCTTGGCCCCTCTCCCTCTCCATGCCCTTGCAGATCTGTGCACAGCTATCAGCGCGGCTCCAGGAGTATAAGGCGGAGAACGAGCAGCTGAAGCGACTTGGAATTGCGTCGTTTAGAATTAGCACACAAGCAACCCGCCTCACTCACTCAGCTTGGCTTGGCCCCTCTCCCTCTCCATGCCCTTGCAGATCTGTGCACAGCTATCAGCGCGGCTCCAGGAGTATAAGGCGGAGAACGAGCAGCTGAAGCGACTTGGAATTGCGTCGTTTAGAATTAGCACACAAGCAACCCGCCTCACTCACTCAGCTTGGCTTGGCCCCTCTCCCTCTCCATGCCCTTGCAGATCTGTGCACAGCTATCAGCGCGGCTCCAGGAGTATAAGGCGGAGAACGAGCAGCTGAAGCGACTTGGAATTGCGTCGTTTAGAATTAGCACACAAGCAACCCGCCTCACTCACTCAGCTTGGCTTGGCCCCTCTCCCTCTCCATGCCCTTGCAGATCTGTGCACAGCTATCAGCGCGGCTCCAGGAGTATAAGGCGGAGAACGAGCAGCTGAAGCGACTTGGAATTGCGTCGTTTAGAATTAGCACACAAGCAACCCGCCTCACTCACTCAGCTTGGCTTGGCCCCTCTCCCTCTCCATGCCCTTGCAGATCTGTGCACAGCTATCAGCGCGGCTCCAGGAGTATAAGGCGGAGAACGAGCAGCTGAAGCGACTTGGAATTGCGTCGTTTAGAATTAGCACACAAGCAACCCGCCTCACTCACTCAGCTTGGCTTGGCCCCTCTCCCTCTCCATGCCCTTGCAGATCTGTGCACAGCTATCAGCGCGGCTCCAGGAGTATAAGGCGGAGAACGAGCAGCTGAAGCGACTTGGAATTGCGTCGTTTAGAATTAGCACACAAGCAACCCGCCTCACTCACTCAGCTTGGCTTGGCCCCTCTCCCTCTCCATGCCCTTGCAGATCTGTGCACAGCTATCAGCGCGGCTCCAGGAGTATAAGGCGGAGAACGAGCAGCTGAAGCGACTTGGAATTGCGTCGTTTAGAATTAGCACACAAGCAACCCGCCTCACTCACTCAGCTTGGCTTGGCCCCTCTCCCTCTCCATGCCCTTGCAGATCTGTGCACAGCTATCAGCGCGGCTCCAGGAGTATAAGGCGGAGAACGAGCAGCTGAAGCGACTTGGAATTGCGTCGTTTAGAATTAGCACACAAGCAACCCGCCTCACTCACTCAGCTTGGCTTGGCCCCTCTCCCTCTCCATGCCCTTGCAGATCTGTGCACAGCTATCAGCGCGGCTCCAGGAGTATAAGGCGGAGAACGAGCAGCTGAAGCGACTTGGAATTGCGTCGTTTAGAATTAGCACACAAGCAACCCGCCTCACTCACTCAGCTTGGCTTGGCCCCTCTCCCTCTCCATGCCCTTGCAGATCTGTGCACAGCTATCAGCGCGGCTCCAGGAGTATAAGGCGGAGAACGAGCAGCTGAAGCGACTTGGAATTGCGTCGTTTAGAATTAGCACACAAGCAACCCGCCTCACTCACTCAGCTTGGCTTGGCCCCTCTCCCTCTCCATGCCCTTGCAGATCTGTGCACAGCTATCAGCGCGGCTCCAGGAGTATAAGGCGGAGAACGAGCAGCTGAAGCGACTTGGAATTGCGTCGTTTAGAATTAGCACACAAGCAACCCGCCTCACTCACTCAGCTTGGCTTGGCCCCTCTCCCTCTCCATGCCCTTGCAGATCTGTGCACAGCTATCAGCGCGGCTCCAGGAGTATAAGGCGGAGAACGAGCAGCTGAAGCGACTTGGAATTGCGTCGTTTAGAATTAGCACACAAGCAACCCGCCTCACTCACTCAGCTTGGCTTGGCCCCTCTCCCTCTCCATGCCCTTGCAGATCTGTGCACAGCTATCAGCGCGGCTCCAGGAGTATAAGGCGGAGAACGAGCAGCTGAAGCGACTTGGAATTGCGTCGTTTAGAATTAGCACACAAGCAACCCGCCTCACTCACTCAGCTTGGCTTGGCCCCTCTCCCTCTCCATGCCCTTGCAGATCTGTGCACAGCTATCAGCGCGGCTCCAGGAGTATAAGGCGGAGAACGAGCAGCTGAAGCGACTTGGAATTGCGTCGTTTAGAATTAGCACACAAGCAACCCGCCTCACTCACTCAGCTTGGCTTGGCCCCTCTCCCTCTCCATGCCCTTGCAGATCTGTGCACAGCTATCAGCGCGGCTCCAGGAGTATAAGGCGGAGAACGAGCAGCTGAAGCGACTTGGAATTGCGTCGTTTAGAATTAGCACACAAGCAACCCGCCTCACTCACTCAGCTTGGCTTGGCCCCTCTCCCTCTCCATGCCCTTGCAGATCTGTGCACAGCTATCAGCGCGGCTCCAGGAGTATAAGGCGGAGAACGAGCAGCTGAAGCGACTTGGAATTGCGTCGTTTAGAATTAGCACACAAGCAACCCGCCTCACTCACTCAGCTTGGCTTGGCCCCTCTCCCTCTCCATGCCCTTGCAGATCTGTGCACAGCTATCAGCGCGGCTCCAGGAGTATAAGGCGGAGAACGAGCAGCTGAAGCGACTTGGAATTGCGTCGTTTAGAATTAGCACACAAGCAACCCGCCTCACTCACTCAGCTTGGCTTGGCCCCTCTCCCTCTCCATGCCCTTGCAGATCTGTGCACAGCTATCAGCGCGGCTCCAGGAGTATAAGGCGGAGAACGAGCAGCTGAAGCGACTTGGAATTGCGTCGTTTAGAATTAGCACACAAGCAACCCGCCTCACTCACTCAGCTTGGCTTGGCCCCTCTCCCTCTCCATGCCCTTGCAGATCTGTGCACAGCTATCAGCGCGGCTCCAGGAGTATAAGGCGGAGAACGAGCAGCTGAAGCGACTTGGAATTGCGTCGTTTAGAATTAGCACACAAGCAACCCGCCTCACTCACTCAGCTTGGCTTGGCCCCTCTCCCTCTCCATGCCCTTGCAGATCTGTGCACAGCTATCAGCGCGGCTCCAGGAGTATAAGGCGGAGAACGAGCAGCTGGAGGAGCTGCTGCATGAGGAGGTGAGGAGTGGTGCATGGGAGGTGCAAGGAGATGCAGTGAGGTGTGAGGTGCAGCGAGGTACTACAAGTATGAGGCACATGAGCATTACCTTTCCTAAAGTGCAGGCAGAGAACGAGCAGCTGGAGGAGCTGCTTCACGAGGAGGTGAGGGATGGTGTATGAGGAGGTGCAGTGCGGTGCGACAGGCATGAGGCACATGATATTAACTTTGGCTGCAGGAGTACAAGGCGGAGAACGAGCAGCTGGAGGAGCTGCTGCACGAGGAGGTGAGGATTGGAGCATGGAGATGGGGAATGGTGCATGGAAGGTGCAGTGAGGTGCAACAATCTACAGGTATGAGGCAGATGAGCAGACAGAGGAAGAAAGCAAGGAGGAACAGAAACAGAAACAAGAAGGATACGGAACAGGCGGCGGCAGTAAAAGAAGTAAGTTCTGACCCAATCCCCTTCTCTCTCCCCCGCTCTCCCTCCTTCGTCCCTCCTTGCAACTGATCTTGTCTCCCCTCAGAGGAGCAACCGTGGATCAGTGGATAGTGTGGTTTGAGCATTACAGCAGCAGCTGGCAAGTGCACGGGCAGAGGCAGTGGCAGCAGCAACAAGGTTGTCACTCCCTCTGCTCCTCCCCCACCTTACACTATCTCCCCACAGAGAAACAACCGTGGATCAGTGGATAGTGTGGTGAGAGCATTGCAGCAGCAGTTGGCAAGTGCACGGGCAGAGGCAGTGGCAGCAGAGGCAGCAATAGCAGCGGGGATGGAGGCGAAGAATCGAGAGATAGAGGCGCTGTGTGGTGCGCTGGAGGATGCTGAGAGGCAGTCCGGTGCCCTCCAAGCGAAGCTCGCCTCCCTGCAGGTGCGTCCGAGGGAGGGAGTGAGGACGTGTGGGAGTGAGTGTGAGTGAGTGAGGGAGGAGGGAGTGAGTGAGGGTGTGAGGGATCATTACTTCACTCACTCACCATGCCCAAGTAAGTTCACAAGCCATTCGAAGAACTAGGACTGCACAGAGACAGGCATGTTCATGATTCACCACCGTTCCAATGTTCCCAGCAGCAACTCAAGTCTCCGCCCCGCATGTTCTCACCTCACTCACCACACCATGCCACCTCCCTAACTGCTTGCGGGCTCTGAAGCTGTGTCCATGAGCCAGGCTCGTGTTTCACCTTCCCCTCACCTTCCCCAACGAACCTCTCGCCTCACCGTGCTGTTCCACCATACCACCACCATCCCGACTTTTGAGGTGCCTCAAAAACCACTTTCGAGGCGCCTCAAAAACCACTTTCGAGGCGCCTCAAAAACCACTTTCGAGGCGCCTCAAAAACCACTTTCGAGGCGCCTCAAAGCTTGTGTTTCACCTTCCCCAACGAACCTCTCGCCTCACCATGCTGTTCCACCATACCACCACCATCCCGACTTTTGAGGCGCCTCAAAAACGACTTTCGAGGCGCCTCAAAAACCACTTTTGAGGCGCCTCAAAGCTCGTGTTTCACCTTCCCCAACGAACCTCTCGCCTCACCGTGCTGTTCCACCATACCACCACCATCCCGAGTTTTGAGGCGCCTCAAAAACCACTTTCGAGGCGCCTCAAAAACCACTTTTGAGGCGCCTCAAAGCTCGTGTTTCACCTTCCCCAACGAACCTCTCGCCTCACCGTGCTGTTCCACCATAACACCACCATCCCGACTTTTGAGGCGCCTCAAAAACCACTTTCGAGGCGCCTCAAAGCTCGTGTTTTACCTTCCCCAACGAACCTCTCACCTCACCGTGCTGTTCCACCATACCACCACCATCCCACCACCAGGCGAGCTCTGAAGCCTTATCAAAGAATCGGGACCCCACAGAGGCGCGCATGATTCAGGCGCTCAGAGAGGATCTGGCTGCTGCTGCTGCTGCTGCTGCTGCCGGCGCCTTCATCGCCGCTGTGAGGCGTCATACCAGCATGCCGTTCCACCCCTCCATTCCATGCCATCCCACCACCCCAACTCCAGGCGAGCTCTGAAGCGCTGTCCAAGAACCGGGACTCCACAGAGGCGCGCATGATTCAGGCGCTCAGGGAGGAGCTGGGTGCTGCTGCTGCTGCTGCTGCGCCTAGCATGTTAGTCACACGAGCGCCCATTATCCCTTCGTTCATCCCACCACCCCAACTCCAGGCGAGCTCTGAAGCGCTGTCCAAGAACCGCGACTCCACAGAGGCGCGCATGATTCAGGCGCTCAGGGAGGAGCTGGGTGCTGCTGCTGCTGCTGCTGCTGCGCCTAGCATGTTAGTCACACGAGCACCCATTATCCCTTCATTCATCCCACCACCCCAACTCCAGGCGAGCTCTGAAGCGCTGTCCAAGAACCGCGACTCCACAGAGGCGCGCATGATTCAGGCGCTCAGGGAGGAGCTGGGTGCTGCTGCTGCTGCTGCTGCTGCGCCTAGCATGTTAGTCACACGAGCGCCCATTATCCCTTCATTCATCCCACCACCCCACCACCAGGCGAGCTCTGAAGCGCTCTCCAAGAATCGGGACTCCACAGAGGCGCGCATGATTCAGGCGCTCAGGGAGGAGCTGGGTGCTGCTGAGAGGCGGTGCGACGACGAGCACGCAGCGCACCTCGTGACAAGACAGGTGAGGCTTCTCAAGTTTTTGCTATCAATCAAGCACGGTGCATCGACCTTTTGAGAACTCTCGAAAGGGTACATCTTCTCTCATTTTTACTACAGTCTATATAGCTACGAGTCTCGTCCTGATTGCTGCTTGGCAAGTGTCTCTCTCTCAACCTTCCCACAGGAAGCAACAGCGCGCGAGCTGGAGTTAGAGCAGCAGGTGGCGTGGCGGAGGGCGTGGCGGCGCTCTCTCTCTCACTCCTGTTTCACTCACGCTCAACCTTCTCTCACATTCAATTCACAGGAAGCAGCAGCGCGCGAGCTGGAGTTGGAGCAGCAGGTGGCGGAGGGGGTGGCGGTACTGTCTCGCATGCACCCAGTTTAGTCCATGCTAATTCACCCGCAATCCTCTTTCTCTCTCGCCCTCCCACTTGCAGGAAGCAGCAGCACGCGAGCTCGAGTTGGAGCAGCAGGTGGCGGAGGGCGTGGCGGCGCTCTCTCGCATGCAGAGGGCAGTGGAGGAGCGCACACAGCGAGTGTCATCCCTTGAAGAGAAGATATCCGTTCTCGAGGTGAGTGTGAGGGAGGGTAGGATTTGGAGCAGTAGTAGGGGGCAGCAGGGGGAAGAGGGTGTGGCAGCACTTTCTCGCATGCAGAGGGCAGTGGAGGAGCGCACACAGCGAGTGTCATCCCTTGAAGAGAAGATATCCGTTCTCGAGGTGAGTGTGAGGGAGGGTAGGATTTGGAGCAGTAGTAGGGGGCAGCAGGGGGAAGAGGGTGTGGCAGCACTTTCTCGCATGCAGAGGGCAGTGGAGGAGCGCACACAGCGAGTGTCATCCCTTGAAGAGAAGATATCCGTTCTCGAGGTGAGTGTGAGGGAGGGTAGGATTTGGAGCAGTAGTAGGGGGCAGCAGGGGGAAGAGGGTGTGGCAGCACTTTCTCGCATGCAGAGGGCAGTGGAGGAGCGCACACAGCGAGTGTCATCCCTTGAAGAGAAGATATCCGTTCTCGAGGTGAGTGTGAGGGAGGGTAGGATTTGGAGCAGTAGTAGGGGGCAGCAGGGGGAAGAGGGTGTGGCAGCACTTTCTCGCATGCAGAGGGCAGTGGAGGAGCGCACACAGCGAGTGTCATCCCTTGAAGAGAAGATATCCGTTCTCGAGATGAGTGTGAGGGAGGGTAGGATTTGGAGCAGTAGTAGGGGGCAGCAGGGGGAAGAGGGTGTGGCAGCACTTTCTCGCATGCAGAGGGCAGTGGAGGAGCGCACACAGCGAGTGTCATCCCTTGAAGAGAAGATATCCGTTCTCGAGGTGAGTGTGAGGGAGGGTAGGATTTGGAGCAGTAGTAGGGGGCAGCAGGGGGAAGAGGGTGTGGCAGCACTTTCTCGCATGCAGAGGGCAGTGGAGGAGCGCACACAGCGAGTGTCATCCCTTGAAGAGAAGATATCCGTTCTCGAGGTGAGTGTGAGGGAGGGTAGGATTTGGAGCAGTAGTAGGGGGCAGCAGGGGGAAGAGGGTGTGGCAGCACTTTCTCGCATGCAGAGGGCAGTGGAGGAGCGCACACAGCGAGTGTCATCCCTTGAAGAGAAGATATCCGTTCTCGAGGTGAGTGTGAGGGAGGGTAGGATTTGGAGCAGTAGTAGGGGGCAGCAGGGGGAAGAGGGTGTGGCAGCACTTTCTCGCATGCAGAGGGCAGTGGAGGAGCGCACACAGCGCGTGTCATCCCTTGAAGAGAAGATATCCGTTCTCGAGGTGAGAGAGAGGGTGAGAGCGCGAGAGTGTTTCAGTTGGAGCAGCATAGGGTAGAGCAGGTGGCGGAGGGAGTGGCGGCGCTCTCTCGCATGCAGAGGGCAGTGGAGGAGCGCACACAGCGAGTCTCGTCCCTGGAAGAAAATATATCTTTACTTGAGGTGATTGTGTGGGTCGCGGTTGAGGTTGGAATGAGGATAAGGTTGGGTGGATTGACAGTGAGTGAGGGTGGGTGGGTGAGGCGTTATTCGAATAGTTTTTATGCATACATGAATAGTTTTCTAGTAAGTGGGGACTTATCTAATCCTATTTTGATTTCTCTGTGGCAGAGCAGGCATTACATTCTTCTGCAAGGACAAGTATTCATGAATGTTCGTGTGACTACTTTTGCAAACACATGTGCCTGTCTGCCTGTCCATGCATGTTTGGCATTGCATGTACACGAATGTGTGTGTGTACCTGCATGTGCGTATACCTGCATGTATGTGTGCGTATACCTGCATGTATGTGTGCGTATACCTGCATGTATGTGTGCGTATACCTGCATGTATGTGTGCGTATACCTGCATGTATGTGTGCGTATACCTGCATGTATGTGTGCGTATACCTGCATGTATGTGTGCGTATACCTGCATGTATGTGTGCGTATACCTGCATGTATGTGTGCGTGTACCTGCATGTATGTGTGCGTATACCTGCATGTATGTGTGCGTGTACCTGCATGTATGTGTGCGTGTACCTGCACGTGTGTATGCATGCATGGTTACCCGGTAACAGATGGAGTGCAGCAGTCTCAACAGCGAGCTACAAGCACACGACGACAAGGCAAAGAGGGACCTCCGACGACCAGTCTCAGCAGATGACCCCTCCGTGCTCGCGCAGGTGGGTGTGTTTGTTAGCCAGTTGGCTTGTCCGGTGTTAGTTGGTTTGTGTATGTGCATGTATCGTGCGCATTGCTCACTGGAAAGGCCAAGGGGGATCTCAGGCGACCAGTCGCAGCAGACGACCCCTCCGTGCTCGCCCAGGTGGGTTGTTAGCTTGGTTTGACTGTTAAACGGTTGGCTGGCTTATGTACACATGCATGCGCGGCGCTCATTGCTTGCGCAAAAGGCCAAGAGTGATCCCATCCCATGTGGCCGCTCGCTCTCAGCAGACGTTTTGAGACGTCTCAAAACATCACTTTTATCACGGCGCTCATTGCTTGCGCAAAAGGCCAAGAGTGATCCCATCCCATGTGGCCGCTCGCTCTCAGCAGACGTTTTGAGACGTCTCAAAACATCACATGCATGCGCGGCGCTCATTGCTTGCGCAAAAGGCCAAGAGTGATCCCATCCCATGTGGCCGCTCTCTCTCAGCAGACGACCCCTCCGTCCTCGCGCAGGTGGGTTGCTAGTACCTGCATGTATGTATCCATGGTAACGTGGTAACGCATGGAGGCTCTGGAAGGAGGAGTTGGAGTTTGCGAGGGCAGCTGCTCTGTTGCAGGCTTGTAATAATCGCCCGCCCTTATTCCCCACCCGTAACACCCCCTTCCCTTCCCCCCTGTCACCCCTTGCATGGTGGCAGGTGCAGGCATGGAAGGAGGAGGCAGAGCGAGCGAGGCAGCTGCTTTATTAGAGGCTCGTATCAATCAACCCCCCTACCCAATGCCCCACCCGTATAACCCCCCTCGTCCCCTCGTTCTTGCATGGTGGCAGGTGCAGGCATGGAAGGAGGAGGCAGAGCGAGCGAGGCAGCTGCTTTTGAAGCAGCTGTGTCTAGCCCCCGTCCCTATTCCCCACCCGCATAGCCCCCTTCCTCCCTTCTATCTCGTCGCCCTTGCATGGTGGCAGGTGCAGGCATGGAAGGAGGAGGCACAGCGAGCGAGGCAGCTGCATAAAGCAGGTGTATCAACGCTCCTTCCCCGTCCCCCCTCCTCCTTTCCCCACGCGCTGATTGTTAGCAGGTGCAGGCATGGAAGGAGGAGTCGGAGCGAGCGAGACAGCTGCTGCGAGAGGCAGAGGGGAAGCTAGCAGGCAGTGAGGTGAGCAGAGGGGGGAGGGAGGGGAAGGGAGGGAGGGAGGTGAGTAGGTTTGAGGAGTCGGAGAGTGCAAGGCAGCTGCTGCGCAAGGTCGAGGGGAAACTGTCAGTCAGCGAGATGAGCAGAGAAAGGGTGGCGTGAGAGAGGGAGGCGGTTGGTAGGAGTTTGTTTCCAATGAGATCTATAATGAGGCGAGCAAGGCAGCTGCTGTGAGATGCAGAGGGGAAGCTGGCAGGCAGCGAGGTGAGCAGACGGTGGGGTAAGGAGGAGATGCGTGGGAGAATTCTGTTTTTTTTTTAACCATTTATCAGACAGAGTGAAGCAGGGGAAATTGGCAGGAAGTGAGTTGAGAGCGAGGTGAGGTGAGCAGAGGAGAGGGAGGGGAGGGGAAGGGAGGGGAGGGGGAGGGGAGGGGAGGAGGGAGAGGGAAGGGGAGGGAAGGGAAGGGAGGGGATGGGAGAGGAGCCTCGTTACAAGCATGTCCTGTTTTTCGTACTGCCCTATTGCCCTATCACTAACTCCCCCGATCGCCCACCCCCTCTATGTCTCTATCGGCCATGCCCCTTATTCCCCGACCCGATTGCCCACGCCCCCTATCCCTCCCGCCCCGCCCCACATGTGCAGTGCAGGCAGAGGTGCAGAGCAGAAGCTGCAGTGGAGGCTCACAAGAGCAACAAGGATGGATCCTGCTTGCCCTATTACGGGCGCTCCCCCTATCCCCCATGTCCCCCATGTCCCCTATCCCTCCCGCCCCACCCGTGCAGGCAGAGGTGCAGAAGCTAAGGATGGAGGTGGAGGCTCACACGAGAGACAATTGAGCATCCTCGCTACAAGCATGCGCTGTTTGCTTACTGCCCTATTTCCCTATCACCCGCTCTTCTGATTGTTCATGCCCCCGGTTCATATGTGCAGGCAGAGGTGCAGAAGCTGAGAGTGGAGGTGGAGGCCCACAAGAGGGACGCAGATTCATCCTCGTTACAGGCATGTTCTGTGTCCTTTTTACAGTGATGTGCAGTGCATGTTCATCTGCATTTTCCGCTCTGCCATTCATATTCCTTCCTCAAGGTGGGGGCTCTCTTTAATTCCCTCCGTGTCTGCTCATGTTTTGCTCATCCTCTCTTCCTCTTCCCTCTCCTTCCTCTTCCCCCCCACACTCCCCTCCTCTCCTCTCCTCTGCTCTCTCCTTGCCTCACCTAACCCGCCTCACCCACCTCTCCGCTCCTCACCCTCCTCACCCTCCGCTCCCTCCGCTCCCTCCTCTCCCTCCTCTCCTCTATCTGCGCAGGCCAATGCAGAAATGGAGAAACGGTTCAAGGAGTTGACAGAGCTGCTGGTGAGTTGACAGAGCTGCTGGTGAGTTGACAGAGTCAGTCAGCCAGTTCAAAAAGCTGCTGATAAGTGTGACAGAATCTGGTAGGGAGTTGACAGAGTTCTTAGAGATTTGACAGATATGCTGGTGAGTGTCAGAGCTTGTCAGAGAGTCAATCGTCTACCTGATAACATTAAGCAGAGCCGATTGACAGAGTCTGTAAATGTTGTGCCAGAATCCGTTGCTATGTTTATCATCGCATTGTTAAGGTCATCAGGCAACTGTACCAACCCATCACTTCTAGTCGTGAGGTGTATTTTGAGGTGATGGGTTTTGACTTGAAATACAGCTGTACCTACCTACCCACCACACCACTCCAAGTCACAACCATAGCATATAACTCCTTTTTTTTTATTATTCCACCTGCCACTCCCTACCCACACACTGTGTTGCCAATCCCCCCCCCCCCGTTTCTCTGCCCCCTCTCATTCCTCTTCCTTCCCTTCCCCTCCCCTCCCCTCCCCTCCCCTCCCCTCCCCTACCGTCCCCTCCCCACATTGCAGTGTCTGAAGCAGAGTCAACTGGAAACGATGACAAGTGAGAGGCAAGCAGCGATGCTGCTGCTTCAGCTGATTCACTCCATTCCCCACTCTCCCCTCCCCTCCCCTCCCCTCCCCTCCCGTCCCGTCCCGTCCCCTCCCCAAATTGCAGTGCCTGAAGCAGAGTCAACTGGAAACGATGACAAGTGAGCGGCAAGCAGCGATGCTCCAACTGGACAAGGAGCGACGAGAGCTGCAACTGGCCAAGGTAAACTTCTTTACTGGACGCCTCACTGCACTGTACAATGCATGTTGATGCTGCAATTGGAGTAGGAGAGAGGGAGCTGCAACTGACCAAGGTAAACCGCTTGTTTTAGGCGTCTCGATGGTTCTAGGCACCTCAATGCATGCACACCTGTTGCGAGACAAGGGGAAACAATGACAGGTGAGAGGCAAGCGGCAATACTGCTGCAACTGGAGAAGGAGAGGAGAGAGCTTCAACTGGCCATGTTCATGCCGCTATTGGCAAAAGTAGACGGCTTTAGTAGACGGGTTCATTGAATGCGCACGGGCAGTCTCAACCTTATGCCACATCCTTTTCTTTCCTGAACCTTTCCTTTCCCTACCCTCCCCTCCCTTTCAGGCACAGGCGGAGAGGGACAGAGCGGCACGCCGGTCGATGTGCTGATGTGTGTTCTGAACCTTAAGCGCTATTCCACCTAACCTTTCCATTGTGCTCCCCTCCCTTTCAGGCACAGGCGGAGAGGGACAGAGCGGCACGCCGGTCGATGTGCTGATGTGTGTTCTGAACCTGAAGCGCTATTCCACCTAACCTTTCCATTGTGCTCCCCTCCCTTTCAGGCACAGGCGGAGAGGGACAGAGCGGCACGTCGGTCAATGCTGATGGCTGCTGATGAGGAGGACAGCGAGATGCAGCCGCTGGAGTGAGTGGTGCTGTGCGGTGCTCTGTGGTGCTCTGTCTGTGGTGCTCTGTCTGTGGTGCTCTGTCTGTGGTGCTCTGGGGTGTGGTGGTGCTGGGTGTGGTGCCTTTCTATCTTCTCGCCTTACCATATTTTCACCTCCTCGCCTCTCCACACCACTTCTCACCGCTCCTCGCCACTTCTGTCACCTCATGTCACTGCATCTCACCACTTCTCACCTTAACTTGCCGCTTCTCACCTTTGCTCACCTCTTCTCACCGCTTCTCACCCCCCTCAGGTCCGTGGGTCTGCCCAACCGGCGCTTCATAGGCAAGAGGATTCAGGTGAGATGCAAGCGCGTCGCGCCTTATGTCCCGTGGGAGAGGGGGGACGTAGGGAAGGGGGGAGAGGGGGAGCGGGTTAAGGGGGAAAGGTAGGAAGAGGGGCGTGGGGCTGGGGAGGGGGGAGGGGGGGGGATTGGTCTCTCGATTAAAGAGCGTATGAGAAGCAACTTCAATTTGAGAAAGCAACTTCAATTCTGGTGAGATGAGATGAAACACCTTAATGAAGTGCAATTTCATCAAATGTAGCTAAGATTGCATCCCCAAAAGCTTTCTGGGTAAAGATAAGAAAAACGATAAAACTTAATGCTACAATAATCTCTCTGTTAAAAATGAAGATGTTTTTGGAGCTGAATACACTCAAAACTAAGATAGCTATAAAAGCAAATTCACGCATCTTTTTTTTTTTTTTTTTTTTTTTTTTTACTTAAACCCCGTTCTGTTCTTCCCCACCCATCCATGAACCCCGTTCTTAAACCCACCCAATTTCCCCACTTCCGGGCGTTTTACCCTTCCCCCCGTGTCCCACTGTCTCCTCTTCTCCCCGTCGTTGCTCGCCACAGCAAAGCAAGCAGCCAAGCTCATCGATCACAGCACAGCAACTGCCGGCCGCTCCCTCCACACAGTACCGGCCCAACCAACCAACCCCCGCTCCACTCCACCCACCCTCCCCCCTGTCCCCACCGACCACCCCTTCTACAGCAAGCAGCAAAGCTCATCGATCATGGCACAGTGACTGCCGGCCGCTTCCTTTGGCGCCGCCCACTTGCCCGCCTTGGACTTGTCTGCTACCTGGTACTTGCTCGCCCCCCCACCTCCCCACCACAACCCTCCTCAACCCCACCCCCCCTCCTTCTCCACCCTCCCCCTCCTCCTCCCCTTCCCCCTCTCCCTTCTCCCCCCACCCAAACAAAAACAAAAACATGTTAATTTCAGGTCAGCCTTAGGGGTGGGACCTTGTGGTCTTGGCAAAGAAAGGCAGGAAATCGCCGTAGGGTTTCATTGTATGCAAGCAATGAACACCTGCATCATTGCTTGCCATTGCCTGTGTTTCTCAATTGTGCCCATGCTGTTGTTCATATTTTCCTTTGCTTGTTTTTGTGCCCTTGCTGTACCGTCTGTTTTCTCTCGGGCATCACCATCACCAGTATCTTATCCTTCTCTCCTCCTCACGTCACTTTTGAGTCGACTGAAAGTCAACCCAGTATCTTATCCTTCTCTCGGCCTCACGTCACTTTTGAGTCGACTGAAAAGTCAACCCAGTATCTTATCCTTCTCTCCTCCTCACGTCACTTTTGAGTCGACTGAAAAGTCAACCCAGTATCTTATCCTTCTCTCCTCCTCACGTCACTTTTGAGTCGACTGAAAAGTCAACCCAGTATCTTATCCTTCTCTCCTCCTCGCGTCACTTTTGAGTCGACTCAAAAGTCAACCCAGTATCTTATCCTTCTCTCCTCCTTGCGTCACTTTTGAGTCGACTCAAAAGTCAACCCAGTATCTTATCCTTCTCTCCTCCTCGCGTCACTTTTGAGTCGACTCAAAAGTCAACCCAGTATCTTATCCTTCTCTCCTCCTCACGTCACTTTTGTGTCGACTCAAAAGTCAACCCAGTATCTTATCCTTCTCTCCTCCATGCGTCACTTTTGAGTCGACTCAAAAGTCAACCCAGTATCTTATCCTTCTCTCCTCCTCGCGTCACTTTTGAGTCGACTCAAAAGTCAACCCAGTATCTTATCCTTCTCTCCTCCTCACGTCACTTTTGTGTCGACTCAAAAGTCAACCCAGTATCTTATCCTTTTCTCCTCCTCACGTCACTTTTGAGTCGACTGAAAAGTCAACCCAGTATCTTATCCTTCTCTCCTCCTCACGTCACTTTTGAGTCGACTCAAAAGTCAACCCAGTATCTTATCCTTCTCTCCTCCTCACGTCACTTTTGAGTCGACTGAAAAGTCAACCCAGTATCTTATCCTTCTCTCCTCCTCGCGTCACTTTTGAGTTGACTCAAAAGTCAACCCAGTATCTTATCCTTCTCTCCTCCTCGCGTCACTTTTGAGTCGACTCAAAAGTCAACCCAGTATCTTATCCTTCTCTCCTCCTCGCGTCACTTTTGAGTCGACTCAAAAGTCAACCCAGTATCTTATCCTTCTCTCCTCCTCACGTCACTTTTGTGTCGACTCAAAAGTCAACCCAGTATCTTATCCTTTTCTCCTCCTCACGTCACTTTTGAGTCGACTCAAAAGTCAACCCAGTATCTTATCCTTCTCTCCTCCTCACGTCACTTTTGAGTCGACTCAAAAGTCGTCTGTTGTCTCTCGGGCGTCACCATCACAAATATTTTTATCCTTCTCTCCTCCTCACTTTACCACTACAGGTCTTCGTGCATCTATTTCTCATGTACCTGCTGCACAGATTACCTGCTGCACATCTATTACTACCTCACGAGAGGAGTGTCTCACGAGAGGAGTGTCTCATCAAGTATTTTATCCTTCTCTCCCCCTCACGTCACCACTACAGGTCTTCGTGCATCTATTTCTCGTGTACCTGCTGCACAGACTACAGGTAAACTTTTGAGGCGCCTCAAAACTCACTATCTCCTTATCCGTCTCTGCCCCTCACTCTTATCACTACAGGTCTTCGTTCATCTGTTTCTCATGTACCTGCTGCACAGATTACAGGTAAATTACCCTTGCCACAAATATTTCTGACTTACCCTCTCAATGATTACAGGGTCTTGTTCATATATTTCTCGTGCATCTACTGCACAAAGTACAGGTAAGTTATCCTTGCCACAAGTAACTGGTGATTTGCCCTCGAAATAATTACAGGTAATTTGCAATCGACACCGGTTACAATTGATTTACCAGCTAAATGCAATTTACCCCTACCCTTCTATCCCTTCCCCTCCACCTCCCACCCTCCCCCAGGAGCAAGCTGTTGAACAAGTACCAGGTATACTTGGCTGCAGAGGCAGCAGACGTCTCAAAACCTTGCACTCTCTCCCTCCTCCTCCCCCCTCCGGCCCTCCTCTCCCTTCTCTCCCCTTCCACAGGAGCAAGCGGATGAGTTGCTGAACAAGGACCAGGTGTACTTGGCTGCAGAGGCGGCAGCAGGGATTAGAGAGACGACTCACAAACACCCCCACCGCACCTCCTCTCCTCGCCTCCTTATTTCACAGGAGCAAGCGGACGAGCTGCTGAACAAGGACCAGGTGTACGTGGCTGCAGAGGCGGCAGCAGATGTCTCAAAACCCTGCACGCTCTTCTTCCCCATCTCCCCCCCCCGCCCTCCTCTTCTCCCCCCTCTTCCCCTTCCACAGGAGCAAGCGGATGAGTTGCTGAACAAGGACCAGGTGTACCTGGCTGCAGAGGCGGCAGCAGGCATTGTGAAGCCTCATCCAGCTCGTCGTTAGTCGCTCGTCATGGCCTGGCTTATGAACATTCTCGCCTGGTCTATGAGAGTTATTCACTGCAGAACGGCGGCAGAGACTGCAGATACAGTGAGGGCGGCAGAAGCGGCAGCAGGCATTGTGAAGCCTCACCCAGCTCGTCGTTAGTCGCGCGTCATGGCCTGGCTTATGAACATTCTCGCCTGCCAGGGGGCTGCAGAGACTGCGGGAGCTGCAGAGACTGAAGGGGATGCAGAGGCAACAGAGGGGCTGCAGAGGCAGCAGATGCGGCAGAGGCGGCTGCAGTTGCTAGTTGTTCCGTCGCTGGTGCTTTAAGGGGGTTGGTGATGGTGATGGGTGTCCTGGTGGTGGTCGTGGTGGTGGTGGTGGTCGTCGTCGTCGTCGTCGACGTCGTCGTGGTCGTCGTCGTCGTGGTGGTGGTGGTGGTCGTCGTCGTCGTCGTCGTCGTGGTCGTCGTGGTGGTGGTGGTGGGTGTTGTTGGTGCTGCTTGTGGTGGTGATGTACATGTGATACCTATGATGCCATGGTGGTGGTGCTGACAAGCCAAGGATACTTTTGGTGGCTCAAAATATTTCACGTTCATCAAGAATGGGCGTGTGTATCATAGAACCCCCTATGAGGATTCGTGTGCTCTCTAAAGCACAAGTAGCATCTCAACTAGCCCTTGCACATTTTGCAATTCTAATTGGTAAGGAATGTGTTGAACTCAAAAGTACACTGCTCATGTACACTGAGCTCTTTGTTGAAATCCAGGGTACCTCACATGCGTGAACTGTACCGGAGGTGACGACAAAACCTTGCCGGCTAGGTTCCAGCCGGGCCATGACTGAAGAGTTTCCATCCGCCCCTCACAGTTCTGTGGCGGCAGCGCTTGCATTGATTTTGCAATCCCTTGCAAATTACCCACAGCTTTTAATACAGTAGTCCCACTTCTGTAAAGTGAGAAACCTCTGAATGGGTACAGTTGCCTTTCTACCCGCCCCAAGAAACCTCTGCCGTTGACTCGAAGCGGAGCTGTTTTGATTGTGGCTTATTTGCTCGAAGTACCGCCAGTCGAGTCCGCCCATGAATTTGACCGAAACTCTTAGGGTTTCCACCACCCGTTTTGAGGTGTGGTGGCCAGTGGGGGTTCGTTTTGTGGTTGGAAAATCATCGGGCAGAGTGGCCTAATTTTCTCCACTGGGCTTGTTGCCAACATCCGATTGGTTACTGGGTGCTCCATTCTCCACCACCACAGGTGCTCGCAGACCCGTGGGAACACCAAGGCATGTGTATCTGTAACCCTGTCACGAATAATTCGGCGAGACGCAAAAGCCGCTTTGGCGAACGTCGCCGTTATCTGTTTCCTTCCATCAGTGCTCAACTGCCCTAAACTACGCCAACCACCGTACAGCTGTGCAAAGAGAGTCAGTCCCTTCCCTACCCGCACATCAATCCACCATAGTATATTATCGTAGTTGACTAGAGAGACAATAAATCGGTAGGTATCTCGCCAAAACGGCTCTTCATTGAGGAGTGATTCCGTCCGCGTCAAGCTGCCGCTTACTGGACGCACGGTGATTGTTAGCTGCTCAATATACTGGATGGATCGTCTAACAGGCTAAGATGGCATAAAGTACCCATCGAGGTCGGTGTTGAGTCAATGAGTCAACGGGTCGGCACCACCTCCTGAGACAATGAGAGCTACTAAAGTCTACGAAGGGCAGCACCATTCGCGTTGAGCCTTGCCCCAGTCCCGCTTAGTAACCGTGCGCGTTTGAGTACGCGTTAATCATAGCATTTGTGCTATAAAAAAGGTAGTTAACCATGGCCGCTCGCGACGAGTGCTACAGCCCGCTGAGCTACAGCCCCCTCAGCAGCCCCGTATCCAGACACTACTTTAACGATGATGGGAGCGAAGCTACAGCCGGCGGGCACTACCGGAAAGACTCGGGGCAATTATTAGACGAAGCGTGGGAGACCCTGGCGGACGAAACTCCGCTCTCCGTTCCCCCCCAGCACGACATTGTCCCCCGATCGCGCAGCAGCACGTCTCCGCTGCACTCGCGCCCGGGGGGAACCTCGTCCAAGATCAGCGAATCTGATTTGCGAAACTTCGCAAATTTCGTCAAGACCAAGACGGTTACGGAGTCCGCGGGTGGGGGAAGCGGCCGCTCGTCGAGCGGGGGCGGCGGGGCCGGAAAGGACGGAGGTGGAAAATTTCAGCGCCTATGGTCGTTCCGGAACGGCGCGCGCGGAGCGGAAGAAGGGGGAGATGGAGGAGGCGGAGGGACAGGGGGAACCGGCACCGGAGGAAGCGGCACGACGGGGAGCGCGGAAATCAGGAGCGGGGGAAGCGGGAAGAAGGAGCGATTTCTTGAGCAGGTAATTAAAACCGGCGGGCAAGCAGCTCGCGTGTGGTCCAATCCGCGTCGCCGAAGTTTCGCGGAAGACGACGCGCCTTCACCAATGCGGTCCGCGACATTCACGCGCGCTACAATTAGGACTAGCATCGGAGGCGGAAGCAGCACGGGCGGAAGCAGCGCTGGCGGAAGCAACAGCGGCTCAATTCCCGTTTCCACGTCGGCGGACGACGGGGAAGAATCCCTCCCTGATTTTTTCCGCCGTTCCGCAACCGTTTGCACTTCCGACGCCGCTTCGCTCGAGCTGACGCAGCAAGGCAAGCAATATCAGCAGCAACAGCAGCAGCAGCATCAAAAGCTTCAGCTGTCGCAGCAGCAATGGGCGGCGTCTGGTCTCGCTTCCGGTTCCGCTTGCGGGGGGCGCGCGGAGTCGCCCCCGCAGGATCCCCGCAGCGGCAGCGCGGGGAAGACGCGGAGCGATTCCGCGGGGAATTCGCGGAACAGCAACCGGGATAGCGTGAGGGGGGAAGCGAGCAGCGACGCCGCCGATAATGGTGCAGAACATCGCAGCATCAGCTTTGCCGCCAGCAGCGGCAGTGCCGGTAGCGGCTGCGGCGGTGGCAGCGGTGGCGCTAACTCTTCTCCTATTAACGCTCGCCCTAGATCGCCTGCATTTCCGCGGCCTAGGTCCCCGATTTGCGCGCCTTCGCGCGCAGCTGCAGCGCCAGCTCCGCCGCCAAAGGTGGCATATTTCTCGTTCGACCGGCACCGGGAAGCGGTGGCGGAAGCGGAGCAGCTGGACGCGGAAGAAGAGGCGGCGTCCCGCCAGGGGCGGAGGAGGGAAGCCTTTAAAAGCGCGAGCGTTGGTTCGAGTAGCGGCTTTAGCGCGGGTGGAGGCGCAGGGGATGGTGGGAACGCGAACGGGGCTGGCGGTGGTGTGGGATGGCCCGGGGAAATTGGCGGAAACGCGGAGGGAAGCGCGCAAGTGTTGCGCCGAGGAGCGAAGGGGGGGAGTTTCGAAAGCATGGCGCAGGCGGGGCCGATTGGGTGTGCGGGCGAGTTCGGTAGCGGGCGACGGAGCGGGGTTGCGCGGGGAGCAAAGGGGGAAGGCAGCGCGCGCGCGTGGGAAGTGACGATTACGCAGGACGGTGACTATGGCGAGGGGAAGGAGGACGAGCGCGAGTTGACTCCCACGAGAGACGCTTCGTCAAAGCATCGACGAGGATTCAGGTGAGTGTACAGTGAATGACTCTTGATGAAATTAACACGCTATCAACAGAATCTTGAAATCACACAAGCATGCAAAGATGTTAAGTGGGTTTTCTCCCAAAAAAATGTGTTTCCTTGAATGGTGATTTTAGTAGTAATGTTGACCATGAACAAGCGTGAGTTATATCTAGTTTCGAGGCATAGCAAAGGCTTCAGGTAAGTGTCAGTGATTAATAACTTCGTTATCACAATAGCATGACTTGTCAAAACGGCACCATGTCACCTACAATATGGTTATTCGATTTAGGCATAAACGTAACAGGCATATCGTACAATTTGGATGCGTATTATAGCACGTTTATCAGCCAAGCAGACATAACGTATAATTCATGGAAAGGAGCACATGGAAATGACACGACTGATGTGGTTGTTTTTTACCAGAAGCCTACACAGAGAGACCCTTTGCAAGTTTGTGTAAAATTGGGAAAGTAACATTACCGCACACGAACCCCCTTTTTCCTCTTCATACACCAGTGCCTTTTTTTTCTCTCCTTTTTTCCTCACTCATTCATTCCAAAAATCATCTCTCTTTCCCCACCCCCCCTTACTTACCTCTGCCTCTCCCACACTCCACTCCCTTCCCATTCCCTTCCTATGCCCTACTTCCTCTCCCACACTCTGCTCCTCCCCCATTCCCTTCCGTCCTCATTCCCTTCCTCTTCACCTCTCTGCCTCCCACACTCCCCTCCCACTCCCGTCCCTCCCCACCAGGAGTCGCAGTGTCGCAACTGGACCAACTCCCCCAAAGCCCCGACACTTCCCCCCTGATCTTATTTCGCTCTTTCTTTTCCAAAACCCCTTCCCCATTCCCTTCTGTCCCCTATCAGGCTATCCCCATCTTCCTACCACACTCCCCTCCCTCCCCAGCAGGAGTCGCTCCTTCAGTGGAATTGGCACTCTCAACAGGATTAATTCCCCCGAAGCCCCCAGCCTCCCAACTTTCCTTTCTAGCACTCTCTTTTCCAAACTTCACTCCTTTCCCATTCTCGTCCTATTCACCTCTTCCTCTACCACACTCCGCTCCCACACGCCCCTCCCACTCCCATCCCTCACTACCAGGAGTCGCTCCTTCAGTGGAATCGGCACTCTCAACGGGACCAACTCCCCCGAAGCCCCCACCCTCCCTGCCCTCCCCTCCTCCCCTTCCCCCAATCCCGGAAGCCCTCTCTCTTCCGAACGACGCACATACTCCCCCCACGCCACCCTCCCCACCTCCACCTCCTCCTCCTCGCGTGTCCGCCCTCCCCGATCCTCCACAGCTGTGATTCTCCCGCCACTGGGTGCTTCTTCCCATGGGCATCATCACTACCACAGGCCTGCATTTCCTCATCGCAGGACGGTGTCTGTGGATGAGCATGGGCTCGTGGGCCGGGCTTTAATGCAGGCTTCAATAGAGGAACACCAGCACGGGAAGCCACCACAGCAGTATCAGCAGCAGAGTTCTCAAGGGTATGGGGGTGGTGGTGGTAGAGGGGATTACGATGTCGAGGCTGACGACGAGTCGCCCGGACGTAGCCCGTACAACCGGCCGCAGGCTCGGCGGAACCGAACCGAGGTGACACGGCGCCGACCCTCCACCGCCATGCCGGACGTCGGGGGAGGGGGAGGTTCGGAAGACGGGTCGTACCGTAGGTCGAGGAGCGTCGGGCACGGGTACGAGCTGTATTTACCCCCGGTTTCTGGGGGTATTGGTGCAGGTGCGGGAGGTAGTGGGCCCCCAGTGGGTGATACCTGGCCGGCAGGTGGTGGGAGGGAGAGCATGAGGGAGGGGGTGAGGAGGACTAGGAAGTCGTCTCATCTAAGGAGACCTAGTCTTGAAGGGGAAGGGTGTTATGAAGGTAGAGGAGAGCGGGAGGCAGGGAGTGGTGGTGGTAGAGGGGAGCGGGAGGGAGGGAGTGGGGGTGGAAGAGGGGAAAGGGAGGCGGGGAATGGTGGTGGAAGCAGGAGGGCAGGAGGGGATGGAGAGGAAGAGAGTCGCTTGGAAGAGGGGGAGAGGAGAAGGGTGGATTATGTGCGGCAACTAGAGAGCTCGCAACAGCAGAAGCAGCAGTATGCCGATGGTCGGTCACAGCAGCAGCAGCCGCAGCAGCAGCAGCAGCAGCAGCAGCAGCAGCAGCCGCCGCAGTATGTGGAGGGTAGGTCGAGGCAGCAGCAGGAGCAGCATGAGCAAGAGTATGCAGACGGTAGGTCGAGGCAGCAGCAGGAGCAGCATGAGCAAGAGTATGCAGACGGTAGGTCGAGGCAGCAGCAGGAACGAGGGAATGAGCAGAGGCAGGGGCATGGGCAGGGGCATGGGCAAGGGCAGGGGCAGGGGCATGGGCAGGGGCATGGGCAAGGGCATGGGCAAGGGCAGGGGCATGGGCAAGGGCATGGGCAAGGGCAGGGGCATGGGCAAGGGCAAGGGCATGGGCAGGGGCATGGGCATGGGCATGGGCAGGGGCAGGGGCAGGGGCAGGGGCATGGGCATGGGCAGGGGCAGGGACAAGGGCAGCAGAGGCCAAGAGGCCAGAGGGGGTCGGATACGAGAAACAGGGTGGATGATTCTCACTGCTCGCCCTCTGCTCCGGTTGCCTCTGCACGGATGGGTATGTGATGGGCATGTGAATGAGGGATGTAAGGTGGAGGGGAACTTGGCTCTACAGCCAAAATTTCAGATTGCAGTACCATTGTAGACTACCTGTGTGAAATAGTATATTATCTCTTCCTTGCCCTTTTAGACTTGTTTCGTCCTAGACTTGTTTGTTTATAACATAATATCGCCATGACCTGGTACGAAGCCTTAGCAATGTATTCTATTGAGTAGGATTGTCCTGTCCTCTCTGCTGTCAGAACGGATGATGTGGAGGCACACGCGCGGCGACTGGGCTGTGTTTTCGTTCGTGCGATGAACGGTGAGCCTTCCCGTGAAGCTTCATCGACGGATGCCATCACTCCATACCGCATCTCGACTCTGTTCGTGACGGTTTGAAACGAGCTTGTCCTCCTTCCGCTTAGCGCCTTTTAAGAGTTTACGTAAGTGGTAAAATCTCAGCCTGACTTGCCTAACAGCTCAAGTCTGGCTTGAAAGGTCAGTGGTGCTTCTTGGTCGACCGGCCTGTCGTCAGAATACGCCCTGAGTCCTGCTCAGCAGGGATTCCCTCGGCCACTGCTCGCTTATTTACTTGCTCACTACTTAACTTCGCGTGCGCCTTCCGAATCCACGTCATTTCCGCTCCTTACTCCCTCTCTCGCTGCTCACTTCCGTTTGTGTTTCCCCAGCCGCGTGACACGTTAGCAGCTACAACGCGCTGCTGCTGCAGAAGCTTCGCTCGTCGGTGCGGACTAAACCAGCCGCGGAAATGGGTTGTCGTCGTCAGGCTCATGAGTGGTGGAGATTAGCTGATACCAGCTTCTTCAGCCACCTCACTAAATGCGCGATCCGTGAATATGTATATATTACGTACCATTTCCTGAATATATACGCGATTGCTGAAACACATCCTTCCCCTGGGAACACGGCTAGCTTTCGCGGGTTTTCGTACTGATCAGTACTACAAGGCTTTGTCGGCGATACCGTCTTCGCTAACTTCGCAACAGAATCGCTTGATACCCGCGCCGGCTAGTCGCGCCGTGTGTCATGGCGGCGACAGTTCAGTGCAGCTCACAAGGAGGATTGTCCACCCTCTGTAATGCCAGCCTCACCCTGCGTCTCTCCCACCAGTCATCTTCTCCCCTCCGCCTCTTCCATCGCCGCTTAAACCGCTGCTTTAACCTTCACTCAGCCGCGACGGCTGGTGTATCAGCGCCATCCGCGGATGCTGCTGCTGTTACGAGATTAGTAAAAGTTGTCAATGGCGGTGCCGCTGGTACCAACGCGCTAACCGCAGCCGTCGAGAACTTCGCGACTCGGTCGATATCCGTCGCAGCCCAGGCCTCTTTAATCGCCTCCGTCGCACTCCTCGTCAGCAGCTCGCCCGCGGTAGCGGCTGATGACGTGGCAGTTGACGTGGCAAGCGCTCCGCTTCCGCAGGAGATTCGACGCTCAAGCGACGCGTCGCGCCAGGAAAACGGCATTCCGTTTCTTGCGCGAGTCGCGGCTTCTCAACTGCGAACCGCGCCGCTCTTAACGGTCACATCCACTGACATCCTAGAAACGACGGACGCTGCGGAAACGGCGGCGGCGGAGACGGCGGAAGCTCCCAAGGTGCTGGACGGAGCGCGTCTGCTGACGGAAAGCCAGCGCGGCGCGATGCTGCGACAGCTGTCGGATCTGGAGTCGCGCGACGGGTGGCGGATCCGCGTGGCGACGCGGTACGGGGTGGAGAGCGGTTTAGATGGCAAACAGATCCGCGACTTGTGGCAGGTGAGAGGCTGGAAGAGGGGGAAAAGGGGGGAAGGGTGGGGGGGTGGGGGGTGGAGGGGTGGGAGGAATGAAGAGCGGAATTTGTGGGGTATTGAGTGATTGTGTGAAAGGAAGTGGGTGTATCAGCTAAAAGTAGCGACCTTGATTGGGTGATTGAAACATGGTTGAGGGTAAGGGGGTAATACGGTAGGAGCATAAGAGTTTACGAGAACAAGAGAGAGTGAGAGTGAGAGGTGTGAGGGAAGACTGCTGGGGAATGGGAGGTTGTAGGAACCAGTGACTGGGAATGGTGTCGCCATTGAACTCTGGAAAGTTGTGAACCTTGGAGGATATAAATCAGGAGCGCGACATTGTGACTTCAAGAGAGCAGCGCTTAAGTAATAACGAGGATGAGCCTGAGGGCCTGGGAGCTTCTTTTATGAAAAAAAAAAAAAAAAAAAAAAAACAGATATTAGAGGTGGCGAATCTTCCATGCTCAAACTCTGTGTTTTGTTTTTCCAAGTCATGCCGCTCTCCCCTCGTTGCTCACATCTCCAACTCATGGCGAGATTTTCATCATACTTAGAGGTGCCCCTCCCCTTTGCTGCTCACATCACACCTCTGGTCGCTCATTTAGCAAGTCTCGCAACTGAACTCCTTAGCTCATCAATACCTTTAATTCTCTCATTTTTCTCCGCTCGTGTTGCAGCCGTCGGATCGGACGGTGATCGTGGTGGCTGACGTGGCATCACCCAACATCCTCAGCTTCAGCATTGGAGAGGCTGTGCGGTCCAAGCTGCCCTACCAGTTCTTCACAGAGCTGCAATCCAGGTAATTCCCCTTTTAAGGTGTCTCAGTTTCCTGTACAAGGTTCACATTTCAGTTGCCATCAGAGAGGCTGTGCGGTCCAAGCTGCCCTACCAGTTCTTCAAGGAGCTACAGTCAAGGTGCGTTAATGCATATATGTTACATATATTTTTATAAACTGGTACATATACATACCGAACTGGTACTACACTACAAGGCGCTTCTCATTGTAGTTACCATCTGGGTGTAGCAGCAAGGCTGTTCTATCCAAGCTGCCCTGCCAGTTCTTCACATGCCCATCTGGGACCACCACATGCTCTTACCCCCTCCACCTCCTCCCCTCCATCTCCCTCTCATCCATTTTCTCCACCTCTCTCCACATCCCTTCTGCCGCGCCTCTGCCTCCCCTCTCATCCTTCCGTTCACCTGTCAACCTTCTTTTCACTTGCATTGCTTAATTACCTGCTTTCCTTAGAAACCTCTCCTCCTTTCACTCGTCCAACCCTTGTGTCCCGAACCCGTACCTCCACGTCAGGTACGGCAATCAGTTCTTCGTCCGGCAAGAGGGCGAGTCCGAAGCTCTCACTCGCTCCGTAGACGCCATCCAAACCTGCCTTGCCGAACCTAACGGCTGCCTCAAGGTCCCAGGCCTGGTAGACGACCTATACTTCCTCACGCTCGGCGTCTCCGTAGCTGCAGGTGCAGTTTTTGGCTTTTCTGCGCGGCTCCCACCCCAAGGCCAAGTGGAAGCTTCCTGGCAATGGGTGGCCATTTTCTCACCCCTCTGGCTGTTATTGCTGCTGGCATTTGGGGTGTTCCCTGTGGTAGATCGGACGGCTGATCTTGAACCGTTGATTAAGAATCTGTTAGGGTTTGCAGGGGGCGCAGGTGCAGTGTACATGACACCTATTTTGGGGGAAAGCCCTGTTGCTAGGTTAGGAAAAACTCAGGAGGATGGGGACGTTTGAGTGTGCATTTGGTTTTGGGGTCGTGTGGTGTGATGGTATCGGGGCTAGTGTGAGGTGTGGTGGGGTGTGGTTTGTGAAAAATACATTTGCATGTGCTGCAACTGCAATCATGCTCCGTAAGCTGTAGGTCTGAGACTGTCGCAGCACAACACATACCGTACCAGTAACATGTGCTTCATTGGCCTTCGTTTCTGGTGAGTTCTACTGTCCTGCTAGCCTCCACCTGACAGTCCATCAGGAAAAAGCCGCATGGGCGTTCTGGTTTTGGCAAGCAAGCCAGACTTGCAGAAAAGACAAAATGACCAAAAGCATGCACCAGGCTACTAAAGAAAATAAACCCCAACACATTACACCGCCCTCATCCACATCCTCCAAAGGGTAACCCAACCAGCACAAGATGCCATGGGATGGTAATAAGATTTGTATCGACTACTTCGCATGTCAAGGGCGTCATGTGTTGTGTCATGTCATGTCATGTCATGTCATGTCATGAGATGCCATGGGATGTGGCATGTCACTGCTGCAGTCATTTCTTGTTCTGGTTGAAGCGCACTTGCTGGGAGCATGGCAATGGGTGGGATGGGATGGGAGTAGGAGGGAGATTGGATTGGATTGGGACGACTAAGTAAGCCGGCTGTGAGAGCAACAGGGGGATTTGAATTGAGACGTCTCAAAATATTTATTCCACACTTTCAGGATCACCACTGCGCCATCAGCTCACCTTGAGCAGCGAGAGGAAGTAAGCCGGTTGTAAGTGCGTGCAAAGGCTTTCAGACTCTCCGCGTCTTAACCCACCTTCAACCCAGCTCACCACCGCCAACCAGCTCACCTTGAGCAGCGAGAGGAAGTATGCGGGCTGCGAGTGCTTGCTGGCGCTTTCAGACTCTTTGTGTCTTAACCCACCTTCACCCCAGCACTCCACCACCGACACACCACCGCCAACCAGCTCACCTTGAGCAGCGAGAGGAAGTATGCGGGCTGCGAGTGCTTGCTGGCGCTTTCAGACTCTTTGTGTCTTAACCCACCTTCACCCCAGCACTCCACCACCGACACACCACCGCCAACCAGCTCACCTTGAGCAGCGAGAGGAAGTATGCGGGCTGCGAGTGCTTGCTGGCGCTTTCAGACTCTTTGTGTCTTAACCCACCTTCACCCCAGCACTCCACCACCGACACACCACCGCCAACCAGCTCACCTTGAGCAGCGAGAGGAAGTATGCGGGCTGCGAGTGCTTGCTGGCGCTTTCAGACTCTTTGTGTCTTAACCCACCTTCACCCCAGCACTCCACCACCGACACACCACCGCCAACCAGCTCACCTTGAGCAGCGAGAGGAAGCATGGGGGCTGCGAGTGCTTGCTGGCGCTTTCAGACTCTTTGTGTCTTAACCCACCTTCACCCCAGCACTCCACCACCGACACACCACCGCCAACCAGCTCACCTTGAGCAGCGAGAGGAAGTATGCGGGCTGCGAGTGCTTGCTGGCGCTTTCAGACTCTTTGTGTCTTAACCCACCTTCACCCCAGCACTCCACCACCGACACACCACCGCCAACCAGCTCACCTTGAGCAGCGAGAGGAAGTATGGGGGCTGCGAGTGCTTGCTGGCGCTTTCAGACTCTTTGTGTCTTAACCCACCTTCACCCCAGCACTCCACCACCGACACACCACCGCCAACCAGCTCACCTTGAGCAGCGAGAGGAAGTATGCGGGCTGCGAGTGCTTGCTGGCGCTTTCAGACTCTTTGTGTCTTAACCCACCTTCACCCCAGCACTCCACCACCGACACACCACCGCCAACCAGCTCACCTTGAGCAGCGAGAGGAAGTATGCGGGCTGCGAGTGCTTGCTGGCGCTTTCAGACTCTTTGTGTCTTAACCCACCTTCACCCCAGCACTCCACCACCGACACACCACCGCCAAACAGCTCACCTTGAGCAGCGAGAGGAAGTATGCGGGCTGCGAGTGCTTGCTGGCGCCGGCACCGTCGAACAGCAGCTTTGGCTGCTCGCTCTGTGGGATAAAGCGAGCGAGTTTATATGGGGTACGATAGGCAACAAACATGGAGAGGAGGGCCGAGAGGACTTCTCAGCAAACATAAAAGAGGAGGGCTGGGGCAACAATGAGGAGGGACCAGCGGAGCTAGAAGACGTGAAGGAAAGAAGCGAGGTGAGGGGTGATTGGATAGTGTTTGCTAGCAAGAGGAAGATTTTCAAAAGCATACCAGGAAGCTAACTGTTGTGATGGTATCGAGTCGTTTCTTAAGGAGGGCATCCTGAGGGACAATTGGCAAAAGGGAGGGGGCAAGTGAGGGGCAAGTGAGAGTAGTGACGGCGCACAATGGCATTGAGTAGGGGGAATGGATATCCTGAGGAGAGTACGGCGCACAACAGGGGCATCCTGAGGAGAGAGCATGCTGGGTAAGTGGAGAGAGCATCCTGAGGGACAATGGGCAAGTGGAGGGCATGCTGGGGGGCATGTTGGAGTAGTGACGACACACATTGAGGTGATCCTTTAGGCTCCTAAAAAATGAGGTGATTTTTTAGGCGCCTTAGAAAATCACAAGGGGCAGTAGTGACGACACACAAATGTACTGAGCCGTTTTTAGGGGTGGGCATCTTGAGAAATCAGGTACATTGTTCCACGGCACAGGGAAAGGCAGTCAGAACGGTGTAACCATGAGGAGCAGCATGGGCGGAGTAGCCGTGGGATAATAAAGCTGTTTTGAGACGTTCCAAAGCAGAGTAGCCGGGGAGAGGAGAAGGCTGGGATGGGGAAACGAAACGGGTTAAAGTACGAAAGTACATAATAGTTATTAATGTACTCAAGTTGTTAGATCTCTACTTAATACTCTCGCATGAAGCAAGATTCGGCCTTTTCCCTGACACAATGCTCTCTCCTCACTCACGCCACTCACTCTGTAACTTCCTTCCTCTCCTCACTGCCTGCCTCACTCCCACCCACCTTGTCTAGTTCCTGCGAGTCGGGCCAGAGCACCACGCCCGTGGCCACGTGCTTGTAGAACATACAGGGGACACGAGACACTATGTCATGGTCGTTGGCAATGCGGTTCACAGCACCACCCCCCGTGGCCACATGCTTGTAGAGCACATACGACACATGCGGCACCAGCACACCCATGACTTTTGAGTCGACTCAAAAGTCAGTACGGCACATGCGGCACATGCGGCACCAGCACACCCATGCACGGACAGCTGTGCTACTCACTCCACTCCCACCCACCTTTTCCAACTTCTGCGAGTCGGGTCGAAGCACCACCCCAGTGGCCACGTGCTTGTAGAACACGTAGGGGACACGCGGCACTATATCATGGTCATTGGCGATGCGCCAGCTGTCACCCACAAGCTGGTTGGGAGGGGTTGAGATGGGTTGGAATAGAAAAGAGAGGAGGGGGGGAGGGGAGGGACAGGTAGAGTATTATGGGGCGGACAGTGCTTGTAGAACACGTAGGGGACACGTGGCACTATGTCATGGTCATTCGCAATGCGCCAGCTGTCACCCACCAGCTGGTTGGGATGGGTTGGGATGGGTTGGGATGCGTCGGGATGGGTTGGGATGAAACTTATATGGCTTGCACGACACCATGTCCAGGTCATTGGCGAAGCGCCAGCTGTCTCCCACCAGCTGGTTGGGTTGGGTTGGGTTGGGATGGGTTGGGATGAAACTTATCGGGCACGCCTAGCTCCATGTTAAGGTCGTTTGGCAACGTGCTAACTGTCAGTACCACCAGTGGCAATTCACTGCTCTCGATGGGGACGCCAAGAGGGAAGGGACCTGACAGCTAAACGATACGCACCTGGTTGAAGCGAGCAGCAAAGGCATGGTTGCCCACACGAGGAGAGCCGAAGTTGTAGAGAGAGAGGGTGAAGGCTTCTTTGACCTTGTGCAAAATCGACCTCTGACACACACATTTACTGCAGCTCTTATGCTTGCCCAGTGAGAAGCACAGCACACACCTGGTTGAAGCGAGCAGCAAAGGCATGGTTGCCCACACGAGGAGAGCCGAAGTTGTAGAGAGAGAGGGTGAATCCGTGCTGCCTGTGGTGGTGACAAGCGACGCAAACATGGGGGAGGGTTGCATTTTAGACTCCTCACAAGCCACACGAGGAGAGCCGAAGCTGTACAAGGTTGTAGAAGGGTTAACCTCACAAGCCACACGGGGTGAACGGTAGCATATGTATGAAGACATATACACCTATCATATACTTGAGCAGCTATATATATTTTTCACACATTGGCTTATGTATATGTGTACACATTATGTACGTTTTAATCTTAGAGAAAAGGCCACTCACTCCTTTTGACATCACACATTGACAACACACCTTGTCGCATATCATGTTCACCCTTCCTCGCTTGAGGTCAGACTAGGTGAGATTGTATGTGAAGAGTGCGGAGAGTGGAGAGTGGAGAGTGGAGAGAGAGAGAGAGCAACCCAGTGTGACATATCATATTAACCATCATGCATCACACTCACTTCTTCAGGTCGGACTGGGCGAGGTTGTATGTGAAGAGCACCGCAGAGCTCCACACCGCACCGCACAGCACACCACCTTTCTTACTTTTCACCTTCACCACACTCACTTCTTGAGGTCGGACTGGGCAAGGTCGTATGTGAAGAGAGTGGAGAGAGCACCTCCCAGGCTGTGCCCCGTGACCATGATGTGATACCTGGTGGGGCATGATGGGATAGTGGGATGGATGGTTGGTGGCATCGTTAGAAGGAGCAGCACATGGGCTATGCCGATGGAAGGCAAGAGCGCCCTCCAGGCTGTGACCCGTGACCATGACGTGATACCTGGTGGCATCACAGTGGGATGAGGGTTGGTTGGTGGTATGGTGGGACACATGGTGTAGCATTGTTAGGAGAGCGTGGAGAGAGCGCCCTCCAGGCTGTGACCCGTGACCATGACGTGATACCTGGTGGGATGGTGGCATGGTGGCATGGCGATGACATGATGGGATGGGATGATGGCGTGGGAGCAATGCATGTGGAACGGGAGGCAACAAGGATCCATATGCATTGCTCCCATGCTCTTGGAGCATGGATCCTTGGCGTGGGAGGCAACAAGGAAGGATCCTTGCTCCAAGAGCGCCACCGAGGCAGTGCCCCGCGACCATGATGTGGTGCGGAGCGTGGCACAGCACATGATGTGGTGCGGAACGTGGCACAGCACATGATGTGGTGCGGAACGTGGCACAGCACATGATGTGGTGCGGAACGTGGCATAGCACATGATGTGGTGCGGAACATGGCACAGCACATGATGTGGTGCGGAACATGGCACAGCACATGATGTGGGGATGGTGACATGACACCATGGTGGGATGATGGCGTGGGATCAATGTTACTGAATGGGAGGGAACAAGGATCAATGCTGCAACAGCGCCCCCCAGGCTGTGAGCCTGTGCCCTGTGACATGATGCGAGTGTATGCCCTGTGACATGATGCGAGTGTATCTTTCAGAAGGCTCACTTTTCGCTAGAAGATGCGAGAATAGCTTTGAGCAGCAGAAGGAGCCGCGGCTTCACAGACTTGTAGCCGTCCAGAAAGCCATCATGCACCTGGGGGATTGGAACCCAGGGGGAGAACACGCGAGGCTTTTGTTAGAAAAGGACAGCGGTGAGCAGCAGGAGCCGCGGCTTCACGGACTTGTAACCGTCCAGAAAGCCGTCATGCACCTGAGAGAGGGCGGGAGCGTTGCAGCGAAGGGGCAACACTCATCAGAGGGAGGAGAAGGACACGAGAGCCTGTTGAGAGAAGGTCAGCAGCACAATGGTGTACCTGAGCAACAGCAGCAGAGGGAGCCGCAGCTTCCTTTAGAGTCGGCTCAAAATGCACCTCACTACACGCGGATTTTGAGGCGCCTCAAAATGCACCTCACTACACGCGGATTTTGAGGCGCCTCAAAATGCACCTCACTACACGCGGATTTTGAGGCGCCTCAAAATGCGTTGCAGCGAAGGGGCAACACTCATTAGAGGGAGGAGAAGGACACGAGAGCCTGTTGAGAGAACGTCACACAGTGGTGTACCTGAGCAGCAGCAGAGGGAGCCGCAGCTTCCTTTAGAGTCGGCTCAAAAGTCAGCTTCAAGGGCGTGAATCCATCCCAGAAAGCGGTCATACACCTTTTAAAAAAACTCAAAAGCGCCTCACAGACTTGAACCCATCCCAGAAAAAACGTCATGCACAGAGAGGGCATGCGAGGACATGCGAGGGCATGCGAGGACATGCGAGGACATGCGAGGACATGCGAGGACATGCGGGAATTGGACGCGCAACATCGGTGAAGAATTGAACTAAAGAAGAGGGCATGCGAGGTTGTTGAAAATGTTCTTTGAGAATTCTCCAAGGACATGCACAACATCGGTGACGAATTGGACTGAAGGGCATGCGAGGCTGTTGAAAGAAACGGGACAACAGCAGTGTGCAGCAGTGTGCAGCGGTGTGCAGCGGTGTGCAGCGGTGTGCCTGAGCAGCAGAATGTGGCGAGGCTTTTCGGACTGGTACCCATCCCAGAAAGCCGTCATACGATTGTGGGATTCGAGTAGAAGGAGAAAACACTCTACCTTGATATCCATCTTGTTATCCTCGTCAGTTAAGTCCGAGTCAAAGCTGGGTTTGTGGCACCGCAAAGGTCTTTTGGGGTAGTTTTTGGAACACATGGAACTGTCACGTTACCTTGATGTCCATCTTGTTATCCTTGTCAGTTAAGTCCGAGTCAAAGCTGATTTTGGTTTTGGGGTGGAGGGGTTTACTTTTCAGCCGACTCAAAACCCAGCCCATGGGCCGCCTAAAAAAGAGTTACCTTGATATCCATCTTGTTATCCTCGTCAGTTAAAGTCTGAGTCAAAGCTGAATTTGGGTTGGGTTGGGGGGAAGAGGCTGACTTTTGAGTCAACTTAAAAGTCAGCTCCTGAGTCAACTCGAATCACGTTACCTTGATGTCCATCTTGTTGTCCTCGTCAGTTAAGTCCGAGTCAAAGCTGGATTTGGGTTGGGGGGAATAGGGGGAGGGAGGAGGGAAGGAAAGAAGGGATTGTGAGGGACGGAAAGGACAAAGAGGAAAAGGGAAACAAGAAGATCCTGCATGGAGAATGGTGGGTTTACTTTTAGGATGAATACATTTTGGAATATCAGATGATAGCTCAGATGGTATGAATTGGATGAAACCGAATTGTTTCCGTTTATATATATATATATATATATATAACCGCATCATAAAGCGTGTACACATAGTATGCTTGAACTTGACAACAACATTCTGGGCACTATCCACATCTGTGCAGCACTCACTTTTCCCTGTGCAGCCTCAGGTCTGCCATTGCATCCTTGAGCATGGGAACATCAGATGGAAGGTCAAGATCAATGCGCTATGGCATGGCCAATGGCAGGACAAAGTAAGCGTAGAGCCAGTCACATTGGGACAGCGCATGGGCACTGGCACGGCATACGCAATGGCACGGGCATTGGCAACGCATGGGCCACGCAACACTCACTTCTCCTTGTGCAGCCTCAGGTCCGTCAGAGCGTCCTTGATCTTCTGCCCTGCCTGTTGGTTGGTGGCCGAGGGAAGCAAAGGAGCAACGGGAGAGGGTGTGCGGGAGGCAGATGGGGATTATGGGTATGGCACATGTGTAGTGTGGCATCCACTTCTCCTTGTGAAGCCTCAGGTCTGTCAGAGCGTCCTTGATCTTCTGACCTGCCTGTTGGTTGGTGGCCGAGGGAAGCAAAGGAGCAACGGGAGTGGGCGTGAGAGAGGCACATGGCGGATTATGGTTATGGGCACATCATATGGTTATGGGCACATCATATGGTTATGGGCACATCATATGGTTATGGGCACATCATATGGTTATGGGCACATCACATGTTTATGGGCACATCATATGGTTATGGGCACATCATATGGTTATGGGCACATCATATGGTTATGGGCACATCATATGGTTATGGGCACATCACATGGTTATGGGCACATCATATGGTTATGGGCACATCATATGGTTATGGGCACATCATATGGTTATGGGCACATCACATGGTTATGGGCACATCATATGGTTATGGGCACATCATATGGTTATGGGCACATCATATGGTTATGGGCACATCACATGGTTATGGGCACATCATATGGTTATGGGCACATCACATGGTTATGGGCACATCACATGGTTATGGGCACATCATATGGTTATGGGCACATCACATGGTTATGGGCACATCACATGGTTATGGGCACATCATATGGTTATGGGCACATCACATGGTTATGGGCACATCATATGGTTATGGGCACATCATATGGTTATGGGCACATCATATGGTTATGGGCACATCATATGGTTATGGGCACATCACATGGTTATGGGCACATCATATGGTTATGGGCACATCACATGGTTATGGGCACATCACATGGTTATGGGCACATCACATGGTTATGGGCACATCATATGGTTATGGGCACATCACATGGTTATGGGCACATCACATGGTTATGGGCACATCACATGGTTATGGGCACATCACATGGTTATGGGCACATCACATGGTTATGGGCACATCATATGGTTATGGGCATATCACATGGTTATGGGCACATCACATGGTTATGGGCACATCACATGGTTATGGGCACATCACATGGTTATGGGCACATCACATGGTTATGGGCACATCACATGGTTATGGGCACATCACATGGTTATGGGCACATCACATGGTCGTGGGCACATCACATGGTCATGGGCACATCACATGGTTATGGGCACATCACATGGTTATGGGCACATCACATGGTTATGGGCACATCACATGGTTATGGGCACATCACATGGTTATGGGCACATCACATGGTTATGGGCACATCACATGGTCATGGGCACATCACATGGTCATGGGCACATCATATGGTTATGGGCACATCATATGGTTATGGGCACATCATATGGTTATGGGCACATCACATGGTTATGGGCACATCATATGGTTATGGGCACATCACATGGTTATGGGCACATCACATGGTTATGGGCACATCACATGGTTATGGGCACATCATATGGTTATGGGCACATCACATGGTTATGGGCACATCACATGGTTATGGGCACATCACATGGTTATGGGCACATCACATGGTTATGGGCACATCACATGGTTATGGGCACATCACATGGTTATGGGCACATCACATGGTTATGGGCACATCACATGGTTATGGGCACATCACATGGTTATGGGCACATCACATGGTCGTGGGCACATCACATGGTCATGGGCACATCACATGGTTATGGGCACATCACATGGTTATGGGCACATCACATGGTTATGGGCACATCACATGGTTATGGGCACATCACATGGTTATGGGCACATCACATGGTCATGGGCACATCACATGGTCATGGGCACATCACATGGTTATGGGCACATCACATGGTTATGGGCACATCACATGGTTATGGGCACATCACATGGTTATGGGCACATCACATGGTTATGGGTGGCACATTTGCATAGTTCATTCTCTAAGTGCAGCCTGAGAGAACCGTCAATGCACTCTTGAGAGATTCCGACCTGTCTCATCCCCCCGACCTGTCTCATCCCCCGACCTGTCTCATCCCCCGACCTGTTAGCTTCCCACCTGTCCATCCTTGAGCATGGCCGCATTGGCCACCTCCGTGCCTCGAAAGGTCACTACCACCCTCTCTCTCCCTGCATCCGCATCCCCATAAAGAGCCCCAATCCCCTCACTTCTCTTGCTCTATTCCCACCTGTCCATCCTTGAGCATGGCCGCATTGACCACTTCAGTGCCTCGAAAGTCCATTACCCCACCAGTCCCTTCCCATCCCTATTTTTTCACTTCTCACCAGTCCCTTCCCATCCAAAAAACTTCACTTCTCACCAGTCCCTTCCCATCCAAAAAACTTCACTTCTCACCAGTCCCTTCCCCTGGCACCAGTCTCACCAGTCTCACTTCTCTTCGCATCTCACCTGTCCATCCTTGAGCATGGCCGCGTTGACCACCTAAGTCCCTCGGAACGACACCACCAGCCTCTTCCTCCTCACATCCCCACCAAAGGGCGGATGGGAGGGAAGCATGCGGCTGGTGCCACCTGCTCGCTTCTCACCTGTCCGTCTTTCAGCATGGCCACATTGACCACCTCAGTGCCTCGGAACGACACCACCAGCCTCTTCCTCCGGGGGTCCTTGTCCCTCCACACGCCCACCTGCACACCATAATAAAAACTCCCCACACATGATTTCCAAGGGGCAGCCGCACGCAATAAGAACCACAGCGAAACAACAGGGAAGTGAGTGACAGAACGAATAATCCTGCATCCAAACAGGTGGTCTTGCAATGCCTGAAACCGCGACCCAAAACGCAACTCAAATCGTGGCCCATAAAGCGAGTGAAGTCGTGACTCATAACGTACCATAAAACTCACTCATCTGCGTATCCGACTTTCCACTGTGCTGACACACCTTTTGAGGCGTCTAAACATATGCCTCCGCATATTCCTCAAAAAGCGACTCAAAAACACACAAACCTGCGTGTCCGACTCGCCACTGCTCAGGAAGCACACGCATTCAAACGCCGACTTGAAAAACTCCGGCTGCCCGCCCGCAGCTGCCCTAGAAAGGTTTTCCCAGGCAGCGAGCGTCACGTTATTGGCTCCTGTGGCAAAAAGAGCTTCAACTGCCCGTTGATCTTGAAGGGAGAGCCCGTACGCTGCTGCTTCAACTTCAGTTTTTGAATCTTCCCCTGTTTTTACAGCGGCCACTTGCCCTGCTGCTGCTGCTGCTGCTGCAGTGGCAGTGGCAGCAGCTGTGGCATTATTCTTGACGGAGCTGCCTTGAGAAAGAGTGGCCGATGGTTGAAAGGCTGAGGCGGGAAGAGGCGAGCTGAGAAGCCTCTGGAGGATGGGGAGAGGCTCGAAGCTGGGAGGGGTTGGGCAGGGAGGGAAGGCAGGAAGAGACAAGGTGAGACGAGGACACTCGTGCCGCTGCTGCTGCTGCTGCTGCTGCTGCTGCTGCTGCTGGTGCTGTTGGTGGTGTTGCAGCAGTGGCAGTGGCAGCAGCTGTGGCATTATTCTTGACGGTGCTGCCTCTAGAAAGAGTGGCCGACGGTTGAAAGGCCGATGCGGGAAGAGGCGTGGTGAGAAGCCTCTGGAGGATGGGGAGAGGCTCGAAGCTGGGATGGGGAGGGCAGGGAGGAAAGGCAGGCAGGGTGTGAACAAGAGTGGGAGAGAGAGTGAGAGCTGGTGAGAAGGCCGACGTGGGAAGAGGCGTGGTGAGAAGCCTCTGGAGGATGGGGAGAGGCTCGAAGCTGGGGTGGTGGGCAAGGGAAGGCAGGCAGGGTGTGAAAAGGAGTGGGAGCCGGTGAAAAGACTTATGTGGAAAGAGGCGTGGTGAGAAGCCTCTGGAGGATGGGGAGGGGCTCGAAGCTGGGATGGGGAGGGCAGAGAGGAAAGGCAGGCAGGGTGTGAACAAGAGTGGGAGAGAGAGTGAGAGCTGGTGAGAAGGCCGACGTGGGAAGAGGCGTGGTGAGAAGCCTCTGGAGGATGGGGAGAGGCTCGAAGCTGGGGTGGTGGGGGGGGAAAGAAGAAACGAAATGAGAGGAGCTATGACTTGGGGGTGATAGGCGTGAGTGAGTGATTCCATGAATACAAGGAAAAAGGAATAGAATGGTGTTTCTACCAGCCTCTCTGTTTCTACCAGCCTCTCTGTTTCTACAAGCCTCTCTGTTTCTACCAGCCTCTCTGTTTCTACCAGCCTCTCTGTTTCTACCAGCCTCTCTGTTTCTACCAGCCTCTCTGTTTCTACCAGCCTCTCTGTTTCTACCAGCCTCTCTGTTTCTACCAGCCTCTCTGTTTCTACCAGCCTCTCTGTTTCTACCAGCCTCTCTGTTTCTACCAGCCTCTCTGCCTCTGCCTCTCTGCCTCTCTGCGTCTCCAACTCTATCACAGCCCCACCCGCTCCTCTCCCTCTCACCCCCACCCATCGTTTTCACTGGAGCAGCTCACATATTCTGCCTGCCTTAGGTGCTGCCCCTCCCGTTGCATCTCCACACACTACAAACACTCTCACCCTCCCACCTCTCCCTCTCACCCCTACCTGTCGCTTGGGCCGGTTAAGCTTGCATAATCCACCTGCCACAGGCGCAAGAAACCACCCACCCACGATGCACAGTGCGTAATGAGATGATGAGATCACTCAAGATTGAAATTGCATTTGCAATTTACTTTTTCCAAACCTTCCTACCCCCAAACCCACCCACATGAGACACACCACACCTACCTACCTCCCCCACACCTACCCTACCCACACACACACCTACCTTCGAGAAGGTACTACCTGGCTGCCTACAATCTCAAGTCACCTTAAAGCCTATCAACCACTGATCCACCCCCTCCAATCCCGCCTACCCCAAACCCACCTCACCCCAAACCCACCTCACCCCAAACCCACCTCACCCCAAACCCACCTCACCCCAAACCCACCTCACCCCAAACCCACCTCACCCCAAACCCACCTCACCCCAAACCCACCTCACCCCAAACCCACCTCACCCCAAACCCACCTCACCCCAAACCCACCTCACCCCAAACCCACCTCACCCCAAACCCACCTCACCCCAAACCCACCTCACCCAAACCCACCTCACCCAAACCACCTCACCCCAAACCCACCTCACCCCAACCCACCTCACCCCAAACCACCTCACCCAAACCCACCAACCCCAAACCCACCAACCCCCCAAACCTAATTCCCCCCGAATCCACCCTACCTCAAACCCACCTATCCCAAGCCCACCTCCCCTTATACCCGCCTACTCCACTCACACCTAACCTCCCCACACACACCTCCCCCCCACACACACCTCCCTCCCCACACACACCTCCCTCCCCACACACACCTCCCTCCCCACACACACCTCCCTCCCCACACACACCCTCCCTCCCCACTCACACCTCCCTCCCCCACACACACCTCCCTCCCCCACACACACCTCCCTCCCCACTCACACCTCCCTCCCCACTCACACCTCCCCTCCCCATTCACACCTCCCTCCCCACACACACGTACCTCTATGGTGACATTTCCTGTCGGCTTGCCGTCCCGAGTCACCTTAGCCACAACATCGCGAATCCGGGTGTCTGAATCAGTGCACAGAGAGAGATCGAGAATGGTGGAATGCGGTGGAGAGTGGTGGAGAGCGGTGGAGAGCAGTGGCGAGCGGTGGCATAACAGTGGAGAGTGGTTCAGAGCGAAGCACAAAGGATGGAGACAAGTGGATAGCCTAACACTCCCCCAAGTCTTCCTAACACACCCACACCCCCACCTTTGATCAAGTCAGTGAGAGCAATGGTGGCCGTGCCAATCACACGGACAACTTCATTCACCCGACACACTCTCACCCCCACCTTTGATCAAGTCAGTGAGAGCAATGGTGGCCGTGCCAACCACACAGTCATCCTCGTCGGAATCGTCATCGTCATACTTGCTGTGAAAGGTGATCTGTTGGCGGGGCAGGGCAGGGCGGTGAGAAGAGGAGAGGGGACAGAGCGGGTCTACTTTTAAGGCGCCTCATAACCACACAGTCATCCTCGTCGGAATCGTTATCGTCGTCCTTGCTGTGAAAGGTGATCTGTTGGCGGGGCGGTGAGGAGAGGAGACAGAGCGGTCTAGTTTTGAGGCGCCTCAAAACCACAAAATCACCCTCGTCAGAATCTTTATCATTATCATTATCCTTGTTGTGAAATGTGATCTGTTGGCAGGGCGGTGAGGAGAGGATACAGAGCGAGAGACACGATCGTTTCAGATATTCCCTGCCAGCCTGCCACTGGTGAACCGTTGACCCGGTGGTGTATTTTTGAGACGTCTCAAAGATACACTTTTTACAGGAGGGTTTCAGACATTCCCTGCCAGCAAGCCACTGGTGAACCGTTGACCCGGTGGTGTATTTTTGAGACGTCTCAAAGATACACTTTTTACAGGAGGGTTTCAGACATTCCCTGCCAGCAAGCCATTGGTGAACCGTTGACCCGGTGGTGAGGAGAGCAATCGTGTGCAGAGTTGTCTCATCGCATGTGTAGGCATTATCAAGGTTATATCCCTCAGAAAAGGGAAAATTAAATGGGGCCACCACCTGGAGCCAACAGAGCAGAGCACCACCTGGGGCTAACAGAGGATTACCGAATCACCTGAGAGAGCACATACCCACCTGCAGGAAGGTGTCAGATTCAACAGCATGCGGCACCAGCAACTGCAGTTGCTCGGACCGTGATGCATTCTTTGGGCTGATAGTCAATTACCTGAGGGTAGGTATCAAACGCTGCAGGATGAGGTTTGAGACGTCGCATTAGTCACCTGAAGGAAGGTGTCGGATGCAGCAGCGCGCGGCACCAGCAACTGCAGTTGCTCGGACCGTGGTGCGTTCTTTGGGCTGATAGTCAATTACCTGAAGGTAGGTAGGTGTCAAACGCTGCAGGATGAGGTTTGAGACGTCGCAGTACCCACCTGCAGCAAGGTGTCAGATGCAGCAGCACGCGGCACCAGCAGCTGCAGTTGCTCGGGCCACGATGGTTTCTTTTGGCTGAAAGGAGAAGCAGGGAGGTGGGCAGGCGGTGAGCATATGAAGTGTGTACATGTGACATTTGCATGTGACGTAAGCATAATGGGAGGATGAATTACGAATCTGATGTGAGGGAAAACGCGAGGATGTGTGTGATTGTGAGGAGAGGATGATGAATGCGGGGATGTGGGTGATGTGAGGAGAGGAAGAATGTGGGGATGTATCATGTATTTGAGCATGCGAGCATGAATGGGAAGCACAGGCTCCAGCTCACTCTTGGGCCTTCACGGTGGTGTGAGCGACGCCATTCCATGTGGCAGCCTTCCCTGCTGACGTCACCAGCGCCAGCTCAGCATGGAGCGCCTTGATGTTGCCCTGGAGGATAGAGGATGGGGTGAGAGAGGAGCAGAGTGAATGAGAGAAGAGGTGAGTGTATGAGTTGGTGAGTGAGAGAGTAAGAGAGTGAGTGAGTGAACCATACCGTGGCTGTGATCGCTCGCACAGAGAGCTGTCCCTGAAAGAGCTCGTGGGCGAATGACGAGGAGGCGAATGGAGTGAAGCAGTGGTTAAATGGGTGAGTGAGTGAGTGCGTGATTGAGGGAGTGAGTGAGCGAGTGAGCGAGTGAGAGAGTGAGAGAGTGGGTGAGTGAGCGAGCTCTCATACCGTGGCAGTAATCGCGCGCACGGAGAGCTGCCCCTGAAAGAGCTCGTGGGCGAAGGGCGTGGAGGTGAAGAGAGCAGCGCACTGCCGCCCGTCCACGTCCGATAGCTTATCGCTACCCTGTGGTGTAGGGTACAAGGAGGAATGAAGATGGAGGGAGGGGGGGTTCTTAAAAGGGAAACAGCAAAGTACAGTTGCCTGTACACACCCGATAGCGTATTGATTCCCTATGTGGTGTAGAGTAAGGGGGGTGAATAAGGATGGATGGAAGGGGCGTTCTCAACAGGGAAACAGCAAAGTAGAGCCGCCTGTACACATCCGATAGCTTATCGCTTCCCTGTGGTGCAGGGTATGGGGAAAAGCGCTTCACAAACCTGCTGATGTGAAGCACTTCACATCTCTCCCTCCCACCAACCTCCCTTCCCGTGTTCCCCCTTCCCGTCGGCTCATCCAGATTCCGTCCGCTGTCCTTTCCGTTCCGTCATTCAAGCTTCTTTTCCATCGTGTGCGGCTTACAGTGGGAGTCGAGTACGCCTCAAACGCGAATCCGCCCAGCAGCACGGCCAGCAGCAGGTTTGAATCACCGGCCGCCGCTGCCCTCAAACCTGCCGCCAAACCGGACAGTTAAAATGGCGCGCCTGCCCGCACCGCATGAGTCGCTGTGCAGCAGGACGCCGCGTACGCCTCTGTCTTACACAGGGGAAATCGAGTAGTACGCCTCATTTTCTGCACGGATTCTCTACGTGCATCCAATCTCGTAGTACACGCCACGCCCTCTTACAGTGGGAGTCGAATACGCCTCAAACGCGAATCCGCCCAGCAGCACGGCCAGCCGCAGGTCGAACGGCACGCCTTGCGCCGCGATTCCCGCCGCCACTCCCGTTGCGACTCCTGCCGCGGTGGCCTCCCCCTTCCGCGCCGGCGGGCCCTTCTCCGCCGCCGCCACCGCCGCCGCCGCCGCCGCAGCCGCCGACTTAGACGACCCGAAGATTGTCAGCGCGTCCTTAAGCACCGACGCGCCGCGATCGGCGCCGCTTGTCCCGCTGCTGCTGCTGGCGGAGGCGGAGGGGCCGCGGAGCAGAGTCGGGCTTGGCGGGCGGCGGCTTCCGCGCGCCGCCGCGGACGTCGGCGCGGCTGAGAGGCGGAGGCCGCCATAGGAGGAAGTTAAGCTGCGAAAAGGGAAGGTCGCGTTGTTGCGAAGTAGAAGATGGAACAATTTGAGTTAGTGGATCACTAGGCGAATCTGCAGTGGGAGAGGATTTCGGGAAGCCAGGGCGATGTTTTCACTGGAAGGTCAAGGGTGGCTTGGACGATTGAGGCGCCTCAGAACTGCTGGTGATATTTCTCAGAAACGCGCAGCGCAACTCTGAACTGGCGTATACCGAACGCAAGCACTGATTTTCCGTTTGAAGTGATAGGAGTGAGACGACGAGTTTGAGCCTACGGAGACTAAATCACGCACTGCGAAATACCCTATTGCTGCATGCCGCAACCTCAAACGGGCCGTTTACCCGAAATGCGAGTTCAGTCGTGCTCTTACTTTTAAAGCAAGCGTTCCTCGTTGGTGTTACTTTTTCACACGGCCCGTCGTCATTGACGCGCGACCTGCATCGAGCGATCACAGAATCTGTTCAGCTGATATTGGAAAATTGTACTACCTTGAGAGAGATAGCTTGTATCGGGGATGGCGATCCAGTGGGGCCCTAAGAGCAGCAAGGGGAGCGAGCGACACGGAGGCAACATAGAGCGACGCCATGGCGCGAAAGCTGTCTGTCAGACGCGAAGATATTCAGCGAGTGACTGAAAATGCAACCCCTTTGTTCCAGAAAGTGCGTCTGACTGAACTATGGATTTAGCTCCCAAATCCTGATCTCGCTCACTCTGAGCTTGAGTACTAATGGAATATGGACGACTTTTGAGACACCTCAGAACTCGCTATGCGCTTGAGTGATGGATTATGGAAGCGGAACCAGTGTGTCGTAGCAGTAAACGAGGACTGCGGAATGGGGGACGGCTAATGTGGAGAGGGAGAAGGATAAACTTTCCCTTCAACAACGTTCATCCATGTGTGGTGGCTGCCGCCGACCGCGAGGTTTCTAATCGCGAGGCGTAACGACAAAACAATCCCTAATAGTTTGTCCAGGAGTGGATGAAAGCCGTCCGTGTGGATGCATGTATCGCCGCTTGTTAGTTACAGCCAAAACTGGATGCCCTGTTGGCGAGGCGACTGCCACTGCCACTGCCAACGCCAAATATCTGTGTATCGAAATGGAATTTTGGAAAATGGCCGCTGAAAATGGCTGCTGAATTTGGCTGCTAGATTGGTGGTGAACGGCTTCTGAATGGTTGCTGAATCTGGAGGACATGGAAATGCGGAAAAACGGGAGGGAGCTGCGGAATGGATTATAGAAGGGGAGGGAGGTGGGGCGTAGTGGGGGGAGGGGGAGGGGGAAAGTCTCAGGGAAGATGGCGGAAACCGAGTGCGGTACAATCAAGGGAGACTGTCCGCTGGAGGGAATTATGCTTCCGCCGTTCCCCTCACACGCAGCTTGGCTGGGGTGGCGGGGATGAGAGATGGCAGGTTGAGCCTTTGCGCGCAACATTTCGAACTTCAATGTTGCCGCCATAATTCTTGGCAATCTCAATCGTACTGTCTGACAAACTGACAAATGCACAACACATCCTCCTTGTATGGAGTTTCGAAATTCCTTCACGAGGTCTGGAAAAAAAATACTCGCGGTGTAGCATACACTGATGAACGTAAAACAAAACAACTCATGTATCTTTGAGTGTACAAAATGGTATGGTAACCATCTCTTCTGAAAATAGCTAGCAACATAGCAGGCCCAAAGGTAAGGGAGTGTAAGTGGGTGGGAGACCAGCACACAACACCTCCCCCCCCTCCAACCACTTGCACCCACCCCCCTTCCCCACTCCTCCAACCACCAACCCCCAAACTAACGCCGCTCCTCATTGACATCCAACGGTACCATCACCTACGATCCACCCGACCAGCTATGGCATTGGCACAGTATCTTAGATAAAAAACATTAATCCCAGCTAGATTTTGGTTCGACTAATGTCATCATCCATAAGCTCACAGTACTGCCTTATGGCATCTACAGTGTGCCGGGTGGAGGGAAGGAACAGAAGAGTTCAATCTGTTTGCATGCGTGCTGGCATGACATGGCAGGTTGGTGGCACGGCACGATATGGGCGTCATACAACCAAAGCTACACAGCACCACCCAAAACAACACACTCTCCTCATCATAGTAGAATGATAACAACCAAAATGAAACAGAATTCTCTTAGATCACTGGCGTGATATGGCATGGCATGCAAAGGCTGTCCTGTCATGTGTCATCCCCTCCCGTGTCATGACATGGGATGGCATGTCACTGCTGCAGTCACTTGTTCATGGTTGAAGCGCAACTTGCTGGCACCATCGGGAATGATGATGGGGAGCAGCAGAGCAATGGGAGGCGCATGGGAGGGGATGATATGAGGATTCGGGCAATACAGTGTGCATGGTCATTCGAATGTGAGGGATAGCATGGGAGATCATTGCTGCTGTCTTCTTCTGTACAGATGAAGCGCACTTGCTGGCAGCAAGGCGATGGGAGTGGATGGGGGTAGGAGGGTAATTGAGATGGGATGCTAAGAAACTGCCATGCCATTCCATGGGTGCCATGCCATGGAACATGGAACCTCTTTTACAGGTTAACAGCATTTGTGGCAGTGTGGCAAAGGGAGAGGAGTGGGAGGGCGTTGAAATGGGATGATTCCGAGAGAAGAAAGAATATGCATCATGGGAAAAGGAAGGGGGCATTGGTTTGGGGATAAGTAGGCGATGCAAACATATTCTCACGAAATGGAGAACTGAGTCATGGGTATGCAACCTGGACACAACACCCACGCATGTAACCCAGCCACATCACACATGCATGTAACCCGGACACACCTCCCATGCATGTAACCTGGACACACCTCCCATGCATGTAACCCCAACACACCTCCCATGCATGTAACCCGGACACACCTCCCATGCATGTAACCTGGACACACCTCCCATGCATGTAACCCGGACACACCTCCCATGCATGTAACCCGGACACGCCTCCCATGCATGTAACCCGGACACGCCTCCCATGCATGTAACTCGGACACACCTCCCATGCATGTAACCGGACACACCTCCCATCCATGTAACCTGGACACACCTCCCATGCATGTAACCCAGACACATCACACATGCATGTAACCCGGACACACCTCCCATGCATGTAACCCGGACACACCCCCATCCATGTAACCTGGACACACCTACCATGCATGTAACCCGGACACACCTCCCATGCATGTAACCCGGACACACCTCCCATGCATGTAACCCGGACACACCTCCCATGCATGTAACCTGGACACACCTCCCATGCATGTAACCCGGACACACCTCCCATGCATGTAACCCGGACACACCTCCCATGCATGTAACCCGGACACACCTCCCATGCATGTAACCCGGACAACCTCCCATGCATGTAACCCGGACACACCTCCCATGCATGTAACCCGGACACACCTCCCATGCATGTAACCCGGACACACCTCCCATGCATGTAACCCGGACACACCTCCCATGCATGTAACCCGGACACACCTCCCATGCATGTAACCCGGACACACCTCCCATGCATGTAACCCGGACACACCTCCCATGCATGTAACCCGGACACACCTCCCATGCATGTAACCCGGGACACACCTCCATGCATGTAACCCGGACACACCTCCATGCATCACGTACTATTTTAGACGACCAGAAATTGTTCCAACCCAGTCACACCACACCCAGTAACCAGCGCCACCACTGAACCCAAAGCAGGGAGAGAAACGAGCGCCAACACTGCCAACACACCTTGAGCAGCGAGAGGAAGTGAGCCGCTTGCGAGTGCATGGGGGGCGCCTTGAGACGTCTCACAACAGACGTATCACACTTTAGTACAAGATGCGCTGGTTTCAACTGAACGCTCACTCCATGACATTCTCACCACCACCAACCAATTCACCTTGTGCATGGAGAGGAAGTAGGCCTCCTGCTTGTGCATGCGAGGGTTG